TTGAATTGGCAAGAAAATACCCTTGAGATTCAGCCTGAAACCCATTGGACCCAAGATAGCAAAGACAGACTGTCCATTAAGTCCTCATAAAGTTGTCAGAGTTATAAAGGTCGATTGCAAAAAAAAAAAAAATTTGTTACTATCATTGAATTTTCTATTATTTGTGTTGTCACACCTGAACCACTGGTTCTTCATCTCCAAAAACTTGTGTCAACAACAGTTTCACCCTTTTGTGTGATGACATAGTGCCTAAATCCCATGACTGCCTTACCTGGATTTGGGGCCGCTACAGCCGCATGAAAAATGCAACCTCTGGTCTGGTCTGGTCTGGTCTGTCAGAATTGGGCTTGGTTTCTTCTCTCATGAAACTTGTGATTTAGACATTGCTTGTGGCTCAACCCAAAATTGTCGTATCAAGCTCAACATGCTGCTAAGCTGCGGCAACAAGTAGTCAAATACTATAAAAATATTTTGATGATTATTTATTTTTTCACTAAACTATCTGTATCTCCTCACAGATTCAAACTTCTTCAAGGATTAAAATATTAGAGGTGTTCTTCGAAGATATGTTCATATACTGATATATTCTGCAATTTTATTGGCCATTTACTTGTCGTTAACAGAGTCTACTCCATGCAGAAGCCTGCAGATTTTGAGGCAAGTTCTTGTTTCAGTGATACGGCGTTTGAATTTCGATTGCCATCTTAAATTGGATGTGAACTCAATCAAACCATGGATCAGTAACAGGCCCCAAATTGCCTGAAAGGCTGAAACTCAATTCTAGTAACAGTTTTCCAAGGACTAAATTTACAAAGGCCATGGATCATTCTTTGCTGGCTCAAACCATTTTTCATGTTTAAAAGCTGAGTCAGATGTCCTACCCTAAAGAAAATTGGTGGTGTCAAGGCCCAACATCTAACATTTGCAATATGACAGAAAACCTTTTTTTTTTCTTGGTGCATAATATGATTGAAAGATTTGCTCCTTTTTCTTATTGTTGTTGATTTTGCTAAGCTTACCTTCTCCACTTGCAGGTCATTAGACTTCATGATTACTAGTAATAATGAGAATTTTGGACCAAGTAGGTTATCATATGCATCTTAGTAATAACTATATACTAGCATAGGCCTTTTTTACTTTGGTACAAAAAAATTTTGGAGCATAAGATACTAACCCATCTTTAAGGTTAGGACAAAAAACTTTTAAGACGAAAGAATATTACCCCATTTATAAGATTAGGATAAGTAGTCAACTTAATTAAAATTTGCAGATTCATTAAATTTTCATTTACGGTTGAACTTATAAATCACCTATTAAGTTGAGAGCGTGGAGGATTCGAACCTGAGTACTAATACAGTTAGCGTTCACCCTTACCACTTCTCTCAGTTCTTATGGGCTGTAGATTATGCCTAAAAATGAATCAAGTGGTGCAGTTTTTTTTTTCTTTTTCATGAATAGTAAATAGGTCCTGTCTCCATGAATGATTAGTCTTCATTTTCTGCGTGCAACAAGCACCAAAATCCAAACCAATGAATTTGAGTTTTCTTGGTCAGAACCACTTCACAAATTTTAACAATCATTGGACTTCACTTACTACACCAACCCTTGTTTGCTTTCCATCTCTCTTAGCGATAATGCCAATTTAAATAGGGGTATAGATGGGTATAATATTTTTAAAATAATCTGTAAATAAATTTAATTTCTATTTCTTAATATTCTTTTACTAAAAATAATAAATAATTACAAATAATATTAAAATTTTATTAATTAAATAAATAAATTACAAATATAATAAAATTTATTAATGATTGATTTGTTTATATTAAAAAAATAAACAAATAAAATATTTAATAAAAAGTTCACAAACCATTTAGTTTTTATTTATTTATTTATTATTAAGTATAACATATTAATATCAATAATATTTTAAAATTCATCAAATAAACAATCAAATGATGAATATTATAAAATTCATTCATATTCAATTTATTTATATCACTAAATTTAATTTTGTTAACACCAATCCCATGATTTTTTTGTTTTAACCTAAAGTTTTTATCCAATTAACCCTATTAGTTCGATGGTAAGACATCGAATTTAAATTCACCCAACCTTGTCACTCTTCTTTAAGATTCCACTCTTTAAATAGAAAATAGATAGAAAAATAAACCAAATAAAGCTAGTGGGGTCAAGCTCAATATGGCAGAAGTTTCAAAGTAAGGCTTCAAGTTTACCCTCTCCATTACCAGTGGACTGACTCCAACTACAGTCTGGACACAGTTCCTGGCCCACGTGTTTCTCATCCCTAGCTACCCAAAACAAATTGTCTTTTTTTTTTAAACCGAAAAAATCAAAATGAAAGGAACTTCTTTTGGTATTTCCTTTCCTTTTTGGGGTTTTATGTTGCACCTAGTGGGGTCATGTGCGGGACAGGATTGCGGAAAACACGGTCCTCGGAGATCTTTCAATGGAATAAATCCCATGAATTGTCGATAATCGAACATAAATTAGTTTATCACTAAGTATTGTTTAGGCAATTGTTTGTCACACAGACAACCTAACCCACGGCCTTTAATGAAATGACTATCGACTTGCTGATTTTTTTAATTATACATTTATATAATTTATAAATAATTTATTAATTTTATCAACAAAAAAATGTGAACTTTTTTTTTAATTTTTTTATTTGCCCATGAACATTTTATTTATACATATCGATCCATCACTAATTTACTTAGTTTCATTTGGATTTTATTGTATTTTGATCAGTCAATTGCCTTGCCTAAAACAATCGATTATTTTAGTGTAAAAATAAAATAAAAGATATTGTTCGCTATTTCATTTGATCAGATAATTAATTACCATGTTTAATTTTATTGTTATTATTATATTTACTCCAAACATATATCTTTGCTATTAATTTTAATTTTAATATTATAATAATTAATTTTATTTTTATTAATATTTTTTATTTCATTGTTGATCTAAAATTCAAATACACATTTTTTGACAGATTTGAAATTAATAACTTTAAAAGAAAACGGCTTTGAATATTAAATAAATATTTGCCACATTCTTTTCAAAAAAGCCTTTTAAAATTCAAGCAAGTGGAATGAATGAGTTTTCATCCTGATCCAAAACCAATCACGAGTCAAATAAAAGATGCTTCCACAAGAAAAAAGTTCCCCACACTATTTGTTTTGTAAAGCAAAGGGTTCCTGTAGCTGTGAAATACAACTTGCATGCCTAGAATATTGAAAGTAAGAATATAACTTAATCATAGAGGAAAAAATGAAAAAATTATAAAAAAATACAATAGTAAAGATCGATCTAATATTTTAAATTATGATATAAAATATGATATGAATATAAATATAAATATAAATATAATAAAAAATAATAAGATTTAAAATTTTAATAATAATTATATATATTTTTAATAAAATTAAAAAATATATTTTATATTTTTATTTTGATATAAATTATAATATATAATATTTATATAAAATATAATATAAATATATATTTTAATATTTTATATAATACAAAATTTTAAATTTAAGCAAAGACACTAACTTAGATTCTTTTTATCATATTTGAATGCAATTTTAAATTCGTTAAATAAATTTAAACTTTAATTTATGCCATTATTTAAACTGACTGAGCCACAAACAAATTTAAAACTTGTTTACACCTATACTCGAAAGAAACTGACCCACTCGGCCATGTCTACTTGATAACCTCGAAGCAAATAAAATAAAAAAAAGGGAACAGAAAAAGTCAGGGTCTGGAGATCTCAAGGGATCAAGAGCAGAGGCAATGATCCACAACGGACGCCACGCGTACGCATCCTCGATGGGGTGTCAGTCAAAGGAGTAAGCTTAACTTCGCCAGCTCACTGTGCCAACAGCCAGGTGTACCCATAAGTTTGAGTATGGGTGCTGCATGTCACGTGATCCGCTTTGTCGTTGTACGGACTATTTTATTCGTACGGATAATGAGCTTCTTTTGTCCTTTTGCGTGACCTGATTCAGACGTGGTGCAATCACAGCCGTTTATTTCCTTAGACCGAGGAGATTTCTGGCTTCCAGTGCTCCTGTACTTATCGCTTTAACATCAGCCGTATATTTTCTCCTCACCAAAAAAAGTGTTGGAAATTTCTCTCCGAAACCAATTTAAAGAATCAGATTGCATTTAACTTCACCTTTGATTTCAAAACAGGACAAAAGAATTTGCGTTTTTGCTTTGGCGAACGGAGGCTCCGCCATGGAAATATCTGCCACCCATGCGTAGACTAGAGAAACTGTGCTTAAACTTGCTAAACTGCGCAGGGGTTATCCGTGGCACTACCGCTCAGCTTGGCGGGTTCTTAACTGCCAAGTAGTTCTTCGCTTCGCAGAGACTTAATCATACGTGGCTGCAATGCACGATCCCGAATCATCAGCCCATTTGCGCATGGTTGCCACTATCTGCCACTTGTCAATAAACTTCTTAATGAGCCAAAACAGTACATATCTCAGGATTTCTCGCTAAAATATCGTCTTAATATATCCGAAACCTCGAGATTGACCTTCGAAGTTACTAGTAATTTCATTTAGAGCAACTTTAAAGCTTCCTTGAACTACAGTTAAAGATCACCTAAACTCACGATATTTTGTTCCGTTTATTCCGCGATAAGCGACAACTCTCCTCAAAATGTTCCCAAAGCGACCCCACTCCCCAAGCAATCAGTTTTCAATTTATACGAAGATAGATGATAGGATCACCCGCCTGTGATGCATTCTACCCAAGCCAATCACAAAGGGATAAGCACAAATCTCTAATTTCCCCGGGACCCACTGGTGTCAACAGTAAAGACTATACAATAACCTAAAATCAACGGCCACGATGAGCCCGTGATATAGAATTGTTACACCCTCACATCTACCGTCTTTTGTAACCGTAGAAGTAGGGAAGTGTATGCGGTAGATTTTTTAACTCAACCATGGTTAACTCGAAACAACTCCGGGTTGGAAATGCAGTTTATAATGAAGAGAATCGTTCCTTCTTTTAGAAACAGAGAACAATGTCCAAAAATGATGATCGGAGAACCAACCCGACAAAATCCCACCGTCAAAATCCCCGCGTGGGACCCATTCAACGATCTGACGTCTAACTTTCCCTCCGTTAACTATAACTGCAATGCACCCGACAGTCCTTGTCCCGTCGACTACCTCCCGTCCCTCCACCGTTACCTCCCGTCAAACGACTTCGAGTCTGACTCGCTGAGTGAGGACTCCGACTTACCTGTCGATGCATTCTCATGCGACCAGTTCCGGATGTACGAGTTCAAAGTGAGGAGGTGCGCTCGTGGCAGGTCACATGACTGGACTGAGTGTCCGTACGCCCACCCGGGTGAGAAGGCCCGAAGAAGAGACCCGAGAAAGTTCCATTATTCTGGAACTGCTTGTCTTGATTTTCGCAAGGGAAACTGTAAAAAAGGCGATTCCTGTGAGTTTGCTCACGGCGTTTTTGAGTGTTGGCTCCACCCAGCCCGCTACCGTACCCAGCCATGCAAAGACGGTACCAGTTGTAAAAGAAGGGTTTGTTTTTTCGCTCACACGCCAGAGCAGCTTCGGGTCTTGCCCCAGCAGAGTCCGAGAGGAAATGGGTCCGGTTCAGGTGATCTGGATTATGTTGGCTCGCCAATACGCCACCGTCTAGACTTTGTTTCTTCACCAACTTCCATTCTGGCGTCACCTCCGATATCACCACCTTCTGATTCACCTCCTATGTCGCCAAATGGCACATTTAACTCGGTGAGTGAACTCGCTTCCTCCATGCGTAATCTGCAGCTTGGTAAAGCTAAAATGAGCGGTGATTGTTCTTGGGGCCTGCGAATGGGATCAGGTTTCGGTTCTCCTCGGGGCTCCACGCTCCGACCCGGTTTTTGCAGCTCTCCTTCAACTCCAACTCGTACACCGACTCGGTCTGGCCTAGGTCAGTTTGACCTCTGGGAATGTAACGCTTTTGAAGAGGAACCTGCAATGGAGAGAGTGGAGTCTGGGAGAGACTTGAGGGCTAGGATGTATGCGAAGCTGAGTAAGGAAAATTCTCTTGACCGACTTGATCCTACAGGATCGGGTCCTGATGTTGGATGGGTATACGAGTTGGTGAAGTGAATCTGATCCTTAGGAATGGACTGGATGGTGGATACAGCGGACTCATCTTCTGTTTTGATTATTTTTGGAAATTTTAAAAAATATATATATCGGTGGCCTTCGAATCTTCTGACTTTTGTTAATATTTGATGATGTTTCTGATTTGGATCATTGCATTGTAAATAGTTGACAGGGAAAGAGAGATCGGGAAAACCTCTATTTTATGGTGCTACTGCTTCTTTTCTATTAATTTTGTTTTGGTAAAAAATTAAGAAAATTGCAACTTCTGTATAGTCGAGAAGGATTTAATAGGGCTGCCGACGAATGGATAGCGGTTTGTTTCTCATTTTGTCTATTATGAATCGTAATTTTCTTGCTCATTTTCTTCCTGATTATCTCTGTAATTTCTTTTATCATGACTAATCAATGTAATATATTTCTTCATTCTATCTTCTAGCAACTTCTTTTGTTTGATTTGCTTGAGAGGATAATATGTTATTATTAGTATTAGTAGATTAGAGCTGAAATGGATATTTTCTATTTTCTAGTAAGTTTTTTCTTCTCTAGTCCTTCGCGGAAAGATAAGTTCATGGTGGGCAGGAGGCCAAAGATCAGCAGCGTTTGGCCAGAAAAAAATTGGGAACTTTTGTCTTCCAAACCTCATGATTCAGAGGCTCTGGAACTGAAATAGGTTAAGGGCCGAATATTTGTTATCAATCAGTTTCATCTATGGTTTCCCTGTTCGATATGTTGAAGTTTGAACCGAGTTACTTTGGTTCACAAACTCTTTGACTATGTACCATCAAAGATCTGATCCTTCTAAAATCCAAAAGCCGAAAAAATAGTATTTCCATTTTCACTTCAAAATGGGGACCGGGGAAAAACTGTTGGATTCGGAAAATCTACAGTAGTGCAAGTCATATCATGTCTTTTCATCGTGAGTAACAATCATTAACAACGACAAGTAAGTCTAAAATATTGATTTGATCCGTCACCCTATATAAAGAATTGTATTTTATCTAGCAGTGATGTTTGATTCGTGACGTGGACCCTTTTGAACTGATAGAGCCGGCCCTAATCTGCTGATTTTCTTTTAGTTTATCTCCCCAGAGCCACCGGTATTTATGATTTAATTAAACTAATTTATTGCAACAAAAACTTTGATGTGAAAGTTTGATAGAGAGAAGAGACGGGATTTGGTCAAGAAGCACTATCTGTTTGGAGGCTTCCCTTAAAAAATCTAAGAAACTGTTTCTATAATTTATATATTGGTATTTAGTAAAATTTAAAATTTTATATATTTATATTATATTTTAAAATAAATTATTTATTACAATTTATATGATATAAAAATATAAAATATATTTTTTATTTTATTAAATTTATTTATAATTTTTAAAAATTTATTATTTATTTATATTATTTTTATATTATATTCGTATATTTAAAATGATCAGATGTAATATTTTTGTGGTGATTAGACACGGAGTGAGGGTGGATTAGAATCGTAAGATTAAGGGACAAAACGGGTATTATAATGATTTTTTATTAAAGAGGCCGACAAAGTGGACGATAGTTCCAAGTATTGGTTTTTTGTTTTTTTTTTTTTTGGGGGGTAATGTAAAGGAGGGTTTGGAAAAGTTACTGGGGTGCATGTGTGTGGGCGTGGATAGATTCTGTGCTTCTCTTCTTTTCGGAGCCATTGTGTTGGTATTGGTTTGGCCGTAGGATAATCATCAAGTTCATGGCAAGAAAAGTCTTAGAAAGTGGATTAGATCATAAAAAACATTAAAATTTATAAAAAAAATTTATGTATTATAATTTATATCTATATAAAAATAAAAAATATTTTTTTATTTTATTAAAATTATATATAATTATTATTATATTTATGTGGTGTCATTATCAGACACGTTTAGAGGAGACAACCAAGAGCCATAACTCTTCCAAAAATTTTTTTGTCTTCCTTCTTGTACGATGGTAAGTCTCACATAATTAATACTTTGTTCTCTTCTTTTCCTTTAAATTTATTATTTAATATTTATTTTTTATCCATGTTCTGAATTCGTCTCCAATCATATCATGTTTTATATTACGAATAATTTAGCGACGTCACAAATGAATGGGTTTAAGTCTAAAATTTTGGGTTAAAATGGTTTAATATTTGAGTTGTTTTAGGATTTTGTTACTTCTTATTTGGATTGTTTTATGTTATTATTTTAAGTTTGGATTGTTTTATGTTCAATTTATTTTTAGATTCAAGTTATTTTCAAGACTAATTTTTGTAAATTGAATTTGATTCAAATTATAATAAAATTGATAAATAAAATGTTATATAAATTTGTTATTTTAAACTTTTAATATTAAATTCACACGATATTTGAGTGAAATCAATATCAATTTCGAATTATTTCATAATCAAATTATTTTTAATTCGAATTTTTAGTTGTCAAATTGTATTATTAACATTATAATATAAATCGTAGTTATCATAATTGGATTTGATATTAAATTGTTTAAGGTTTTAGGTCAATAATTTAATCATCAGATCAATTGATTAATTGTAATTTCAATAAAAAATATTATAAAAAATATAAATATTTTAAAAATTCAAAATTTAAACTTTTAACTAAAATTTTAGTTTAATAATTTAACCATAAAACTATAAATTTAAGATATATAATAAGTTATAAATTTTAAAATATAAAATTTATAGAACATTTAAATACTAGTTATAAATGAAATTATTTAATATTTTATTAAAATCATATTTTATATTTTAATAAGTTAGAAATAATATTTATATTTTAATAAATATATTAAGTAATAAATAATTATTATTTATATTTATTAAAAATAAATATTATTTATTAATATATAATAATTAGTTTTATGTAATAAAAAATATCTATATATAAAATAATAAAAATGAAATATTTATATTTATATGAAAATTAGTAAAAAAATAAATTAAAATCATTTTTTATTTTTTTATGAATGTAGATTTTTTATTAATTTTACATATATTTTTTGTATTTTCTTAATTATTTTTAATCATGGCTAAATAATTAATCATTTTTATTGATTTTATATATTATTAATTTTATAATTATTTTAAAATATGGTATCAATTAATAAAATTTTTTATTAAATAATCTTTTTTGAAAATTACTTATTTTTATACATGTATACGTTTTTTACAATATCAATATCCATGTGTCTCAAAATATGTCATTACATCATTAATATAAAGATGCAATGGTTTTGAAGGTTAAAAATAAGAAAATTGAGAGCTTAATTAGTTAAAATAACAGTATATTGGTTTAATTAGATTATTTTGAATACTTTATGAGTTTTTTTTTTTATTTTACTTAAATTTATTAGTTGATACTGAAACAGTTCGATTAAAAAAAATCACATAATTTACTAGTTTATTACAAAAATCGTAGATTTACAATGATTTTAAATGATTTAATTGTAAAATTAATCTAATTATAGAACATGATCAGTTTCAGCGTCAATTCACCAATTCACTTGATCGAATTTACGATTAAACCTGATTTTGATAATTATGATATAAATATGTAATAATATGACATGTTACCTGTAAAGCTTAAATTTAAAAATTCATATTCAACTATCATATATACTTATCGTTTTAATCATGTAACATGTTTAAAAATCAAACTCATTCAAACATTTTGCATCTATTTATGTAAAATTCTCTTTATTTCTTATTTTTTCTTATGGAAAGAGTCCTTCAGCAAAATTAACTTTGAGCTAGTTATAATAAATCTTTGAAATGGACATCATTATTGATAATGAGCTTTAAACTTCGCCTAATACCTTTGCAAAACACGTTGCCAACGTCCCGCATCTCCAACCTTACTTTTATTTAAGGTTAGTAAAAGTTCGGATGAAATTAAATTCGATTTAATTTTTTAAATAATATTATTATATATTTAAAAAAATTTTATATATGAAATAATTATTTATATTTTATAAAATTTTTAAATAAATATTAAAATTAATAAAAATATATAATTCAAATTATTTTTTATTATTCATATTTTAATTCAAAATTTAATTTAAATTTAATATATATACTATTTAAATTTAATTTAAATTAAATCGAATATTATTATTTTAAACTCATTTTTAATTTTTAATTTTTTTTTTCACCCATGCTTGTACGATCCAAAAACTCTAGTGTCTGAAATTGGGTTAGCTCAATAAAGGGATAATGACCCTCGTAAGGTCCTGGAGTCCCTTTCAAAAAGACTAAACCTCATTGTTTTTGCTTATAGATCGTCAATTATATCTATCTTTGGCGCCACTCATTCTATCAAAATATTATCAATTTCAGATCTGCACGTCTATTCGACGACGACATGAGAATTTATCATAATCAATTATTTTTTCATTTAAATATTTAACTTCACTTTTCCCAAAAAAAAAATGGTAAACAACTTATAATTTTATGAAAATTTTTAAAATTTTATATTTGAATTTAGATATAATATTTATGTATTTATGTTATGTAAAATATTGATAATTTATATATTTATATAATATTTTATACGAAAATTATATATTATAATTCGTGTTAATATTAAATTATAAAATACATATTTTTAATTTTTTTAAATTTATTTATAATTTTTATTAAAATTTTAAATTATATTATTTTTATATCGTATTTAAAATTAATAAATATATTTAATTATTTTTAACTGATTTTAAATACTTTTTTTTTCCACGTCAAAATAGTGTTATAGATTAAATTAATTTATACGATTTCAAATTTGTTTTGACTAACAATTGAGGATGTTGATTTTAAGTTATTGTTTGGATTAATGGCAGTCCATTAAAGCTATAGAGCCTTATCTAAAAAAGGCCCACATTGTCCTCTGTGTGCTGAAGAGGTGGTGTAGCAAAATCTAAGTTATCATCAAACGGACAAGCAGCCCTAATGGGGACCAAAGTCTTTTTCATGGAAAAAAAAAAAAAAAAAACTTTGTAATAAGTGTCTTCTGTATGAATTTATTTACTTTGGGCCTAGTAGAAGTATTTTATAATTTAAAATGATAATGTGATATCATATAAAAATAAAATATAACAATAATATAATTTAAAATATAATAACAATTACATATAAATTTAATAAAATAAAAAAATTATATTTTATAATTTTATATTATATAAAATATCATATAAATATATAAATATAAATATTTTATATGATATAAATATACGAATCATTAAATTTACTTGAAAAAGTATCATAAATTTTTTGATTAACTTAAATAATTTTTTAAAAATAATAATAAATTAAAAATATTAAAAATATTAAAATTTAAATATCAGACGTTATCTTTCTCTTAGATTTGAAGGCATTGGTACATGTGTTTTTTAATAATTGGCCCATTGGGCCCATGGTCCTTCGTCAATTTTAAATTCCACCCATAAGGTTGATATGTTTGTTAACGGAAGGAAGGTACAAAAAACTCATGAGTTTATGACATTTACTTCGCACATTTAATTTCATCAAAATTCGTGTCTCCGCATTAAAGGATTCACCTTGAAAATTTTAAATGTAATAACAAATTCAAATAAATGTAAATTTAGAGTGAAGAAATTCAAATTTTACTTATTTATAAAAAAAATTCATATATCAATCATTAAATCAAGTGTTTAGATATAAATTAAAAAAATATATTTAAGTTTTGTTTTTTAACAAAAAAAACACATTTATTGGTCACTAAATCAAATGTTCTGGATATGAATTCAAAGATTTAACCAATAAGTAAATCAATTGCTAGTGAACCAAAAGGATGTTCGTAACCCACCTATCGGGGTAATTGGGGGTAGAAGAAGATTTACGAGCAGTGGTGCATCTGCTGTGGCCTACTTTTGTACTGCAACCAACTTTGAGAGAGAAAAGTTAAATGTGTCAGTGATTGTCATTTATTTTAAGATGTTGATATGTTCTCCCAGACCCATTACTGGAAACTGCAAAGAAACTAATGGGCATATGGATGCTAAATTCGGGCCAGCAAATCAAATCTAGAAATGAAGGAAAATGGGTCCTTTTGGGCCCTTTCTTTTGCCCCATCGACTCGACCAGGCAAATGGAAAAGGGGTATCTTATGGGTTGGATTAATTTTGCATTGGGTGATTTGTTTTCACCTCAAATTTCTGTGGCTCATGATGATAATGGGTCAGATTGAGAGGAGTTTTGTTTTTCTTGAATTCATTTTTATTTCATAAATTTAATATTTAAATCTGATTAGATTTAATATTAAAATATTATTTTTATGTTTAAATGTACCTGACTCATATGTTTAAACCCGTAATCGTTTCAACCAAAAATTAATAAAATATTATTTTTAAAATATAAATATATAATTAAATAAATATATAATTTAATATATATCGAATTGTGATAAGACGAATTTATATAAAATTTGACTTTTATTTTTCTTTAAAAATAACCTATTTGATTTAAAACTTAATTTAAAAAACATTGACTTTATAGGATCGGATTAGGTCGAAAATCATCAGGTACTACCTAAATTGCCAACTCTAAGCAAAATTTGAGGTGAAGGTTTCTTTTGAAAATAGTAAGTTAAAGGTTTCCTGAGATTTGGCCATGGCCAGTTTGTTAATTTATCAATCAAGTTCGGTTCTCATTTAACCCTTTTTCTTTTTTTTTTTTTTTTGTTGAATTCTTCTCGGGGCAACATGTGCTCTTTCGTACTTTTGGCATGCAAAATTGTGTAGCTTTTCTGCATTGGACTTGATCAAATATTGAATAGAGATTGTGTGTTTACACATTCTTCTGGCATTTTGAGGGAGAGGGTAAGATTCAAATGTTATTACTAATTCATAATTCAAACTTATTTATTTATGAATTAGAGAGGGTCGAAAGATCAATGTTGGATTTTTTAAAAATCATGGAATAAATTTCCACCATTTTAACCAATATACTATAGATAGATATCCTTGACCCGTTTCTTAAAAGTTTGATGATTTTATAACTTAATACATGCCATTGACATAAATTGGAACTAAAAATATTCTTGAAGAATTAAACTTTCTTATATTTTTTATATTAAGTCTATCATAATTTTAGATAAAAAAAAGATTATAAATAATGAAATTTGAACATTAAATCCGATAAATATTATATTTTAAAAGTGATTATATTAATCAATTATAAGTTGAACACTAAGCTTTTAGAACTATAATTATCTTTGAACCATGATTGAGGTAGAGAAGGGAGCTAGAGTGTAAAACTTGATTTTTTATTTGCTTTAGCATCAAAGAGAGTCAAGCCAAAGAATCAAAACACCCTAATCCATCAATCACTATGGAGTGATTGTAAATATGGCATCTTTTGGCTTTTGGGGTTCAGGTTTCCACTTCATACTCCATGAAGTTGAAAACTAAAGCAAACTTTGAAAAGATGAAACAAATTACGCACTTTGGGAAACAAGGGACACCGAAAGTGGATGGTCAGTTCAAAACCAAAGAGGAAGAAGAATGGAAAAACATGTTAAGATAAGTTCATTAAGGAAAAAGTGAAAGCGATGGAGAAACATGGTATATGTACGTGCATGCTATTACGTTAAATCAAGTCACCGAATAAGCATTCAGCAAAAACATGGTGTAACTTTGATCTTGCTGCACGCAGCCATGAAAACCACCCCTTTTTTTCTTTGGAGAAATTAAATATCACCGGAATTATCCTCAGCCCCATTGATCTCCGACAAAAAAAAAAATCTCAACAGCTGAGACTCTGATAGGCCAGCAGAAAGGCAGAAATACATTCACCAGGGATTGCCCAGCCAGTTTAATATTATCACACTCTCAAAGTAAAAAAGAAAAATCACTACCATAAAGTTTGCCACACCTAGATATTTCTGTTGGTAAAAAAATAAAGTAACCTTTTTTGAAAAGGGATTTTTATTCGAAGATAAGACGCATTATTAATTTTAAAATCGATTATTTTAAATTAATGCAAAAACTCATATAAACCTATATATATCTCATATAAACCATTTAATACTGAAGAAAAAGAGCTTAACTTTTATATGATATAGTTTGCTATTATTAATCAGAGAAATAAATGTGAGCAACGCTAATTAATGAGAATCAACGGATTGAAGCTTAATTTTGTCTCTAAATTCTGATGAAATAAAGTCAACTCAACATGTGGAGTGATTGCTGACTGGGTCCTACTATCTCAACATACAAGAAAGATTAAGAGAAGAAAAGGCCAAAACAAAGTTAAGAAAGAAGGGAAAAGAAAAAGATTTATAGTCATACAAAGTCAAGTTCTTTGCAAAGGGAGCCTCCGACTTTATAAACCCCCTTCACCAGAAGAGAGCTCACTGTTCCTTTTTTTCTCAAATCTTGAAAGCATTTGCGTCTCCCAATTCTCCTCTCTCTTTCTCTCTCTATTTGTGTAATTTTTGTTGCCTTTGTGTGGGGTGGGTGTCTTTCTTTAAGGTCAGAAGTGATAGTGAAGGGGCTGAGCTAAGAGGGATGGGGAGAGCTCCATGCTGTGACAAAGCAAACGTGAAGAGAGGCCCTTGGTCTCCTGAAGAAGACGCCACCCTCAAAAACTATGTCGAGGTTCATGGCACTGGTGGTAACTGGATCGCTTTGCCCCAAAAAGCCGGTATAAAAATGCCGTTTCTTTTTTCTCACTTTCTAGTTTCTACTAGGGTATTCTCATCTTCATTTCACTTTTCAATTATGAAAGGTTTTTTTTTTTTTTTTTGTTTCCGGGCAAATTTTCCACTACCCATTTCACCAAAATGAGAGTTTCCATATGTTTTTCAACTTGAAAGCAAATCATCAGACGAGGGTTTCAGATTTTACTAGGCTTTAATTAGCATCAAAGGAGTATGATCATGAACTTTATATGTAGGCGTCTTTAACTTCAGCTTTCTATTTTTTTTACTGTTCCATCGTTTTAACTTCCTGCAGTTTCAGAAAATTATGGCAGATTTTAGCTTTTTCAGCTGTTTCGCCTTTAGTTGCATTTTGAAGATGAAGTGTTAATGTCCTCTTTGCTTTAAAGTTAATAAAAGGTAAAATTTACAAATACCATGTACGTTCATAATTATGGTACTTCCCCTGCAAGAAAAAAAAGTCGACTTGGCCACTGGGTTTTGTCTCCTTGTTCATGTTCTTTGTTCAAAGAACCGTTTCCAGTCTGGACATTATTCGATCTCTAGTCTGGTCTATCCTGGTTAACTTTTATGATCATTCTTTCAGCTTCTAAATAATAAATCTGTTTTCATAATTTTGTAATACTTTTCGGACATCCATATGCATATGCCTGATGCCTTATCATTTAACCAACTTCACACACAAGAAAATATTTTTTTCTGTGTCCTTGGAAAGACTGAATCGAGGAGAGAACATAAAAGAACACTGTTAAAATTTGTTTTCATGAAGCAGCCTTAATCTTGCTTTTTACGTCAGTCTAGAACAAAACGTTGAAATGTTTCTTGTCTGTCTTTTATTTGAGCTTTGAACTATAATTAAGCATCTTTTCAATGGCAGCAAATTTGCTTTTCTGTCATTTTCCTGGCTTGGAAGTTTATACCTGATCAATAACTCTCGTTACCTCTAGGCCTTAAGCGATGTGGCAAGAGTTGCCGATTGAGATGGCTTAATTATCTGAGGCCAGACATCAAACATGGAGGTTTTACCGAAGAGGAGGACAACATTATTTGCACTCTATATAGTCAAATGGGAAGCAGGCAAGTTGTCTGTCTTTGCTTTTTCGGCTAGGGAATCTGTCTGGCTGCTCTTAACTATCGTAGTTAATTTTTTTTTTTTCAAAAAAGGCCGTAATCTGGGGATAAATGAAGGGTAGGTATTGGCATTTGAACTCGAAATTTGTTGGATGCCGCTTCTCAAGTGGCTGCATGAACCAACTAAATTCTGAGTTCATCTTAGTTAATTATCTTTACAAAAGCTTTTTATTAACTTATTCAAATGTCGGTTATTTTATAATATTTCATTTAAGACTTATAAAAACCCCACTTGTGATTCTTGTTAGATGGTCTCTTATAGCTTCTCAACTGCCTGGAAGAACAGACAATGATGTGAAAAATTATTGGAATACCAAGTTAAAGAAGAAGCTACTGGCAGGAAAATCAGGCTTCAATATCAGCAAAAGTACTATTAACAATGGTTGTGTTCCTGCTTACACTAATATTCCTACTCAACCAGCAGCTTCACAGCCTTGTTTACCATACGCTGAAACTTACAATCTGGATTACTCAACTTCACAGTCACATATTTCTACACCATTTCCAATTTTATCTGATGTTGGTTGTGGATTCTCTGTCATTAGTACTCAAAACTTGCCTTTAGACCCAGTCATGCACTTTTCTCGCCCAGATGCAGTCACCCATCTGTCACAGTTAGGTGCAACTTTGGAGAATAATCACATTGTTACTTCCTCTCGAGAAGGATCCAGCATTTCGGATTCCAATTATCTGGCTACGGAGAGCAAGTCTGTCTCAATGCCTGGTAATGGATATCATGTTGAATATACAGGCAATATTTTGATGGATGATCAGTTCAGCTATGAGTTTTCTTATGAATTTGTCAATGGCATTTGAAGTCAAGGGAAAGCTCGCGAGGTTTTTCCAAGTTGCTGTGATAGTTTAGCTGATTTTTTCTCATGCTGACATAAAGCCTCAAGGACTGAATCAAAGTGTTGCTAACCGAAATATTGAGAGAGAAATTAATGCCTGGAAGGGGAATGGTGGAAGAAAAATCAAAAGACATGTAAAAGAACTATGTTTTTCTTTTCACGTGCTGTATTATTATGATTTAGACATTTGGTTCTGTAAAAACAAAAGGATATATCAACCAATGTCAAATTCAAGTAAAGTAAATGGTGCTTTAATTAATCTGATGTTGATTTTATAGTAATAGTCTTTGCTTTCTGAATGCAGCCTTTAACTTGGACGCCGTAACCAGATAGGAACATTTCAACTGAAACCAAACTTTACGTAAAGAAAAAAGATTATGCCTCCTCTTTCTGTTGACTGTTAAGGTTCAATATGAACAATTTGTCAAGGGAAAAAGGTGGGGTCCTGAAAATTTTGGTTTCTGATTTATTCAAAGGAAAGATGGACGTGGGAGTGAGGGTGATTCCATCATCATGTCTGCCTGTTTTTTGTCGTTTAAGTGATCATGAAAGTTGCATGGGGGGTGTGGCCGGTTCAAACCTCATCATGCTATGAACGTATTCTCCAAACTTAACCATAAAAGATTCTCTCTCTCTTTCTCACTGGTGAAAAACATATAGCCTTTAGAAAGAAAGATACATCATTAATTTTCCATTGAATATTCAGCATAGTTTTACCATTTAAAACTTTTACTCTCAAGATTTTTCTTGAAGCAGCATTAAATTATTGGATGAATATGAATAAGAGACAAATGGCTGATGACTTCCTTTCAGACATTTCAAAACCCTGGAAAGGGCTAATGTTTTCTTTTACCATGCATGTGACTCTTACCTATACCAAATTGCCTTTTGCCTACAATCTTTCTATTTCATAATTGGCACTTTTCCATTTAAATTAAACATTTATTTCTCCCACTTTTCCATTTAAATTACAAGTTCTAAAACTGAACTACCTCTTTCTCTTACAGCAACCATATATATAATGAGATATGAGAACCTTGCCAACTTACACAGCCGTACCTCGTTATATCTGATAAAGGCTTTCCCCCTGGGGCCTATATTTTTTCAACAGACTCACAGATCTGTTGCAGTTAAGGGTATCAATAGGAAGAAAAAACCAACAGGGTTTTAATTTTGGAAACCCTAGATATACCCTGGTGAATGCAATTAATCTTGCCCCAATTTGTCACCATATGCAGAGCAGGCCAGAAGCAGGCCAAAGACACTTGTTTTGACCAACTGGTTAATGCAATATATTCTTCCCCTTACCTCAATAAGGAAGTGCTGCTGAAAAAGGATTCAAAATTTCAAGGTTCGGGAAAAAACCAAACTTTGTTTATGGAGTTTTTCTTTTCCTGAGGAATTAAGTAAAACAGAAAGGCCCTCGGCAGACATTTTGTTCCCTCGAATGTTTTTACCTTGCACTTTCAGACAATTTCATCGTAATGTTCTTTTATCTATATCTTGGTGGCGTTACATGTAAATGAATATTCCTTCTTAAAAGCATTTAAGAAGACAAGCATATCGGCACCATTTGATAGGCCAGCTCCCCTTTTTTTTCCATTCCTGTGGCACAGATAATTTAATTTAGATTTCGTATTTAAAAAATCTTATTTTTATAACAAAAAAAAATCTTTTTTTTTTAATTTACAAAAGCAGCAGAAGTGAACTCACCTTTTGAAAAAAAAAAAGTATTTATGAACATCCAAAAATTAAAAATAAAAAAACATTTATCGACACTTTCAAAAAATTTCCTTAAATATTATTTTTATCAACAAAATTGATAAAGTTTTAATAATTATATATATATATATATTATAAATAAACACTTAAAAAAATATTGGATTCGTCAACAATAATAGGATAAAAAAAAGAATAAATTTGTTAAAATTTAAACTTAAATCTATTCAATGATATATTTTTTAATATTATTATATAAATCAATTAAATTAAATTTTGAATTAAAAATATCGATAATTTCATTGTCTAAAGCTATGCTAATAAAGTTCATCTTGATAATCAGGTCTAACATTCTTTAAAGCATTGAAGGGATTAGCTAGCCTGCCTAGAGGGCGGCATCTTCTTAATACTAGTAGATGAGAGAATATATCTCAGAAATGAAAAGATTGAAAATCTGAAAATAGACATCAAACATCAAACAAGATTTTCAATCACAATGACATTGAATCTAATAGTACTTTAGTTCATATTCATCTCCTATAAACTTGAATTTAAAGGTTTATTATTCTATAATGACGACGGCGTTTCTAGATTATATAAACAAAATTAAAATTTGAATACTATTATATATGATAAAATTATTTAAACAATAAATTATATATGATAAATTAAGGAACAAATGTCATCTATAATATTTAAACAAAATGCCCAATTGGAAACATATGTTTTCTACATTTGAATACTATTATATGATAAAATTATTATGTTAATTATTCCATTAACAATCAACACCAAGCCAATGAACGAATGGATAACTTTTTCAAAAGACATTGGATCAATATATTAATCCTTTAAATTAGTTAATAATTAGAAGTAGTAGGTATATATATATATATATTATAAATATATTTATTATATGAAATGATGGCTATTGAACGGTCGTATGATTTATTATATGATACTTAACTTTTAATTTAATTAATAAAAAATTAATGCTAACAATCTTAAGTTAAAAAAGAAAAAACCCAATTTCCAAGGGTCCATCCTTGTATATAATATTCCTGTTTGATAAGAGAATCTCGAATACGTAGACACGGTTCATACTAAAATTATTATATGCTTGGGCTTTTACCTTGGCTTTGACATTGACCACTTCAAAGACAAATTCTTCCATGAAATTTCCATGCACTTTCTTCCAACTCATTTTTATATTACGATATGGGGGGTTTCTTTTAAGCCAATGCTTATTATTGGATATCACTTTTTTTTTTTTCCCACATTTTCTACTTTGCTTCGTTTCATTTTTATTTTTAAATGTATATTCGATGCATAAAATTATAATAAAATATTATAAAATGTGAATAAAATAAAATAAAATAATATATTTGGTATGTGTGAAGATAAAAGTAAGATAATTTTATTTATTAATTAAATTATTATTTTTTAAAATTTATATAATTTTTAAAAATATAATAAAATATATAAATTTAATCTCATGAATTAAAAATAATTTTTTTTTTACTTTTGAAATATTAAATTATTTTATATTAAGAGGATAATTAATTTTTATATAATTTTATCACTTTATTTAAATTCAAACCAAATATAATATAAATTAAAAAAAACCTTAAATATAATATAAAATAATTATTATTATCATATCTTATCCATTTATATTTTATGCATCAGACATATAAGTTATGTTAGGAAATATTTATTCATTTTTTACTCTATTTAGACTTTTTTTTTTTCCTTTTTTCTAGACGAATCACTAAATCTGCGTTAAAAAATGTGTACCAAGAACAAGATACCAGCATTTTCCATTTAAATATAAATCCCAAAGAGAAAAAAATGGCCATGTTTACGATCGAAATGCTCTTAATTGACACGAAAATTATGAAAATATTATCTAGCTCGTCGATTCCATCAGCTGTTTTCTTACAAGGAACTGGATGAGCCGGATGTTGCATGCTAGATGGGAGAAATTAATACAACGGGTACAGCGGCAACTTTGGCAGGCTGGAGAAGCAGTTTCTTCAAGTAGGCTTCTTCCAGTTCTTCAAGCTCAGCTTCCAATTCATCCCGTCGTAGCAAATTAATCATGAATAATTTTCAACCGAAAATAAAAGATTGGGATCGTATCCACTGCCAAATATGTTCCAAACTGGGCTTCAGGAAGTTCTAAAACATCATAGCATCTCTGAAATTTTGGGTCGATAGGCCCAACATAAAACATATAGAGTGTAAGCAAAACTATTCCTAAAACACATATAAATAATATACAAAAATACCTTGTACAATTATATATCGAGAAGATAATAATTCAGATTGAATTAAATTAAGTTAATTTTGATTCGATTTTTTAAATAATATATATTATTTTAAAATTTTAAAATATAATTTGAATTTAAATTGATTTTTTAAAAATTAATTTAATCCAAATCGATTATATAGATTTGTTTAGTTCATTAATTTTTAAATTTAAAATTTTTATATATTATTTTAATAAAAACTTTAAAATATTTAAGTAAAAATATATAAAATAATTAATTTTATTTATAAAAATTTTAAAAATAAATTTTATTTTTAAAATTTTTTGAGTCTCAATCTAAAATTTAATCCAAATTTAATATATATTTAATATTCAACCTTAATTCAAATTAAATAAAAAAATTAATTCTAATCGAATTGATTATTACAATTTCGAAACGAATTTTTATTTTCTTGGTTTTTTTATCAGCCTTTATTACATTAGGCAATGTCAATAATGTAAAGAATAATTAAAGCGGTGAAAAAGAAGAAAATATAATTAAAAAAAAAGTAAAAATGGTTTTTCATTTTAACTCTCTGTAAATTTTAAACGGAATCGGAGGTGGGTGAAAAAGGTTAAAAACTTAAGAAGGGAGAGCCAAAAAAAAAAAAAAAGAGGCAGCGATATTGTTACGCATCATCAATCGTTTCATCGTATCAGAAGCCACGAACTAACAGTTGAATAAATCTATCTCCTCTACAAACGAATTCGAGATCTAACGTTTCGTCCCTTAATTCTCTCAGATCTGCGCCGTCTTGCTGATTGGATCTTACATTTCTTCGACCGTTGTTATCTTTCTTTTTGTTAGATCCGCGATGGATTTCATGAAGGTCTTCGATCAGACTGTTCGCGAAATGTAAGCTCTAAACTCCGTTGTTCCCAAATTTGAATCAAAATTTGATTGATTACTGTTTATAATCAAAGATGAGTTGATTTTTTTTTTTTTAAATTTTAGAAAGAGGGAGGTGAATCTAAAGGTGTTGAAGGTTCCGGAGATCGAGCAGAAGGTGAGATCAAATGCAGTTTAATATTTTCTCGAATGCTTATTTGCTTGGAGAAACATGCTTAAGATTTGATAATTGTTCTGTTGTTATTAGATTCATTTAATTTGTTTTAAAAAGAAAAGAGTAAGGTTATGAGTTGGTGTATAAGGTAGACTTATCTATAGATTTGGCAAGTTGAGTGTGAAACAGAAATGTTTATAGGAAAAGTAGAATATATTTAACGAAAAAATGGGATTCATCTTTGAACGGAAGTTTATGAGATGATCAAAGGTCAGGTTGAAGTCACTTATTGCTTGCTACTATCTAATTTTGATCCATGCTGAAAGATATCATACTTATGTTAGTCTTTTACTTGATATTTTGGATTATAAGTTTCTAATTTGATGTTGAAATTCATTTGGTTAGTTGTGATTAGTTATGCAAATTGAATTACCATTTTACTCAGCAAATGTTTTGAATCTGCCAACTTTGTTTTTTATTATGGAAATGGTCAAAGTGTAAGATGATGTTGCACAAGATCCAGAATTATTTATGGTTCTCCTTTTGCCGTTGCTTGTGACATTTATGGTGAAATTTGGTGGTTTTGTCTTGCTTTTAAATCTTTGTGATTGGTGGGTAATTATAAAAATGCTTTGCATTATGTATAATAATGTTCTCTGTTTTTCTGGTAATAGTGTAGGCTACAATTGAAGTGCTTGTAAAGTTTTATATTAAGATTAATCTGGTTACACAATTTTCTTGGCAAATGTTTGCAGGTACTGGATGCAACGGATGATGAACCATGGGGTCCTCATGGCACTGCATTGGCAGAAATAGCGCAGGCCACAAAGAAAATGTAGTTATCAACATTTGCACATATTTCTTTTTTCATTCGATTTTGTGTCTTTTCTGTGGTATTGGTGTTTGAAAGATTGGTCTCTTGCTGTATGCTAATTGAATGCGCTACCATATCTTGTAGCACTGAATGTCAGATGGTTATGAATGTTCTATGGACAAGACTGGTTGAGACTGGAAAAGACTGGCGCTATGTCTATAAGGTATGTTATTCTTCCATAATATGACTAACTAGTCATCTAATACAGTAGAAACTTGATATGTATTTCCAAAGCTTATGGGTCTTTTTCATGCCTTGAACATCTGAAACCACTTCCCTACCAGGCATTGGCTGTTATAGAGTATTTGATTTCTCATGGATCTGAGCGTGCTGTTGATGACATAATAGAACACACTTTCCAGATCTCTGTAAGGCCTGAACCCCTATGCTTTCTGATAGTTGCCTTTGCAAAGTTTATGGAGTAAAGTTGAATTTCCTCTATTATTCTGCCTCCCCTACTTGTTTTGCGTTTCGCAGTCCCTCACAAGCTTTGAATATACTGAGCCAAGTGGGAAAGATATGGGAATCAATATCCGGAAGAAAGCAGAAACTATAGTGGGCATTTTGAATAATAAAGAAAAAATACAAGAAGCTAGAAATAAAGCTGCTGCAAACCGTGACAAGTAAGTTTATTTTCAGGAAGTGAAATGTATGCTTACTTGTAGCATTTTCATTGACTAAACTGTGTGTCTGTTAATACTTGTAGATATGTTGGCCTGTCATCTAGTGGCATAACTTATAAGTCTGGTGCATCCTCATATAGTAGTGGTGGCTTCCATGGTGGGGATAGGTATGGAGGCCTAAGCGACACAAGAGAAAGTGAAAGCTATAGAGACAGTTATAAAGAGAGGGACCGATATGGAGAAGAAAAGTTTGATACAGATGTCTATGTGAAGTCACGTCGAGGGACTGCAACTGAGAGCCAAGGGAATTCCTCAAAGGAGTATCTACATCGTAGCAGGTTTATGTACTACACTATTAATTATTAATTGTAAATTTTAAAATATTGTATAGGGTATAACTTGGCTTTACACTGTTATATTTAGTTGGAGAAAATTTCTTGGGCATGTTCATTTCCATTGGTTGCGATCCCCAAAGTTATTAGTACACTGTACTACCATGTTTTTGGATCTAGGAATCATGTTGCTGTTGTTAATTCATTTATTTTAAATAATGATTCCTTTTTCACTATTCATAATAACTTGATTATGGAAGTTCAAGCTCTATTACTGTAACATTTGGTCTTGTTCGCACACATGCAAACACATAAAATGTGATCCCAGACACCTTCACATGCTTAAACACACCCATATACCTGCAACCCTTGCATGTTTACCTATTCATATTTCCAACTTTTTTCTCCTCACTTTGTCCCACTTTTTTGTTAAAAATAAAGTCTTATTTTGTAATGTTTGTTTTGCAGCAAGGATCCAAAGAATAAATTATCTTCAAAGTCGAGTGATTCCAATAAATACAGTCAAAGCACAAGCATCCCTTCAAATAGTTATGATGATGATTTTGATGATTTCGATCCCAGGGGAACATCCAGTTCTAGTAAGAAAAATTTTGTTTCTGAAGTTGAGAATGCTTCTTCCCAAGTTTTGCTTTTATCATTTAAACTTAATCTTAAACATTGTATAAATCCAGTTTCTGCTAGTTCATTTTGTTAACCGGTTGAAGGTTGGCTGAAAGAGTGCTCCTTCCTCTTCGGTAACATGATTTAGATAGGATGTGTTTTACCAGTGCATTGTTTGATTATTCTTTTGACAGAGCCAGTGGCTGGAAGTTCTAATCAAGTGGATCTGTTTGGACAAAGTTTGATTGACAACCTCTTCGATGGCCCAGCAACTGTCCCTACGGATAAGTCTTATGTGAATACTGATTCAGCAGAAGTTGATCTATTTGCTGATGCAACGTTTGTGTCAGCACCAACCAAAGCAACAAACGAAGCAAGTCCTCAGGCACAGGTCAGACCTTTTTTTTTCATCTTAATTTTTGGAAATGCAACAATGAAATATTATAGCTATGCCAATTGAATTGACCTTCAAGAAAATTGGTGGTATATTTTGTCCTTTAAACAGATATAACTAGCTTATCATGTAACATGAAATTGAGTATAATGTTTCATTAACCTTGAAATATTGGATGATAGGGTCAGTTAAATGTAGGAGCCCAGTGATTTCTTATGGTCAACTTACACACAAGCAGCTTTTAGTAGTTGGAGAATTAAAGGTCCCTTTAATTAACTTCATGACTGTACCCCTCTGCCCTCTTCTCTTTAATACAAAAAATATCTCCCACTGCCAAAAACACCATTGCTTATTTTCCTTTGGTTTGCTTAAGAATCCTTGTAATCTTAGAAATGCTTTTATTTGAGCATGTAGAATATTAACATTTGTATATACAGTCTGATTTTCGGTTGGATATCATAGAGGTATTTGACTAGTTAATGAAGGAGTCAGGGCATATTTTTTAATCATGAGGAGCTGAAATCAGTTTGGCCTTCCCTCTTTCTCATTTGTGCAGGTACAGGTTGATCTATTTGCTTCCCAGCCTGCCATCACTCATGCAGACTCTCCGACTGTTGACCTCTTTGCTGCCACTGATCCAGTTGTGCAACCGGACACCATGGCACCAGAGTCTGAGCCAGCAAATGCTAACATTGTTGATCCATTTGCTGCTGTTCCGCTGAACAATTTTGATGGATCTGACATTTTTGGTTCATTCACTTCTCATTCTGATTCAGCTTCAAAAGAACCAACACAGAATCTCATTAATGATGGAAACCTTAACAGCATGGGCACAAAATCATCACAAGACTCTAAAGCTCCTCAAAAGAAGGATACTTTTCAGGTTAAGTCTGGAATTTGGGCTGATTCACTGAGCCGTGGAATAATTGATCTTAATATATCTGCTCGTAAGTATCTCTCATTATAGTCTCTACTCTTTGTTTATGTGTTTATTTTGCATCCTTTTGACTGTTGCATTGTCATTGGAAACCTTGCAGCCAAGAAGGTTTCACTGGCAAATGTTGGCATCGTTGGTGGATTGAGTGATGTAGATGAAAGAGAGAAGGGACCTCAAACTTCATTTTATATGGGGAGAGCAATGGGCAGCGGGTTAGGTATCGTTAAAACTGGCTTCACATCTTCACAAGCAACTGCCGAGGATGATCTATTCTCATGCCTTGGCAACCAACAGTATCAATTCGGTAACTTCAAGAAGTAATTTTGTTCATTTTCCCTCAGCATTCATTTCCCCATTTGGAAAAAAATTTTATCCAACTTGTTTCACATATTGGTGTGCTAGCCTTGATCATAAATTCAGATTTATATGAATCAATCATGAGGGGATATACATCCAGGGTACTCTCCACAAAGTCTGGGAAGTCTTTTTCCATTGGAACTGTTGCTTGTATGTTGGTATTGAGTTTTGATTCAAGTAAGTTAGCAGGCATAATTTCTTGTTCACATGTTTGTTCTCATCTCCTAAAGTCATATTTGGTGCATAAAATGATGGATAAGATAGTATGATAATCATTTTATATTATGTTTGGTTTGTATCTAATTGAAGGGGATAAGATTATAAGAAAGATTATCATCATCTTGATATAAGATGATTCAATCCTTTCAAAGTGGAGAGGATTATTTTTAATCAAAGGGATTAAACTTATATGTTCTATTGTATCTTTAAAAATTATATCAATAATTTAAATTGTATAAACTTTGAGGAAAAATAATTTTGATTAATAAATAAATTATCTTATATTAAGTTTTAAGCACATCAAATTAAGATAAAATAAGATAAGATGATATTCTTTAATCTATCTTATTCATAATATCATCATATTTTATTTTATCATAATTTTGGGTAATAAAAATAACCTAAACTTTTAATATTTCCCATTTTTTTATTAATTTTTTCGATGTTGAATGTCATGTCTGATTTAAAAGCAGTATCCACTCAGATGGGTAAATAATGATCGCTGTACATATAGGAAGGTCAGGCAAGCACAAATGGTCTTGGGAGTTTGTGATCATTTTGTTAACTAGTTTTTGGAGATAATAGATAGCAGCAATCCATCATTCTTCCCCACAGCATTGCTTCACTGGTCCTATGATGAATACCTACTAAAAAAACCCAAAGATATTAGGAGCTCAATAGCGGAGATAATAGATAGCAATTCGAATCAAGCTCAAGTACCATTCTCAGAAAGCATAGAAGGATAAACGCTACATGGAACAGCTAGGAATTATGCCATGGTAATTAATTCTTCACGATCTCATACACTAACCTTGTCTAGTGGAACAATTCACAGAATCAGATACAAAGGTTGCTGTGGGAACCATCGATTTCTTTTTCTGCCAATATCCACTCGCCCTTTTCTTTTCCTATTTCCCTTTTTTTTTTTTTTTTGGTTGTTGGCTTTGAAGCTGTTCGGCACAAGGGTTAAATGACACGTGGCGATTTTTAAATGGTACACGCATATTCAAAAGTGTTTCCTTTGGTCAAGATTCAGTCACGTGGGCCTGTTGAAAAAGCAATAACAAGTGTATATGTGTAATTGCACATGATTATTTATCGGAATTTGTATTTAAAAAAAAAAAAATCCTAAAGTAAGAAAGTCATTTGATTTCCGACTATATTATGATATTTTGATTTAAAAATTTTTTTTTTCAAATGATCTTAAATATATATTTTTCACATGCTACATTAAAAAAATTGAATTATGGTAAATAAAAATATTAATTTGTGTGAGTTTAGTTTTTATTTTTGAAAATTTTAATCTATTTTTAAATTTTTATTTTTATACCTTTCACTTCATTTATTTTATTAAAAAAATTATGTACCTAAATTTTAAATATCAGTTTTAATAATATATTAATTAATTTAAAAAATAGACCCTTTAATTTTTTATTATTATGTATGCTCTATTTCATTTTTTTAAAATAAAATTAATATTACAATGTTCATTAAATTAAATTAAAAGTCGCTATTAAAATAGAAAAAGCCCAAAAGAAAGACGTTAAAGTCAACAACATGCCACTAAAGCAAAATCCAGAGTGAGGGAAGGGTATTTTGCAAAAAAGAGAGTACTCAATGCTTAAAAACTTGGAAAGGGATAAGAACGGTTGGGGCCAACGATGGCAAAGGGTAAAATATAAAAAAATCCGAGAGGAGGAGCTTCTAGTTCTATCCAAAATGGGCCCACAATCCAAGCGCTTTTCACTTTTCTCAGACCAACGATCATTTCTTCTTCATTTTCTTCTTATGAATCCCTAAATAAGTCTACTCTTCCAATTTGCCTCTCGTTTTCACACTTTTCGAATCTCTTTTCCCTTCTCTATCTGCTATCCCTTTTTTGGTTTTTATGAATCCAATCTATCCCTTTACTTCCTTCACATTCTTTTCTCTTTCCATACAATTTACTTGTCTTTTCCCCCTTTTTCTCAGTTTCTGTTACAAATCACCGTTTTTAAACCGGTTAGTCTTTGAGTTATTGTAAAATTTGTTTGATTTTGAGTCAAAGGACCCATTTTGACATCTGGGTATTGATCAATTTGAGTTTTTGAGAGTCGGTTTAGGTGCTGGACCCCTTTGTTTAGTGTGAAATTGTTTTTTTTTTTTTCTTTTTTTGGCTCAAAACAAACAATTTTGCTTTATGGGTTTATTAAAGTTTGAGTTTTTAGTGGTGGGTTTTAATTTCGGTGGTGTAGTTCCTACTGTCTCTAGGTGAATTTTTACACAGTGTTTGTAATTGTGCCTTTTTTTGGTTGATTCTTTTTGTCAGAAAATAAAATAATGAAGAGAGGGAAAGATGATGAGAAGATTATGGGGCCTATGTTCCCAAGGCTTCATGTTAATGATACTGAAAAAGGAGGTCCAAGAGCTCCTCCAAGGAATAAGATGGCCCTTTATGAGCAGCTCAGTATTCCTTCACAGAGGTTTAACCCTGGGGTCTTGCCTCCTAACCCAACTAACTCAAGCAGGTTGGTTCCTCCGAGTTCCTCAAGCCAGGTATATATATATTTTTATCTATCTGTAGCTTTGTTATTTTTATTGGTTCATTAGGGGTTGATTCCTTTATTTATGTTAATTTGTTTATACATCTGTTGGGGTTTCGGTAAGGGTTTAATTATTTCCTTAGTAAACTTTATCCAAATGAAACATGAATTATGGTAATTTTGTAGGCATGTGGTTTATACTGTCTCTGATTGCTGCAAATGATTGATGCTTGCAGGGAAGTAGCCTTGAGGGAAATGTGCTTTTCCCATCTCGTGTATCTCCTTCAACAACCACTAATCTGGCTGAGAAGTTTCATACACGTCAGCTTGGAGGAGCAAGTGTAAATGCTCCTTTGGCACGCGCTGAACGGAGAAAGAAGCTCAGAGATGACGATGACTTCATGGTTCCTGTATTTGTTAACTCAAAGACAGGTCAACAACATAATAAAACTAAGAATGGCTTCGATGGGGAAAAACGCCCTTCCTTGAGCCCAACTTATCCTGGCCATCAAATAAAACTCCAAAATGTTCGTGATAAGGGTCCAAATCAGAGTAGCTCTTCTGGTGTCAATTTAAGAAAAGAGGCTAGAGATAAGAGTGAAGAGAGCTCAAAAGTGTGCTCAAGTGGGGAGAGTACCGTAAAAACTGCTGCAGACTTGTCAACTGGAGAAAAGATTGATGGATGTGTCAAAGAAGCCAATGCGTCTCCTGATCAAGATTTTGGAGAGCACCCTGCATCTAGACTTAGCAAATCGCTTGAAAATGATGCTTGTTCACTACAAGAGTTAAGAGCTGGCCAACAACCAGCAGATAATGGATGTATTGATAGTGTTGACTTCATGAGAGATATTGGTGAGGGAATTCTTCCCCGGAAGAGAAGCATGTCTTATTCAGAGGGGAATCACAGCGGACCTGATGAAACTAATAATGGCAGTGAATGCCGTGCAGACAAGACTTGTGGCTCACTACAGTGGGCTAATGGAGATAAAAGCAACGAAGTCTCGGAGACCTCCATGGTGGATTCTATATCAGGCTTGGATATCTCTCCTGATGATGTGGTGGGAATAATAGGTCAGAAGCATTTCTGGAAAGCAAGAAGAGCGATTGCCAAGTAAGTGTTCATTGTTAAGTATGATGGTTTCAGTTTATTTGGCTTTTCTGTTTTTTTCATCTGAGGATACCCTTTTTTTTTTTTCTTTTAATGCTTATTCATATTATCTACTTGTATATATAATGGCAAAACAGTGCAAGCTTTGTGCTTTTGAGAATGGGAGAATGGCAAAAGTTAAGCATGCACTTACACTAGAAATTTTCTAGGTCCCTTAGGAGGAGGGGTGGAACAAGAAATCTAGTCTATATTAGATTAGATTATTCAGTGTGATGTTTCAGGACGCATTGCCTGGTTCAATGGTGAAATTCTTGTCCTGATGTTTGACATAATGCAGGTAGAACTCTTGAGATTGGTCACTTTAGGAATCAGTGCTCCCAGGACCTTGAAACAATTTTATAGATTGATATATCAATATATGACAAAATATGAAATGTTTCATGCAATCTTTTAACGAAAATTTAATTGAATTATCTATTGCTATTAGTTTAAATGTGATTATATGTTCTGAGGGATGTTCTATTTATTTGTTTAGTATATTCTCTCTTGTTATTGTATGAAACTGTAACTTTTATGCCCTTATTGTTATTTAGTAGAATTAAAAGCACTGCTTTTCACTTATTATGAAAGGTTTTTTTTTTTTTTTTTGTGCCACTGTCATTATGAAAGTTTAGACAACTAAAAATAGCTGTAAAGACATTATGTATTTTAAATGTTTCCTCTAAGGCTGATACTAGAATTGGACATTGGCTAGGATCATTGTTTCTAGTTGTTATCGCAAGTTAAAGTTGCCTTTAGTTTGCTGAATGCAATTTGGATTGCTGATAGTGGGAATATAGAATAAATGCTATCTTGTGGACAGTAGTAAATATGGCTTTGATGGATGGGAGAATTTATGATCTGGAGTCCTGGGATTCCTCCCAAAGTGGCATTTTTGTGTGTTCAGAGGCCCTCGATAACGTATTAACTGTGGATCATCTTCCAGCAGGGAGAGCACTATCCTAATTTGTGCAAGGCAACATCCGAGACAGTGGAACTCCTACCATTCATTGTGTGCTCATCTGCATTTGGGATTTATTCCTGTCTCGGGTTGATGCTGCTTTCTGCACCTTTTGACCCTGAAATTTTTTGCTTCCATGGCATTAGAGGGCTTGGATTGGAGCTGGAGAACAAGCAGTGGAGGATTATCCCTGGAGCTAATGTTGGGTGGATCTTAGAGGAGGCGAACTGGGGAATGTTTGAAAATTTTAAAAGTTGGTGATGGATATTTTGGTAAATGGGATGTTGTCTGGCATGATATCTTGGGTTCTGTGGTGAAGGATTTATGTGGAATTGGGATTTATGAGCAAAACTTATGTTACAATTTAGTTTAGTAGTTCCGTCCTATGTACAGCTTCTAATTGTTTTACATTTTTATAATTTTGTACACTTTACTCATTTCAGTGCATATCTCTGTACAATAAAATATCTGTTTGTGTACATACTGTGAATTGAAAATATTCTTTTTGCAACAAATGCATGTGGCTTCGGCTTTGATTTTATTGTACTGAAGCTAAATGTTCTGTATTTGGCTTTCTTCAAAGATGACATTCTAAGAATTTCTGAATTACGTTTATTGCTAGCCTTGATATTAATTATTTCGTTGTTTTCTCCATTAAAATGCTAGCTTATTTTTTTGCATGATATTGCCTTCTTCTGTTTGTTAGATTCTGGTTTAGCATTATCCTAATTGCTATGAAATGCACATGGTATGTCGTTGACACTGATATAATTTTAGAGCTAGGAAGAGGTTTCACCGCTCAATGAAACTGAAGAAGGTTTCTGTTGTGAAAGAGTCACAAACCACCCCTCCCCAAAGCATAGAACAATGATTTGAGGATAAGTGAGAGGAATCATTGACTTCAACCCTTTATATATTAACCACTTGAGTCACTTTGTCCTCATACGAAGCAATTTTTGTCTGTGTAATAATCTTTTCTAAATGATGCTATTTAGTGCTTATTCTGATGAGTTTCCAGTTGCTATCCCCCTTTCATCTGCGAGCAATTGTGTCTATTAAAACTGTAATATTATGACCTCTGCAAATTTTTCTTGATCAACTTCTGTTACTCTCTACAGTCAGCAAAGAGTATTTGCAGTACAAGTGTTTGAGTTGCATAGACTGATTAAGGTAAGGTGGTCCTTGATCTTGTTTTACAGTTTCTGCTGGTTCCTATACAGATACATGCATACACACGCACACACAAAACACATGTATATATACAGTCAAAATGCTTAATGCTTTGGGTTGAAACAGGTCCAGAGACTAATTGCTGGATCACCGCATCTGTTGCTTGAGGATATGGCATATCTGGGAAAACCCTCTTTCACCGGCTCTCCTGCAAAGAAGCTTCCACCAGAGTTTATTGTAACACCACTGCCACACACTAAGCACAATGATGACTCTGAGAAGCCAAGTAATAAAATGGAATGTTCAGCAGAAAATGCGGTTGGAAGGACATCCCTCTCTTCTGTGAAAAATGGTAATCAGCCTTCAAATTATGGGCCTTTCCTTGGAAACCCACCACCTGCACCAGTTAATGGTGATAACAAAATGAATCCTTGGTTTTTCCATCATGTGCCTGGGCACCAATGGCTGGTCCCTGTGATGTCCCCTTCTGAAGGACTGATATACAAACCCTATCCTGGACATGGATTCATGGGATCTGTTTGTGGAGGATGCGGACCTTTTGGACAAACTCCTATGACAGGCAACTTTATGACTTCAGCTAATGGAATTCCAGCTTCTACTCTAGGAATTGGGGTTCTACCAGGTGCTTCTCCAGTTGGTCACTCTTACTTTCCTCCTTATGGGATGCCAGTCATGAACCAAGCAGTCTCAGGTCCTGCTGTGGAACAAATGAACCAATTTGCTGGACCTGGTTCCCATGCCCATAGTGGGCAGTTAGCTGGAGGTGGAGCTGACTTTAACATGCAACTTCAAGGTTCACGTAATTTGCCTAGCGAGAAAAATGGTTCTATTTCTCATGTCATGAAGTTTCAGGCATCTACAGAAACCGAGCTACAAGGGAGTATAGCAAGCAGTCCTAGTGAGAGAGTGCAGAGAATTGGGGCCAGTAGTGCTGCTGAGGGAAAAAATGCACTTCCACTTTTCACTACAGCTCCAATCATTCCGAAGGATGCCTCTCAGCCTTGCGATACTTATCAGAGGACAAGAGTTATAAGAGTCGTGCCTCATAATCCAAGATCAGCCCCTGAATCAGCAGCCCGTATTTTCCAATCCATACAGAAAGAGAGAAAACAAATATGACTCAGTTTAGCTTGTTTATGGTCTGGGAGTCATCTAGCTTGGTGTGTTGCTTGGTCATTTTCTCCCTACTTTTGTAATGATACTGCACCCTTTTCCTACTAATTTTCTATTTTACTTGTCTGGTTATAGTTTATTCTTATGTAGATTTATCTTTGATATTACAAGTCAATGTAACATGAACTTGTTCTCTCTTCAATACTTTTAGGCAGATGCAAGAACCTTTTTAAGGGGGAAAGATGGTTTCTGAACATGATGTACCTGATCCCTACCTGACAGCTTCTTTTGTGACTTCCTTAAATCTCTATTAGATCACTGGTTTCTTTTTTGATCTCATTTTGAAGGAACAAATAATGATAATATAAGGTTAAGCAAAACTTTTCAGCACATTTGATTTTATTAATTCTATGCTAAATGGTGGAAACAAGCTAAATACAGTTGCAAGACTCATGGACAATGAGGATTAACACATTAAACATTAGATTAAAAATGCAATGCCATAAACAATTTTCATATAAAAGGATCGTACTATGATTTTTCTGCTCCACGTGGTGTGTATTTAGTGGTTAATATCTGCCAGGCAAGAGACGGAGTATATTCCAGAAGGATCCATATCAATCAAATTAATTACTAAAAAAGAACGCCTAAAATCCTTGGAAGATGGAAATATAAAAAGAGTCGAACCCTCAAAAAGGATTTTCTCCTACAGAGAGTGAGAAAGACAGAGTGAGAGAAGTGACAGAGAAAGCTTCGGTTCGACGCTGCTCAAAATGGTGAACTACATGCTGAAGATCGTTGCCGACCTCGAAAACCTAACCAACCTCCAGCCTCATGGCGGCTGCGACGATCCCTCCTTCACCTATCTCTTCAAGGTCTCTCTCTCTCTCTCTCTCTCTCTCTCTCTCTGCTTTTGACTTTGATTTTCCTCGTTTGAGCTGAGCTCATTTTATTTTGATACGATTTAGTGACTTCGAACCGTTTCTTTTCTACTGTAAACACAGATTTATTACTCTTATTGTCGCTTGAATCCTCTAGGTTCTCCATTTTAATCCTTCTTTCACTTCAAAGTAAATGCTTATAGTCGTTTGATAATTCATTATTTCATTTGAATTTTTTTACCTATTCAGTTTTGCTTCATTTATAGCAACTGCAAATAGACGTGCATTGACTTTATCTATATCCGTTTGTTTTTCTATTTTTTTCCTTTAAAACTGCTTCCATTTTCTTATTTCATTTTTGAATCTATTTCTCAGTGTTTTTACATCGGTCTTCGATTTTTCTATCATTTTTGGATGGCTATGCTTTTGATATTTCTTTGATTCCTTTCATAGTTTTGTTGCAATTTCTTCCTCTTAAGTATTCGAATCTGATTTCACTTTTATAGATTTTACCTAACATTCCTTATTCTTTTTTCCTTTTTTTTTAAGTTATGTAGATAAGGATGATGATAATCTACTATTAGCAACTTTCTCATATCCTTGTTGTTTTTATATATCCTTGCTTTTCTAGGTTTTATTTCACTAATATTAGAAATCTTAGATCTATTTGGTTATTTTGAGTTGCAGCTGAAATGTGGGAGGTGTGGAGAGTTGAGTCAGAAGGAAACATGTGTGAGCTTGGGCGACGCCGTTCCTCTTCCACAGGGCAGGGGAACCACCAATCTCGTTCAGAAGGTAATCATGTATATTTGTGTTGCCAGTAAAATGAATTGATTTGAAGTGAAAGTTCATTATGATCCGTGGAATTTATATTTGTTTGGTTGCTGAGAGCATGGAGGGGACGAGGGAGACAAATTCTAATTCTTATGAGTAACATTCAGATTTGGAATTAGTCCATTTCTTGTAAAATTCTCATTTGGGTTGAATCTAACCTTCAATCTCGGCTGCACATGGTAATACTAGTCCTGGTTTATTTTATTCCCCTTCTCATTTTGAAGCAGGCAGATACTTCGAGTTTAGTGTTGTCGATTCTGTCTAATCGGAATTTTTGTTTTGTGAATTTAGTTGTAAAGTAACTGTGTTTTCTGAACTCAAAACAAAATCCACAAATCTACATTAGGTGTTAAGACTTAAGAACCAATAATTAAGCAACCTTATTCTTGGTTTCAAGATGCAAATATTCTTTTTCTATCATGTGTTGTATAATTAGAAAAAGCATGATATGATTCTAAAATGTAATTGTAAATCTGCAGGACTCTTTTCAGTTCACATGCTGTGATGTTGATAGAGTTTTTCTTGGATCCATTCCTTCTAAAAGTTGCTTGGGATTGAATAAGTTTAGGAACTGTATTCTTTTTCTAGATAGCATTTGTTTATATCTTAGGCGTTTCAGGAGCCTAATGTAGATATTCTATGTAGATATTCTATGAGTTTAACTTGTATACAATAAAACTTCTGCATTTTCTATGACATATTACTTTAGTTTCTTAGGTTGCAGAACTTAAATTTACTACACTGGGCCTCTCCTTTTTTTCCCTCTAGCTATTTACCTCCAGTGATTAGTGGTATGGTGGTGCCTTTTCTTTCTTTTTCTAGTGCAAGTTTTGCATGAGGGAAGGAACTGTAACGATGATCTCAGGCCGAGGTCGACCACTGACCCAGGAAGACTGTGAAGAAGGAAAATTTGCACCTTTGATGCTTTTTGATTGCAGGGGTTACGAGCCTGTAGGTTTTGTATTTGGTGGTGGCTGGAAGGTTGAATCTGTAAGTCTTTATTCTTCATCCTCCAACCTAGATGGTCTTTTATTGGCTGTTAGGAATTGTGGATATAGCTTATCATCATAGCAACGGCTTTGGAATGTATTTATCAGTACATGTTCTTTGTTTTTAAAAACCAAAATAACCAGAGTCATGGACACGTAAAAGATCAGGACTAGTCACTTTATAGAAGTCCTTGCTTAATATTTTGCATATCCTGAATGTTTTTCATTTGATGAATTCCCTAGTTGGGAAGCACATAATTTGATTTTTTATACCCACCTCAACAAGGCATTTAAACTGTGTCTTTATACAATATCCAATGGAATGGAATGGGCAAGCCTGGCTAGAAATTTACAATTAACGCCGCACTTGCATGTGAATTTGTTTATGTGATACTAGTAATCGGATAACTATCCGGATAATAGGGAGGCACTGCTACTTTCTAATTTATGGTAGTTATTGAAAGATTCTTTCCCGCTTGAGCTGTAGCCATCCCCATCTATATATTTGGTGTAGGTGTCTTCATGTCAACTTACAGTAATTTGTTTGTGCAGCTGGAAGGGACAAAATTTGAAGGTGTTGACTTGTCTGGTGACGAGTTTGCTGAATATGATGAGAAGGGAGAGTGCCCAGTGATGATATCCAACCTCCGATCTACTTTTGATGTGGTGAAGTGAAGTAATACTAATCTCCTGCTCGGACATGTTTTGATAAATAAAACTGACGGTTCATTGTGAATGAGGTAGAAACATGTGACTGGATTACATGTAGGCATGAAGCTATATACAAAGGTGGTTTGATGTGGAATGTTGAGTTTGGAGTTTGTTAATAGATACACTGGGAATGGTTCAAAATGATTAATGAATCACATTATGTTTGTGCCATTTTGGTTTTCTTGATTTTTATGAAGATAATTGAACTAGATGCAAAATCACTTATGGCTGAGATGAAACTAATAGGTGTTTGAGAATGGATTCTTTTCAGACCTGGAAAAGCTTCATGATTCTTAGTCTTCAGATAAAGAGCTGGAACTGTTGGTGCCTGGTGAGGCTGAAGTGGGCCAACTTGGAGTAGTGTCAAGAAATTTTTATCTGGTCTTCTTGATTTTTTTCAGTTCACATTCTTATTTGAAAACCACCATTCCCCAGATGCACTAATGTTCTTCCAGCAGTTGGGAGTGTTCCAATACACTTTGGAAGTCGTAAGGCTGCTCCAAATATTTGCTAGTGCATCTCATATATCAGGTAACATGAGAGGTGGGGTTTAGTTGGCAGGAAACGATATTATTTATACTTGGAACCAAACAACAGCCTTCTTACCGCTACTTTTTATCTAGGAAACGATGGACTGATTCTGAATTGGATAAATTTGTTCCCATTGGGAGTCTATGTAAGAATATTTGCGGGATACTTCACCACCACGTTGTTTCCAGCTAGCCTTCAACAGAATACGAGAGTCAACTTAGGTGGAAGTGGTTTTACGTCCATGCACGTATTGGCAAGCGAGCTCATAAATGTAGCTCAAGGTGATTCGTCAATGAAACACCACCCTCCACCCTGAGTTTAAGCCGATGAAAATTCAAAACCAGCTTTGGCATTAAATGGGTAAATCTAGATCACTCCCCTTTCTGTCATTCTAATCCAGCGATAAAGAATCAAAATTCGACCATTTACTCCTTTCATGCTCGTCTAATGAGCAAGGGAAATTAATTACCAAAATTAGACCGTCTGCGTTGATTTTTGTACATCCTAGAGGCATTTATAGCTGGGGAGTTTCAGATTTTCATTGTTTGTTATTTTGGTGAGCAAGGTTTTCACAATCCCATTCGAGGAAAGAGACCCTAACAGCATGTCCATGCTTCATATCAAATCCCACCTTCAATGACATGCGGGTTTCGTACTTCTATCTGAACTTTCTGGCCCCTTTGTTTATGGCACGGCACCATTACCTCCGCAATTTTAGTCACCAACCCATTCACCTGGTTCCTTGTTTAACATATTCTTATCTGTACGAAGCCGTTTCTTCCTTTATCCATACTATCCCCCAGCATGTCAAATAGCAACCTGAAACCCCATAGGACAAGACTGTCTTTTTAACACACTTTAGGCTGCCCAATATCACAAATCAAAAGAGTGGCCATATCATTTTTAAATACGTTCTACACGTGGCTGCCAACAGAAGTAAACGCCCCGACAAATGCCAACGCCGACTCGCAAAAGGAAAAGACAGCACTCCCATTACACTCCCGGTCTTCCTCGCCTGTGAAGAAAGGGACATTTTAATTAACTTTCCTCAGATTTCACAAATCACGCTCTTAACACTACAAAATCCAAATGATAAATTTCCATTAATCTGTTACTATCGTTTCTCTCCTATACTTGTAGACTAACCAACCTTCCCCATATCTTGTTCCCTTGCCTTCACCAAACTTTTCTGTCCTCTGCCTAACCTCATTTCTTGTTTTTCCATGTTGACCTTAACAATAATCTGGGGCGCAATTCAAGCACCTAAATAGAATTATAAAGCCTCTTTATCTCTGTTTCTTTCTGCGTTTGCATGGTACGTTCACTTTCTTATACTTCTGTCCTTTTTTTAATGGAAAGATTTACATCTTTGATCTTGGCTTAGGGTTCTGATAAGAACATTGTTTATCCAATATTCTTTTACTTCATACTCTTGATTTTCACGCTGTAATAGTTTATAGTAATTTTTTTGGCCAGGTGGTATAACTTGTCAGCTCTAGATCTGTTATTCTATCATTTTTTCTGTTGCTAAGAAGGGCTGTACTTTTTGAAGTTAATTAGCTATTACGGAAACCCAGATAGTGGAAATTTTCACTGAATTAATGGGTTGCGATCAAATATGCATGAGCTTTTAGTTTACTGCTTTCGAGTGGAAAACAAAGAAGGGGGCGGGGGTTCTGGATCTGACCCCAGAAGTTGAATTCTGGTTTTGGAATTGTCTTAAAGGATGCAAACAAGAGTTGGGTCCGTTGGGTCCGTTGGGTCATTTGAGGAAGGCAAGGATCTGGTGGTTACAACAAGGACAGGCTCTAAGACTTTGCCACTAAGGGTACTTCAGCTATTTGGGTTGTTTCTTGCTCTCTGTATTGCCTTTTCGATCATTAGTATATATACAATTCGGCATTTTAGAATTTATAGTGTGGTAACTACGGTCAAGTCTAATTTTGTGCCGTGTGATGAGGAACCAAATAGTTTGGATCATTGGAGAAAACCTCCATTGAATTTGCTTCACTCAATGAGTGATAAAGAGTTATTTTGGCGGGCATCTTTTATGCCCCGAATAAAGAAGTATCCGTTTAATAGGCTTCCAAAGATTGCTTTTATGTTCTTGACCAAGGGGCCATTGCTGCTTTCTCCTCTTTGGGAGAGGTTTTTGAAGGGGCATGAAGGGCTTTATTCTGTCTATATCCATTCACTGCCATCCTTCAATCCTGAGTTTCCTCCTTCTTCAGTTTTTTACAGGAGACAAATACCAAGTCGGGTATGCTATTCAAAATGTCCATTTCATTTTATATTAGTTTTCATTTGTTTCTGTATTTTGTAAATTGTTTTAATAATATTTGTTCTTTGTCGTGTTAAGAACCCCTCCGCCCTTATTCGTCTGTAACATAGTTTATGTGTATTTTACATGCTTATGGATGTGAAGATGATTTCTTGTCTTTATTTTGCTCTTATTATGTTTAGAACTTCTCTTATGTAGATTCTATGCTAAGAATGATAATAGCATGCTTGGATGTCTTCTCAAATTTTGTTATCTGAGCATTTCTTAACTGTTGAAGAGGTTAGCATTTTTAGTAAGTGACATTCAGAAATTTGGTTTTTGGAGTTTAGACTTAGAACTGCTACCATTTATGGCCTCTTACTCTTAACCTTTTTTCCCCTTAAAATAATAGGATTTTAGCTTGTGCCTCTCCTTATCTATCTACTCAAATTCCAGTTTTGATTGGTTCTTGGTTAGCTGGATGGTTGTGATTTGGCTTGTGCAATCTATAACCTCTTTGCAAAAGAAGGGGTTGTTCTCGCATACAATGCATATAGACATACCACTGGTTGATTGCAAACGCAAACAAAATTAAGGTCATGAACACACGATAGTATTTCTCTTTGATAAACAAAATAGGAAATGGGATTGAATTGTATTTGATTGTTCAAGCTGTATGTGTCATTACCTTCAATATTTGAGATCATCTAACCCGGATTGAACCTTGCAGTTATGTTCTGTGGGTCTGTCTTGTGCTTCAAACTAAAACTCAGGTTTAAGACCCTCCCTCGCATTAAAGCACAGCATATCAGTGGTGCTTGTTGAAATGTATTAGCCCTTGTAATGTTGCACTGAATGCCTATCTTTCAGTGACACCGAATTATGTTGCAGTGGTTGCTGATTTTTTTTTTTTTTCTTCCCATCGGTCATGACTCATGATTAATAATTTTTTGGCATTTGTTCTTCAAAAGTTCAGATATATATATATCAATGAGCAGCCCTTTGTCTCTTCTCTTTTGGGGGGTTGTGGAGTTCCTAATTTCTGTATCTGCTTCTCTACAGGTCTCTGAGTGGGGAAAGATGAGTATGTGTGATGCTGAGAGAAGACTTATTGCCAATGCCTTGCTTGACATATCCAATGAATGGTTTATCCTCCTCTCTGAATCTTGCATACCTTTATACAATTTTAGTGTCATATACCGCTACATAAAGAAATCCAAATATAGTTTCATAGGTGCATTTGACGACCCCGGGCCATTTGGTAGAGGACGTTACACTGATTATATGGCTCCTGAGGTGAATGTGACCCAGTGGCGTAAGGGGTCCCAATGGTTTGAAATTAACCGAAAGCTTGCCATCAACATAGTGGAAGATTTTACATATTACCCGAAGTTTGAAAGGTTCTGCAGACCAGCATGTTACGTTGATGAGCATTATTTCCCCACCATGTTAACAATTCAGGCATCAAATCTCTTAGCAAATAGAAGCATCACATGGGTAGACTGGTCGAGGGGTGGGGCTCATCCTGCAACATTTGGTAGAACAGATATTACAGAAGAGTTCTTCAAGAGAATATTGGAAGGTCATCAGTGTAGGTATAATGATCAACCGTCTTCAGTTTGTTTCCTTTTCGCCAGAAAATTTGCTCCAAGCAGTTTGGAGCCTTTGTTACAGATAGCACCAAAAGTTTTGGGCTTCTGACTTCTACGTGATGAAAGAATATAAACCTGCCTGTGCAAGATTTAGCTCCTGAAAGCAAAATTTGAGGTTGAGATTGGGTCCATGAGACTATGGGAGCATCCCAGGTACATTCTTTGATGTCATACACAAATGGGTGTCTTTGCTTCTTTCATTTTTATAAATTTAACCCTCCTCAGTGACATGATGTGGTTTCTTACTTTGTACAATCTCCTAATTCTTTGGAAAACTCCCAAACCATTCTGTATGTACACAAAAACGCCCCCACTTTCACATTTTTGTATTGGGTATTAGGTATTTTGGTTTCTGCAACTCTCAAAACCCCCTCTCTCTCCATATTTTTGGCCAATGAGTGAATGACTATGATTTTGAGCTTTGAATATGGCCATCATGTAAAACTCATCATGTAAAACTTGTGACTATGATTGGTTTGGGAAAGGGAATATAATAATGTGAAATTATTTGATACATTGATATTAGAGTTTTTTAATTGATCCAAATGATAATATATATATTAATTTTTTAAAATTAATTTTTTAAATATATAAAAAATATATATTATCATTTTAATTTCGATTGTGAAATTAAAAATTTTTATTAATAGTGTAGTGAATAATTTTTTTTTTATAATTGTTATAATAATGATGATGATGTTAATAGTAGCATTTTTCTTTCAAAAGATAATACTAAAGTACAATGAGATGGCATTTCTTTGTCTTTTGCTGCCTATTAAAACATAATAAAAGGACAAGTAACTGGTCTTAGTCTTACTCCTTAGGACACGTTGTTTTGTCCCTTTTCCTTTTTTTTTTTTTAAAGAAAAAAAACTAAGGAATCCGATGCTATTACCTTTGATTTTTTGCAAGAAAAATACCATAATTGATGAGATTAAATGCAGAATAGCCCCCCACCCCTACGTACACGCAAATTTAAAGGCCAGCTTGACTAACTTGCTGACAGAAATAAGGCAAAAAATAAACCTTAAGGAAGTCGCACGTGTAATAATTAAAAAAAGTGTGTGCCCTTGCCAGCGAAGGCTTTCAGTTTCAACCCTTTAAGCAAGAGGAAGCTTCTCGAATGCATATACACCTGCCTTTCTTTCTTTGCTTGGAATTTCAAAAAATACGTGTCCTCTATGGCTCTCCACGTGTTCTCCTCTGGTTGGCCCAATCTCTGATCTGCCATGTTACGTTTCGTCTGTGGGACCCTCAATGAATCCGCGTATTTAAGTTTGTTTCGCGATAGAATCTGCGTGATTTCTTCCTCAATTTCGGCCTACGTGCCCATCACACTCTCTCCCTCCCGTCTCGTCTCTTCTATTTTAACCATCGCTACCCAAATCTTCTGCGCGTGTAAACACCGGTGAATATCCAACCTCGATCTTTAGCCAAAACTTTTAAATAGCCACTGGATTCGCGAGTGTCACACACTCTCAATAACTGAGTGGTTCCACTACTCTATAGAAAATGACAAAGTATCAAATTCCAATCCCATCACAAGAAAGAACAAAGATCCGCGGCTAACGAACATTAACTACGTCAAAAACTACCGCGTTTTTGTTCGTCACGCCTTGTCATTATCAAAAAACTACTGGGGGGTAATTAATAATAAGAACAATTATTAACATTAAGGAAACCCTAAGAAGCGAGGACCCGCTAGAGTACCAGCTGTAACAATAACATTCTCCAGCCTGGAAATCCGGGCAGCTGCCCGACCTTTCCTCTTCTTCTCTCTCTATATATTAGACCCCGCCACTACCGGAAACCCTTCATATTTTCTCGCTCTTCCAAAAAAAAAAAAAGTAGTATTCTTTTTGTTTAAGAATTCCAACAACAATGGCTCTCTCCAGGACTTTTCTGATGCTTGTTGTCGTCGCTGTTTGCGCTCTCATGGGTTCGGCCATCGCTGCCGAGGCTCCAGCTCCAAGCCCCACCTCAGGAACGGCCCTGATCTCTCCCTCCTTCGTCTCAGTTTTCATCGCCGCCGCTCTGGCTCTGCTTTTCAGCTCTATTCTCAGGATCTGACGATGCCACCTCCAGTTTTGGCGTCTCCTTGGTTTGGCGGCTGTGGATGGTGTTTTAATGGATGCTAGGTTTTCATTTATACATATTTATATTTTGTTTTAACTTGGTTTGGAATTTTACTAGTAGTGAATCTAGAGTATATGAGAGAGAGAGAGAGAGAGGTAGTTATGTTATGTGCTGCACAGATTATTGATGGATGATGTTTGGACTTAAATTATTTCAGTGTTATTGTGGGTTCTTGTCATTTTTATTATTATAATGAGAAATCTTTTCACTTCATATATACTCCATTTGTTTCTTAGTTTCTTGCTTTTTTTGTTTTTTTGTTTAGTATTTTCTTGCGTTTTCTCTGCAGCCAAACATTAGTAGTACCAGTAGCCATATTCTTTACAGTTATGTTACATTGGACTTTTTTCATTCTACTGATTGGTCTCGCTTTGCTCTGAAGTTTGTCAGACTGTAAAGACAAATTTACCCTTCAATACGTCACAGTTTTCACTCAGTAAATAAGCAATATATTGGAATGATGTTGGCCAGTGGGCAGCAACCACCACTCATGTAAATTGGAGAATAATTCTCCATAATTCTTTTATATATTCACACTAAATCATGAATGGGGTCCCTTATTTTTTTATGTTAAAATAACTTTAAACACTTTACATAAGCCTAGCTGTAGCAGCCCCTTTTTTTCTTTTTTCTTTTTTTAAATTTCTTTTCTTTTTATGCTTTATTTCAACAACAAAAAGTAAAGTCTGAATGAGGTTGGATACCAAAACTAATAGTGGTTTAATAATAACCGCACATGCTGGTTGGTGGGTCTTGTTTAGTTTTATGGGACAGATCATAAGTCAAGTACTTTGGAAAAATCAAGGTGGTTGCTTATTGAAATTTTGAAGTCAATGGCAAATGATTAAAATCCCACATGATTTTCATTGCATATTATTCTAAATGAGAATGAAAACCCACCTTCTCTCTTCAGGTTTTCACCAAGAAATTATGCTTATTTTGATATTATAATAATGTTGTTTAAGTTATTTTATTCCAATTAACTAACCATATAGTAGTATTTAATTGCCAGTTTTATCAATTTATGAACTCATGTGAGGTTATTTGGAGATAAACTCTGTCATACGAGCAAGACGTCAACTTCTAGTTTCACCATCAATACTTTTCCAGAGAATTAGGGACGATCTTGGTACATGTCAATGTCGTGGGGAAAACTTTCAGTGTCGAATCATTGGTTGCCAGCTTCTCATTTTTTGATTTACAACTCTATAGTAAAAATGACCAGTAAGACAAGGTGTTTCCATCCTTGAAAATAGTTTCTGATTCCATAGCATTTCTTTTTCTATCATTTCATACTATATAAGTAGAGTGTCAATTTCGAAAACTAGGTGTATATTCAAAGCTAGTGTATATTCAAGCAGTTCTCTTTCCATTTGTCTTACAAGCTGGGAAGAAGCAAGTAAAACCAAGTTCTTAAGTTTTTGCCACATGAAAGAAATCTCGAGTAGGTGGGAAAAACAGATGGTGAAATTTTTGTTACTCAAGGTGGTATAATGGGATTCGATTTATTGGGGGAATTTACTTTAAAACAAAAGCAGAAGTTGATAGCAGATAAAATTTTGGTTTAATTTTAATTCTTTCATTCATCTCATAGATGAAAAGGTCATCATTTACACAGTTCAAACCCTTCTCTCATCCTCAACAAAAAAGACCCAACTGCAAGCTATTGAACATAATCATCATCATCATCATTGCATTACTCAAAAACAAACACCTAAACTGCTTCCAGAAAGGCTGGTTTCTATTCAGAATCAGATTCCATATTACCCATAGCCTTTAATCCCCTGGGTCTCTGCATAAAAAAGAATACAAAGATTTCAGTTTCATATATATATATATATAGTGGTTATATCTAGGAATAAGAAAAAAGATAAACAAAACAAATCCAATTAATGTAGATGAGCTATCTCAAAAACCAGATTTCTATTACTATTAGGTACCTTCTTTGAGATCTTCTTCTCCCTGACCTCATATCGATCAAGGGTTAAATCACATAGCCATGCCCCCGGACTTACCAGCTGTAAAACAAATTTCCCAGAATTAGCATTCAAATATATAAACATCAATATTCTTTCAAAATTTTAATATAAAAAAATAGTGCAGCAAGCTAGAAAAAAACAAAAGAAATGAATAATTTTTTTCATTTTTTTCCAATGTGGTCTGGAAGCCTGGAACTGCAATTATACAGACTAGCCCCATTGAATGATGGGTCGTGAGCAACGGGCTGCGCGTGCCCACTTTTGTCTGTTGCTCTTCATTTATAAAATTAATTGTCATCCGTGTCTTAGATCATAACCGTACACCTGTCATACCCAACACCATCCGCCTCCACCGCGGTCCTCGTGTTCAAGTCTCCTAAATATAAGATTTTTTTTTAATTACAGGTTTACGTTGACCCAATTCATTTATATCATACGAAAATAACATAAAATATATAAAAATAATTTCATTTAAAATTTTAACAAATATTATAAATAAATTTGTGTTTGGCATAAATAAAGTTGATATTTTAATTTTTATATTTTAAATAATTGATATGAAATAAATATAATATTAATTAACAAGTTTTATTAACTTATTTGTTGATTATTAATTATCATCAGCTTTTTAAAAAGCGAAATCAAAAAGAGCTAAAGAAATGAAAAGTAACAAGAAGCAATACAAGAAACTGTCTGCCTGAAACATTTCATTGGAAGACATCTGCCTTGTTCTTCAAATCGGGACTGTGTCACAGCCTCACAGTAACAGGCTTCCAGTGGGCCACCTAACTAACTTAGGTCATTCGAATTAATTGCTCGCCCACTCTTTGACTGACACGTAAACTATTACGTTTCACTTGCTGTCGCTTTGCCCACTTTCTTAGCCCATTCCAGCGTTTTCCTTTTTGTTTTTGTTTTTCCTAGCCAAGTGGGCAAAACAATTACTAGTACTAATAAACAAGCCATTATTTATTTTTCTTTGAAGTATTTCACAAGTACTGCCCCTGGTCTATCTAAATGTTGTACCTCATCTATTTCCTTCACAAATAGTAAACTAATTTCAGTTTCAAATCAAAGCCTGCTCCAATGACTAAAGTTTGATTTTGCCCCAATTTTAAAATTTCAAAATTATGTGTTACGAAAACGATAATTCAACGAAATTAAGAATCATTGAAAAAAAAAAAAAGGAGTGAGAGATGGGGCTTACATTGAGGGTACGTTGAATAAACTTGGCTCGTTTTTTGGGTCTTTGTGGCAGCTTGGATCCTTTAATGGCCATGAAATCTTCTTCTTTCTCTTTATTCGTTAAAGCAATCACGAATTTCGGTGGCCAAACGGGTGGAGCTGCCTCACCGCTCCCGGAAGAGGAGCCCCCCTTTTTGCTATCGTGAGCCGTCTCCGAAGATGCCGCTGATTTGTTGTTGTGTTGGTTGTTATCATTGTTGTTGCTGTAGTGGTGGTGGTTGTTATTGTTATGGTTGCCACCACCTCTCTTATCGTGCGCACCCCTGTCTGGCGAAGCGAAACCCCTTACACCACCGTTGCTTTGGCTTCTCATAGCACTGGAATTCTCAGAGTTCCTACAAAGATTAACAAGAATTCACATCGCATAATAATAATACCATGTACAAATATCTTGAAAAGAATATGGTAAAAAAATATTAAAATAATTTAAAAAATTCAAGTGATGTGAGTTTTGGAAAGTAAAAAAAAAAGTTAAGTTGTATATGTAGAATTACAAATATAACCTTGGAGTGATCTAGATCGGTGGGTGAAATAGAGTGGATCGAATCTGGACAAGAATTGCGTAGACAATGGGGATAGCGATTTTTTTTTTTTTTCTGCTTTTTGAGGGGAAGAGTGAGATTTTGGGGTGGCTTTCAAATAGAGATTTGTTAATTCCTTTCTTTCTTTGTTGTGATGAAAAGTTCAGATATTTGAGCGAAGAGACGAGTGATTCTATTTCTATCTCGATCTAAGTCACACAGCTGGTTTTTTTCTAGACGGTTTAAGGCCGTTGGATTTAAGGCTTTTTGCCTTTCTGGCGGGTTAAGGTTACGTGTTGAAATATGGGTTGGTATGGGGGATAAAGTGGACCAGATTCCTAAATCCCAATTTGTGATCGGACGGCTGACATGGCTGGGATAAAAACACACTTTTCGTAGACACGTGGTAAGGCAACTGTACTTTCCATGTTTCCCAGGACTCCATGGGGTTAGGAAGGAAAACCAAAGTCTAGGATCAGGTGTGGTGAGGTGCACAGAATCGAGCATATCAATTGTCAAAAGTTTCGAGCAAGAGAATCACAATTAAGAAAAGAATACTAACTACAATAGCAGAAATATTAACAGCAAAACAGATGGCAATTATTATCAAAATGAAAACAAGATCAAACACTGATTTTCATCGAATTTTATATGGAATTTAATCTAGTTTTCATCCAAGATGGAGGGTTATGTAAAAGGAGAGGACTACTTCACTATCATTTAGGCCAACCATGAAAATCAAAGAACTAAAAAACAAACAAGACCGTTCAGAAAGAAAATTTGGAAGAAAGAAAAAAGATCACAATATCTCATTACCATAAGCATGATTTTCCCATTATTGTAACTTAAAATCTGGCCAAAAAAAAATAAGAGAATAAAAATAAAAAAATTTTGATTTTGACACATGAAAAATATTTTCTTAAAAATAATTATACATCTAAGATATAATAAAATTTTAAAACTTTCTGAGCAGAAATAATAAAAATAATTGTATTGAAATATTTATTTATAATGAATGAACAAATATAAATTTTTATTTAAATGAGTATGATTTTTTATATAATTATGAGTTTTATAAATAATAATTTATTTATATTAAATAATTATAATTATTTATCATATGATAATTGTTTTTATTCAAACTTAATTATATAAAGTATGAATAAAATTAGTACAAAAATTAATTTTATTCATCAATAATTAAAATTTTCTATTGCATCATAGTTTAAACTGCAAACAGTACACAAAAACACATAATCTATGTATCCAACCAGAACCTCATTGAAGCAAGCACAACCTTGTTTTTTGATCATATTACCCGTTAAGATATCCTCGTGGAAAAGCAACAGCTTCCCCTATGATTCTTGTATGTCTATAAGTCTTTCTAAAGAAAATAAACACTAAATTAGCATGAACAACCTGTTTCAGTCAGACGTAAGAAAAAAAAGCCTAAACATAGAAGGCGCCTTCATAAACTCACCATCAGTTTCTCTCCTGAACCATACACTGGCAACCACCTGACCAATTGGAGAGTGCACAAATATAAGCCTCATAAAAATAATTCAGCCCTGAATGCATCAATCATATAATTTTGAAAAAAGAGAAAATTTTCTGATGATGATTCCGGATTTCGGCAAACATCTACGGCACTAAAAATAGCAAATATGAGGCTGAAATGCCACTTTAATTTATAAATATGAGACCCATACAATGCCATCACCAACTAGTCAAAAGGCCCATATGGAAATGTCCATCCAAACTTGTGTAGGTTTTAGGAGTGTCAATGGCGCTAACTGTGCAGCTTATCCATTCCAGAAACAGACCTTTCCACCACCCAGGAAAAAAAGGGAAAAGACAAGGATAATTGTCAATCAAAACCAAAAAAGACAATTAACATATTATATCCAACCTGAGAAACAGATTGAGCACTTATGCCTCTGACAAAATTGAGGATCTTTGTAGCATGACAGAGAAGGGTTTCTTTTAGATCGTGGATATCAAACAGATTGAGCACTTCTGCCTCTCTGACAAATTTGAGGATCTTTACAGCAATGATTGAGAAGGTTTTCTTTTAAATCAAGTGGATGTTAGATTCTCATGCAGGTAAAACTGAAAAATCTCTACAGAAAAGGAAAAAAAATTGTGATCCTGTTCAATCAGGAAAATATTTGTCCTTCGAAACCTTATTTCATCAAACGTTAGTGTTGTATTTTAGTCAAATAAGTCAATTAAATAGATACTTGATTTTTCAATTATTACCCCGTTTCCCCCATCTCAAGAGAGCGTATCTTACACGCGCCCAAACTCAAACAGGAAAGGTAAATAAGAGTAAATAAACTCGTAGAGAAGTGTAAAATGTGAATAAACAGTACCTGAGAACACGCTGAGGTGGCGGAGCCTCGGGAAAAGCAGGCCGTTGACGGTGGTTAAAATATCCATTCACGTGATTATTATTATTATTATTATTATTATTATTGCTTGGCTGATTTGAAGAGTCCTTGTTGGCCCTCACGACCCGGCGATCGACTCGAATGGTAGTTCGGTTAACCGGGCCCGACCGATTGTCTTTGACCTGGATCTTCATACACCTAAGACGCTTCCGGTTTCCCCACTGCAAAACAAAATCTGGCGATGATGCCGTTTGCTTGGCAGGATCTGAGCTGGATCTTAACAATCCCCAGTCGCCTCCGTTTCTCTCTCTGCTGTAGTTGGTGTTGATGTTATTACCATTGTTATTGGCCGTCGTTGAGTCCTTTTCCATCCTTTTCCGCCCACCTGTCCCATCGTGAGAGTAAAAAGTTTAAAAATTAAAAATACAATTCTGGTTTAAATGGGTTCAACTCAGAATTGAAGTAGAAGCGCCGAAAGAATAAAAGAGGAAGAGAAATGAGAATTTGGATGTGGCTTCTCTTTAAAGCTTTCACGCAATTTCACACAAAAGTTGTCGGAGCTTATCACGAAGAACATGTGCATCGGACGGCTAGGAATTTCAAGCTTTGAAAAAAACTGAGGAAAGCAAGCGGCTTAAGCGTGAAGAAAAGCTGAAGATGGGAAGGACAAGCATCGGACGGTCCGTGAGAAAAAAAAAAAAGGATGAGAACGGAAAGTCAGCAATTGAAATTGAGCGATTTTTATAAGATAATGAATGGATTAACGAGGCAAAACGGAGATGATGAGAATTTTAGGTTGGGGTTGAGAAAATTCAGACGAGAAATAGCCGCACTGATTTGAAAATTAGTTAAGGAAGTTTTCGAAGAGGAACATAGTTGTTATTTGGAAGAAACAGAGCAAGCGAAGCTGTCTTTTGGTTTCGAAACAAAAATAAGATAAAAAAAAAAAAAAGGAAACCAACTCACTTCATTACAAGTTTCGAGGTTTTCTTTTTCTCTTAGTTTCTCGGTAACCAAACAGAAAGTCATGAGCAAGCAGAGACAAGATGACAAGGAAATGATAGACATGAAAAGAAAATTCAACAAAATGGGGAAAACATCACAGAAAAAGAAGAAAAAACGTTTCTCAGTGGAGATTTAAGGATGCGAAAATTAAAGACAAAGACAGAATTAGCGAAACAAGGGAAATTCTTAGCGGAAAAGTTCGAGTTCTTCGTTCAACTGTTTGAAAACAGCCATTGAAAGATTAGGAAGAAACTTGCAAGGAACATAGAAAACAAAACAAAACAACTAACATTGACAAAGTGAAATTAAAATCTGAAAATACGGACTCCTAAGGCTTTCCAGAGAGATGAACCGGAGGTCGCTAGAGAAGGAAAATCTTCCATTCTCGAAAAAAAAAAAAAACTCTGTCAAAGAAACCTTTGATTCTCAATCAAATCCAACTAGAGAAAACCGATTACCAAAACAATGAGCGTGCTATAAAAAATCAAAAAGAAAGAAGAAGGCGCTGGAGAGAAGAAAAAATATAAGGGTGATTTTAAAGCTTGGTGTATAAATGGCGGGTCAATCATCTTTAGGTAGATTTGGAATCGGTGCTCAAGATAGTCAGATTCCTGATCTTATCGGTGAGATGATGACCCTCATACCTGAATTTCTCAGGCACTGCTGTTACAACTTTGCTTCTTCTAGTCCTTTGTTGTAAACACAAATCTAGTTTGGATTTTCAACGAAATAATGACATTTGAAGCCAATTCTTCCGACTCTCATGCGATGCAAGGGTTCTCTTCTTTTGATATGTCAGCAATTGATCTGCCTATTTGCAGATGAATACAGTCAAAATTTTCTTCAGAAAGTAGCTCTGGTATCTTCAAAATGTACCTGTAAAACAAAAAAATGGAACAAAAGGAAAATAATTTCTAAAGAATGAATCGCACATGTCGTTGCTGCAAATCTCTTGAACTTGAACTTTGTTTACCTTCTTTTCTTACAGATTCATAAAACTTCAACAAAACAAAACAAATTCTCAGATTCTTCTCTCCTCCCCTCTCTGTCTCGCTCGCTTGGTTTAGAATTTAGATCCTTATTCCTCAACATTTAGTCATCAAATTACCATCAGTTTTCAGTTTTTCCTCGGGAATTCTGGTTCTCGAGAAAGAAGAAGAAAGTAGAAGCAAATTAGCAGAGAAGAAGAAGAAAATAAAAAACAAACAAAGAGTAACAAAGAGGCTGTTTGTTCCTCTGATAAAACGAAATGGTCTCTCTCCCTTTCAAACCCAATTTTTATACCTCCTCTCACCCTCCGTTACAGCGAAGAGGTTCAGCACCGAGATTTCCTAACCGTTTATCATTAATCATACGGCTCCTATTGCCTTCTCTTAGGACCGTCAACTCCGTCTATCAATAATTCCCGTTACGGGATTTTTATGCGCCGTGCTACTCGTCCTTTTAACTCACGGCGTTAATAGATCTAGCGGAATCTTTAAACAACGCGGAAATAAAAAAAAAAAAAAAAACGATTCTAAATTAAAAACTTTTTTTTAATTTATCTTTTTCATATATTTTATAATTTTGTTTTGTTTTCATTTTCTCAATACCGGGTGAGGTAGTGCTTAGCACAACAAGTTAACTATGGTTGGTTAAAAACTCTGGTGAACTAACCATTATTGTATTAAGCCGGTTTCCTAAGTCTCATCATTTAGGAAAATTAGGTAATTGTAGGCTGATTTATTGGTTACAGGGTAATTGCTCCTTTCCACGTTTGCATATTTGGTTATAGGCTAATTGTGCTTTTCCACCTTTAATTATCTCGAGATTTCGGCTGGAATGTTAAATTTTTAGTTTTAATAATAGTTTAAATTATAATAATTTAAATATAAAAAATAAATAAATTTTATATATCATTAATCAATTAAATAATATCATTTTATTGATTAATATATTAAAATATTTAAAAATTAAAAAAATTTAAAAATCTCTATATTTATTTTTAAATTCACTCATAATGTGGTAATATTTTAAAATTCACTTACAATGTAATATTTTATAATTTACTAATAAAATTTACGTATTAATAATGTATCAAATATAAATTATTAATTTATTTATTTTTAATATAATCAAAATTATTAATCAAACAATTTCAAAATTTAATTCAATTGATTTATATAATCATTTTAAAAAAATAATATTCCGAAAATCAAATCTTCCATCCATAATCCTTTCTTCATTTCCACCCAATGATTGTGACTCCCATAGAGCCACGATAATAGACGAAAACATAGGCCAAAACGGCAGTTTCCCATTTCTCATCAACTTTCAGAAATGATTACAAAGACCAAAGATGTTTCCACCACCTTTGTCTTGATAGGAAACCACAACGTATGTTTCCACCTATGTCTTTATAGGAAACCACGAAGATGTTTCCAACCTTGTTTCTAAAACTTACGAGTATTGTCTTATTCAACACATGGAAAAGGTTCATATAATCATATATACCAGACTTTCTTTTTTGATAGAATCATATATACATACACTTCATCCGAAGAATAATTACTTAAGAAGCTAGTAAGAGTTTCTCCTAACAATCATCAAATGCAGCATTCAGGCAAATATGTATAAAGGAAAACACAATATGAAATATAACATAATCCAAGTTTTGGCCAATACATTTGCCCATTCTGCTATATTTATGCACTGAACCCTTTCTGAATAGAGCTCCAATGACCAGAAGGAATGCTTACACAAGCTTGTGCTGATGCCTCGGCCATCTGTTCGGTCTGAATTCCAGCATTGCAGACATTTGCAAGGGAACGCATGTGTTTCATCCCATACTGGGCTAGCGATCCACAATGTGTCTCAAAAGTTCTCACCTGCGTAGATGAACAGAGCATCTTTATAAGTAGCAAGACAAAACAAAGCAATGAAAGAGAGACTGAGAATCAAGAATATTAACCATTTTCTTTAGGCATTTCCAGTCATCAACAAGAGGTTGCCCAGCTGGTCGAACAGTGTTAAGAACTTCAGGGCCTCTTTCAATTCCAAATAAGAGCTTGCCAATGAGTTTCATGCTGTGGTCTACATGCATTCTATGAGACATTGCTTCAACAAACTGCTTTTGGGCTTCAACCTTCCTAATAGAGCCATCAGGTGCCTTGCGATACTGCAAAGTAGATTGGGAGAAAGCTAGAGTAAGATGAGCACTAAAACTAGCAAAATGGCTAATTTCAAATGTATGGAACAAGTATCAAATTTTACATTCATTCACAATGAGAGAATCATAAAACGAAAGAGAAGCCAGTATTGACAGCAAAGGTTCCTCTCAAATTCTATCAAAACATCAGCTCTAGATATGATCTGCTAAAAAACTACGTCCTTATATACTTTCTAGAGTTGCATCCCTCTTGCATTTTCCTCCAAAATAGGTATATACACAACACATAATTCCCAGCTCCTGCCTTTCTACAGCCCATAAGATTTCACGATGTCTATCTAAACATTCAATTGCCAATCCAAGAAGTCACATTCTTTTCCCTTTCAATATTCCATTTACACTACTAATTCGAGTCCTTCCTCATAGCTTGGTATCACAACTCACAAGAACAGGGTAAGGAAATACTTCCATAATCATCAAATACCAATTATCTTGTCTAAACGCACATTTAATGAATTCTGATAAACGTTTCATCAATTGCCAATTACAGAGACAGCTAACTCCCAATATAAAATTAATGTCCATTTCTAAATGTCTCGTATAGGTATTGATGCCTCATTATATTTAAAAAATTCACGGGAACAAACAATTCTTATGTTCAATATTATATATAATTAAAAAGACATAAGAAACAAACCTTATCCCAAAAATGGACAAGATCAGCATCACGCTGGTTAACAGATGTTGTAGGTAGCTGCAAGGAGTTCTCGTCAACAAATGTGAAGTTATCATTTGCAGGATTTGTACCCAGGTATGTGAAGAGATTATCTTTGCTAAGCCCTACATCACCATATTGCATGACATGAGAGCCATATGCAGAATTACCATTGATAGTCCTCTTTTTCACCTGCAAAAGCCAGCAAAATGAAATTGTGTAACAGATCTCAACAGCAAAACTAGAAGATTTTTAGAACATTATAGTACTAAATAAACGAGTCATTGGCACTTGAATTTGATTTCAAAGGAATTTAAACCTCCCACTGTCTGGATATAGTTTCATATTTCTTAGATCTAGACAGTAATAAATAACTACTATAGGCAAAATTAAATTGAAGTCTTAATTTTTGTTTTGCCAGAAAAGAAAGGAAAAAGTACATGCAAAAACACTGTTTAAAAACCTTACAAGTTCATATTGCTGGTGCAAAGTCTCTGTACGCAAATCATGTATGTCACTGCTCAACAGAAAGAGAATATTTAAATTTCATATCAAGAGATGTAATACATCATAAAATAAAAGTAGATTCAAATTTCCCACTTTGCTCCCGATTTTTCATGCTTGTCTACTAATTGTTAAATTCAACAAGGTGGAGCCATGAAATCAAATGAAGATGTTAATTTTTATACAACTTTCTAAAATCTGGAGAAAGCAGATCTAGGCAATCAGTTTCAACTTCAAAACAATTGCAGATTCAATATTCCCAAGGGTATATGAAAAGGACTTATACTATGACAATGCTTGAATTCCTACCTGTCCTCCATCCAAGCAACACTGTACAAGTCTCCCAAGCAGGTTTCATACTCTGGGGGAGGACTTGGGTTGTCTCCAGGACAATAGGTTCCCCAGCTACTCTCTTCTGCATTAGATGCTGTGGTAGCATAAATATTCAAACCCTCAGGAAGAAGACCCTCAAAGATACTTCCTGACTCACAAGCTTCAAGATAGAACACCTACAAAGTTAAATGTAAACAATAAATTAAAATGGCACTAAAGTAATAAGTAAAGCATCCAGAAACTGACAGTTACTAAAACAAACAACATTTTACCAAGCTTTTATAGGTCCCTGAAGCATGCTTTTTCTTTAAAACGTCAATCAGGTCATCAGCATAAAGATAAGGATAGGTAGGCATCCCTGGATTAACAAAAATGAATCATTAGCAGCTTTATAAAATAGTATAACTACTAAGTTTCAAGCTGAAAACCATACTAGAATCAATTATAAGATATAAATCTAAGTGGTGAAGCTGAAAGCCATATGAAAGTAGCCGCAAATGAGATACTACTAACCAAGCACTCCAGGACCCCCATGGTCAGTGTAGTATATGAAGATATAATCATTGGGACCGCTATCCACAACCTTCCCGCTACCCCCGGTGAGAGCAGTTTTGTTTCCGAGGATAGCAGCCAAAAAGTTGTTGACAGTAACATCTTCTCCAGTATAATCCTGCACAAGAATACCAATTAGGCAAACGGTGACAGTCAGAAACTATACAATTAACAATCTTTTTAAAACGAAAAAAAAAAAAACAATGATCAGGAAAAAATAACAGACCTTTGGAAGTCCCTTGTAAACATCATCTCCATTAGGACTGTTAATGATGATTCCAGGCCTGGGGTTTTCTTCATTGAAAGCGATATCATCGTACATGAAGACAATGATATTTTCCTCTTTCAGACCACCCTTTATTAGGAGTTGATAAGCATGACAAACATCAGACTGAAACAAATATAAATATCTTTAGCAAAAATAAGACCCATTAATCAATTCTCAAACAACCAATAAATTCAGCATAAAATCCCAAAAAAAAAAATCTTTAACTTTGTTAACAAATTAGACTCTTTTGAAGTGAAGTGGCCATTTAAAATGATCATAAATATTTTCAAAGACCACGTCAAAGAGAAAATTTTTTAAATTTGGGCTAGAATTTATGACCTGATGCCTGTAATTCCAATATCCATTAGATCCAGCAATCAGGACCGCCCATCTCGTGCCCTCAACTTCATCGTCGTCGCTCCGGTGGAAGAACCTAGAAGCTTCCGACGATAACCGAAGGACGTCTCTGGTGGCATCTCTACCAGCGGAGACGATTCCAGCTACCGATAACAGGAGAAGAATCACACCGGCCACGAGACGGATCATGATTTGGCCAATCTTTGATCAATTAGAATCAGAAAACAAAACTGATTTTGATGTTAATGCAAGACGCTACAGCTTAGATATATAAATTTAGATATATGTGGCGGGCCCCAAAGCTATTTACTTTTTGAAAATACAAATGCGTGATTGCATCTACGACGTCGACCTTAAGACCTGACAATTGTAAACGGCTGTGATTAGGTTGATGAAATTTTTTGGTGGTAGCCCAGTTGAATTTCGTGGGCTTTTGCAGGAACCCACCGTCATTTACGTAATTGTGTCCTATTGGGCATTGGGCGGTTATTTCCCGGAAAAAGAACTTGCAGAAAATCTAAAGGATTAGAAAAACTATTGAGAATTTGTTTTCCCACTGATTTGTCCGGATTGGGGAATCCGGAAATTAATGGCACGGACTTGAATTAATGGTGACATAAAAAAAAAAAAACTCTTTGAAATTAAGATAGATTAAATGTTTAATTTAATACTAAATATTTTATATATTATTTTAGTCTAAATCCATAGCAAGGAAAAGGAGATTGAAAGAGGTGAAAGCTAATTTGTTCGAATAAAATCATTGTTGATGAACAGTAGTTAGAGGCGGAAGAACGGTGGTTTTACGTCGCATTCTGGATTATTAATGGGAGATTTTCAATCTCTATCCGAATAAAAATTTAAATTTTTTATTGAATATAAATAAAATTTATATTTCTATCACATAATTTTCGATTATCACATTTTTCGAGTTAATTTCATTTGTTTTTTATATCTTTTTTTTTCATTTTAAAATATATAAAATTATTATAAATTAATAACATTTAATTTTTATTTGAATAAAAAAATATATTTAATCATAAAATAAGCATCTAAATTGAATATTTAATCATTAAAAATTTGTTCAATTGATTGATTAATATAATTATTTTAAAAAAATTATATCAATAAATTTAAATTTTAAATTCTAATCTTATATCTTCAAATTATGATTTTTTATATAAAAAAACACTCTTTACTTTTTTATACTTTAAAATGTCAAACTTTAAAATCATTTACATTTCATTTTCTTGCAATTTACAAATTGGACAACAAACATTTGTATCATTGGGGAATGTAGTGTGCGCTTAAGGAACTGAAAATTATTTTGGTACAAAGTTGATCGTATAAACTAATAAAAGTTTAGTGATTGATTGTTTGATGTTGGCTGTCATTGTCATGAAACTTCTATTGCTATTGTTTACTAACTCATCAAGCATGCTTTAATACCAGTACAAGTACTTGTATCAAACAAGGAGGAAGTTCCAAATTGAGCCAAGGGGAGTTTCCCTGATAATAATTCCAAAAAAAAAAAAAAAGGAAGAGATCATTTTCAATGTCTTGGTTGCAACAGCTAGCTTCTTTAATCATGTACACAAATTTATTTTTATCGATAGTGAACATCTTTGTGATGTAACGTTAATTTGCGGTAAGATATTGAGATTTAAATTTTAAATTTATTAAATATTAATTTTTAAAAATAATAATATAAATTAATTAAATTCAAATTCATACGTCTTAAAGTTTTAATTGAATTCTTAATTTGAAAAATAATTTTGTAAGGTAAGGTATAGGATGAGTAAAATATTTTTCATTCTTATTATTAGTTGTTTATATTATATTTATTTTCATATCTATACCTAATAAGTATTTTAAATTTATTTTTATTTTTATTTTTGTTGATATTTAATGGATATAGATATTACTCATATTCATAGCTTAAAAAAAAAAATAAAAAATAATTTTTGAAAAAAATTTTATTTTTATTTTATATATTTAGATAATTTATATATATATATATATTTAATAAAAATATATTAAGTTTAATTAATTTAAAATAATAATTTATGTTATTTAATAAAAAATTTATTTATTAAATATATAAAAATATATATATGATAGGAGTACGAGTACTGTATTACATGTTTTTATTATTGTACTTAATAAAAATTTAAAATTATATATATTTATCTTTATATCTATAATATAATACATTTTTATTTATATTTTGATAAAAAATCAAAGTAAGATTAATATATTTACAAAAAATTTTCCAAAATCGGCCCATAACTTTTCTCGTATATTCTTCGTTTGGGCTGCACCCATATATTCAGACAAAAAATGGCGCAGTAGTTGAATTTGGCCCAGCACAAGGAAACGCCTCAACTCTCCCACCACAGAAACAAAACCCCCCTACCCCTCACGTCTCAAACGACCGTACATCGCTGAAAGCTATGCCGGCGAACTTCTCACTCTCCATTTAAAGTCTTATAAAGTAAAGTTTGGGATTTTTATTTTTGAGATTTTTTGATGGAGAAAGGAGAGAGCATATTGGAAGCGATCTACGAAGACGACGATTTAGGAGATGGCGAAGACGTTGAGATGCTTGACGTTGAAGGAGAGGTTGTGGATGATAACTTAGCAAATGGTTGGGAAAAACCCGGCGTTGCAGATGTTAACGGTGAAAATCAAGGGCCCCAGAGTAAAAACAAAAAGCGCAGAGCAAAAAAGAGGAAGAATAAGAAAAAAAGGGGTGGTTCGGGACCTGAAGCTTTGGATATAAACAAGTAATTTTCTGTGAAAATTAATTTTGTTTTGCATCAATAAATAAATATGAATACTTGTTTTTGGGTTAAGTTTGGTCTTTGAAACTTTGTTAAACCTGGGTTTTTGCAGGTTTGTGTTAGATACTTGTAGACGGTTAAAAGAGAGGAAGTCATACATGGTGTACACTGCTGTGGGATGTTTAGGGGTTTCTGCATTAAGTGATCTTGTTAAAGAGGTACTTTTAATTTTATCAATTTCAAGCTTTTTATTTATTTTATTTAATTATTCTTGTGCATAGTGTAAAATTTAATGCTGGGATCATCATAAATAAGTTGTTTAATTTATAAATATTACTAGCAGAAAATAATTTGTGAATGAAGGTCTTTTTGTGATGTTTGAAAACTGTTTAGATTATAATATCGTGTTCTTCTGAAATTCTGTATGATATATAAGTAGATATAGCCGTGTTAGTATTGCCTGTTCCACTATGCTCGGGCAAGCTTGCTTGAGTTTTGTCCATGTCACATTCTCTAGTTGGGATAATGGTCTTTTAATAACTTCTCTTTCAAAAGTTAGTAAGTTTGTCACTTGGTAGCATTTCTGCCCTATACCTTGTTGAGCTGTTTTTGGTAATTTCAGTCTTGCCTGTTGTTTTTATCTTATTGTGTACCTACAATTTCTGAGTGATCCGAGCTTTCCTCTTTTAAATTGGCCTCTATTTTTTTCTGAATAAGATCCATACTGTTAGAAATAAATCTCTGTTGTTAGTGAACGAGAACAATATTCATTTCGTTCTTAAAGGAAAGGTGAGAATTTGGGTTGTACTTCATTTTTAGCCTGCCTAGACTGACAGTCTTGGCTGCTCTCTGTAAAATCCATTCCATTCTTAACATCTGATGATCTACATTGTTTTCCCTACCATTGCAGATTTTTCTTGCAGATGCCATTTGCTATACTTCAAATCCTTTGCTCTGAGCTGAGATGAAAATTCATAGGTTCCTTTTGATATAGGTTGTTGCCATTTTTCTTTCTTCAACATGCACCACTCAGTGGTGATGCAAAATAATTTATCTAGTCGATTCATATCAAAAGCCAACTATAACAATGGTTATGTGAATATGTACCCTTTTATAAGAATGAAATCTTTTTTAAAATTGAATATACCATCAAGCTTGCTGGTATATTTGTTGTTTGCGGGGAAGTGGTCAAGAGGGGGATTTGTGAATATATACCTTTTTATTTTAAATTTTTAAGAATTTCAAACAAATAAAGTTGAGGAGTCGTATGAACTCAAAATAAATGCTATAAGTATCAATTGCATCATTGGGTGATAAATGTTGAACAATCATTTGTATCCCATTGCAACTGATCAGAAGTGCAAACTTAATTACAACAGAATGCTTGACTTCTTGGAAGAAATGTTTGGCTGTGCATTCAAGTGAAAATTACATAGAACAAAATAAGAGTTAAATAGTGAACTTTTTGTTTGATTTAGAGATAACTTTCTTTTTCCTTGGTTTGGTGTCTTATGGAGTGATTCATTTTTCGGTACCTCATAAGATGTGATGTGTACCTTTGCTACAATTGCTTGAGATGTATACCGGAATAATTGGTAGAAATTCATGAGTTATTTTTTCCTTTTACATCTGTTGCAAATCTACTTATTTTGTTTTATGTTCAGCAATTGCTTGAAGTTATAATGATGCTTTTTATAGTTAAGCATTGATCTAGCAATATTCTTATCATCTGCTATTGTGCTAACCCCCATTTCCCATGCTCTTTCCTTCATTGATTTTCTTTCCACACCTAAGAGTTTTTGCATTGTTCCTATGGGGATGTATTATGAAACTTAAAGTTTTCAGGTGGATGCAATTCAATCTTGTGGAGGTCAGATGACTGCTGATGGCAGACGTTGTCGGACAGGTGGTGGCATATTATGGAATATCATGAAAGTACAAGAACCAGCTGCTTATCGAGAAATAATGAAAAAATCCAAGGACTTTGAGGTATGTACTCACAGGCACATCAAGTGCTGCTCTTCTCCTTTTGGACAGCTGAATATATACATGTGTGCATGAGAGCTTTCAAATTCATCTATCAATTGGATGTCTAAATAATGTCATTAGGAGTCAGTTGCCTGGTTGTTTGAACGCGCTGCATATATGGAATCTATTATCTTAGATTAATGCCCAATATTCCTATTACAGTTTTGTAGCTTTTGGTAGTTTGGCTGTGTAATCCAATTGCAACAGTGATAAGTTCCTTTTTTGTTAAAATTTAGTATGATTCAAGCAACCCTTTTTTTTTTCTCAATATAATAGCCTTTGAGCTCAGTATGATTCAGCTGGTGTATGCTTTTTGTTCTTAAAATATTAATCTAGAGTACTTGCCCAAATCCTAATGGTATTTATAATTTTGCAGAAGCAATTTAAGCAACAAAATATCAGACAACCACCATCACAGAACAAAGAGAACTCTTCTCAAGAAACTGCCTGTACACTGACTAATGGAACTTCAACTAGTGTTCCAGAAGATTCTCAACTAATTCCTCAAAACCTGCAGGAACAGTTCAGTGCCGAAGGAACACGCAAATCTGTTCATGATAGGATTAGGGTTCCTGTTTCATATGAAGACCTTCTAGGAGAGGATCCAAAAGATGATTAATGTGATCATTAAAAAAATTGAAATTTTCTTGGCATCGATTTTGCATGCATAGATTTGTTGATACAACAGATTTTATATCATTGGGAAAGGCTACAGATGAGATCATTTTTCCACAGTTAATGCGAGAATTATTAGTTGTTCTTGAATCAAAATTCCATTTAAGAAGTAGAGAACTTTATTATTATCTGTAGCCAAGGCCCTTTTTCGTTGGTCTAGCCCCCATCATAAGTGTAAGAAAACAAAACACAGGTTGATGTCCATCTATAAGCTTAGAGATGTCATGTTTTCTGTTTGTCTGTTGATATATGCGCTGAGACAGTGCCTGGTGGTATTTGCAAAATCAAAACAAGACGATAAGTACTTTAGAATTTGGATCTATCATCGTTTAAGGAATCAATTTTTTTTCCCAGCGTTTTGCATCGGTAGTTTGGATATCCCGGACATCTTTTCAGATGACCAAACTTCATCTAGAATGCCGACTTTAATTTCTATAACATTATTATATCAGTTAACGGAAATATATTTGTAATCAAAAGAAATTTTTTGTATTGATGATAAGGAGGATTGCTTTAGGTCAAGTTAGAATAATCCATCATAAAATCAAAAACAATGTATTAGGATTAAGCATGCTAGAATGATGCAAAACTCCATCAACATTCATGAAATTGGCATGCATCAAATCAATGGGATATAAGCAAAAATATGCACACCCTTATGTGGACTGTGGTTAATTTGCTGCAGGCTGCAACCAACAGTTGGATCCAAGGTTTTTGCAGCCGGTGCTCCTGGACATGCCTTTTCTGGTATGCCTGTGTAAGTACAGGATCAAGGAAAGTTCATTACATGCTCCTGAAGTCGCTTGCGACATGTTAAGAAAGTTCGCATTGATTGATGCATATAACAGTCAGTTGACATTGCAGCATCTTCCTACAAGAAGCTGAAACATAAAAATGTAAAATACACCCCAGATTGGATGAGCAATTACTCTGTGTAGATGTAAGATAATGAGCGTATTGCATCTTATATAAAATGAAAGTTTCACAAACACACAAAAACAAGGTTTAATCTGTACAGAAGTTTGCAGAAGATTTAAATAGGTTATCTTGTCCATGCATCTTAGTTCATCACATCCACAAAGCAAACTGATGAGACCCAAGGATTGAAGCAGCAAGGAGAGTTGGTGGTTGATATTCTCACTGGCTGGTGGATACATGAACATTATCTTCACCATTTGTTGATTCAGCTGGCTTCTTCATAAGAGGCTTGGGGATATCACAGTCGTCTTGAGGGCATCGTTGTTGAGGGTGAGACAACAACATAGACATGAAACGAAAGAGTGTACGCGGTAGCCCATGTCCACTCTCATGGATGTATCCTTCGTACTCACTAACTTGTTCAAGCGCATCAACAAGAGCATCATAGACCGCCTGGGGACAGTTATCCGGTCCAGGCTTGTCATGGAGATACATCACATCCAAAGTGAACAGTTTCTGGTTTACAGGCCACTGATGATGGGGTCGTACCGATGATCTGCAGTATATAAGAATCTAAAAGACGCAAAAACAGAAACATTAATATGCAAAACCATATGTTCTTCTGTCTCCAATCAACCTTAGGATTCATATAACAAAGGTTCATTACTAAATCTTTACAACAAATGGAAGCGATTTAACCATAATAACAATGATAAAGAGAAAAAGAACTGACCACTCTAAGAATCCGGTTCTGTGCACTAGATTTCTTTGCTTCATGAGCTGCCAAGCGGAATAAATTGGTGAGATCTGCTTGACCAGAAGAGCCAGTGATAGCCGAGAGCGCCCGAACCGCAGCAATGGTAGACTCAACATCACTGCTGAACTCTTTTCTAAGCTAAATAAAAAAAAAAGAAAACAAATTTAAAACCCTTTATTCAAATTTAATGAAACTCTAGATTATCTTCCTATATTTCCCACAATTCCAATCAATCAATCTTAAAGAAAAATGGGAAGGAAAAGGGGAAAGCGAGGGAGTACCCAAGAGGCGGATTTGGAGAGAGTGGCGAAAGCAAAGCGGTGGTCGGGGTTGATGGAGAGCTTGGAGTTGACGAAGAGAAGGATGGCTTGCTTTATGGAATCCAATCTGGTGACTCCCACTGTTTTCATTTCAACAAGCGACTCCGCTTCCACATCCACGCAAAACATTATGTCCTCGTTGTTTATTCGCGTCGGCTTCAGGGTGTAACGCCCTGCTCCTTCCTCAGAGGCGTCTCCTTCGATTCCTTCCATTTTCATTTCTCCTCGTTGTCCTTCCTTCGTCAGATAAGACATCGACTAGAGCCAAACAAAAGGGAAAGGAGAGAAAAGCAAGGAAACGGGCAAAAAGACCAGTAAAACGGTGCGTTTTTAATAACCTTAACGGTGTCGTTTTAGAGAAGTGGAAGAAAACAGTGTGTATTTGCTACACTGTTTCTGCAGTATTCTTGTTTGGATTTTGCGTCTTTGCGTGTTTGGCTGCGAAAGTGAGAGATCAGGCGAAAATGGCGTGTACGCATGACCACAGCTGCGAGGATCACGATTGTTCTTCTAGTTGGTCTCTTTTCAAGCACATCGACCTCTCGAAGGTCCTTACTTTTGTTTCTTTTGCTAGAATTTTTTTAAGATTCAACCGATTCTTTACTGATTTTTCTTGTTTTTCCATGTGTGGATTTTTTTTTTACCCAATTAATATTAAAAGTTTAATTTATTTTAACTTTTACGCTCTCCTCTTTAAATGAATTGACATATTGCTTTTGTTTCTTGAAATTTTGGGTTATTGTTTAGGTAACTGCTTTAAATGAGGCTACTCCAGGAAGTGTTAAATCGGTGTTTAAAGCTTGGGAGGAGCGATTGAGTTCATCTGGGGTAAAATTTTTTATTTTTAATTAAATTTCCTATTATCTTTTTTTTTATGCATCTGTCCCTTTTCTTTGTATGAAACAAATGAATAAATGCATGAATATATATTTATATCATTGTATGGATGAGTGTATGTAACTATTTCTGCAGTTTCATGTTTGTGTTAACATGCTTCTGGGAAATTTATTTTGTATTATTGCATTGATATGTCTATCATTTTCTTGGTATGTGATAGCTTAATGATGTTTTTGAACTGTGGCAGGAGCACTTGGAAAGCAATGAGGGTGATCCTGAATTACTTGTTTATATTCCGTAAGCAACTGCTTCAACTTGTTTTAGTGCCTTTATTTTATGACTAGAAAGTTCATGTTGCGGTTCATATCTTACATGTTTGGATTTACCAACCATCATCTACAACTGCGCTTTTATTGTTAATTTGATATAATGAAGTGCCCATCTTAAATTTTGGTGTTTGAGGCTAAGTGAAGGAGGCATGCTGGTTTTAATCGCAAAGATGACAAATCTATAATTGTGTTTTATTGTTTATTAGTTTTTATGTCTCATGTTTCTGTTGTTTCCTCGTACATCTTTATTTTTATGTTCCTTGCTTGCTAACTCAAGTTATGTTAGAAATATATATTGTCAATCAAGTGATCAAGTGTATTAGTTCATTTCCAAAACTGTTGAATGAATCATTGTTCTTTTTCTTGGCTTGGAATTTATTATGTTTAGAGGTGCTCTCTGATTTCTCATATACTTTTTGGATTTATTCTAATAGATTTACATCGGATGTTAAGATCAAGAGTATATCAGTCGTTGGTGGTGCCGATGGAACAAGTCCTTCTAAGATGAGAGTGTAAGTTCAGATGACTAGCCAAGTGGTTTCATCACTTCTGAAATGGTTAATCTTTAGTTAGCAGTTAGCAATGAAGGTTAATGTTCAAAATTGATTGAATGTCTTTTTAACTGCTTTCGCATTGAAGATATCTTTGATTTTGTTACCTGATATTTCCAAAGAGCATAGAGATTACAGTGTTTTCAAAGGGATGTCTTCTTTCTGTTTGGCTTTCTTCTAGTTATTTAATAGAAGATTAAAATTGTCAATTTGTATTGATTAGGTTTATCAATCGAGATGGCATTGACTTCTCTGATGCTCAAGGCATGCAACCTGTTCAGGTATTACTCATGTTCCCTTGCCATGGAATAAACTGATAAATTCAACAAAACTTATGTAAATGTGTATGTTTTCTCTGAAGGAGTGGGATTTGGTTGAAAATTTGCAAGGAGTGTTAGAATACCAGACAAGGTGGGTACTTTCCTGCTCCATACAGTGTTACCTTTTTTTTGGAACAGTTATGATTCATTTGTGAGTAGTTAACTTGCTTATTTTTTGTGCATAAAGACTTGTTCCACTCGGCACCAACGATGTTAAGTTGATGCTAATTAAAGACTTCATAAAAGTAGCTGAGGTCTGTTTCATTCTCTCTGTTTTCTACTTTCTGATGCCATATGAACATGAATATTTAGGTATTCAAAATTTCAAAGTGTGGCAAGCATTACATTGCATTTCCCTGAGAGTTTTGGTGGTGACACAACTCAAATTCACTACATTGGTTTTAAAGGTGAAGCCACACAGGTACTTCCCTTGACGAAGCACAGATTCACTGATGATGTTGATTCCTCCTGTCTGTTTTCGTAGTGAAAATTTGGTGCTTCAAATGATATATCTCCTGAATATGATTTGACAGCTGAAGAGGGATGTTGTTGCCACGATTGTTTATGAAATTACGCCCAATCCTTCTGATCACAAGTAAGTTTTGATCTTGCTAAATGGTTGTGTGCTGGAGTTGATGTTGGCCTAAGGATTTAAGCATGCCCGCATTCTTGTTGAATCTTGAATTATTCTGCTAATTGGTATATGTGTCTAGATATTGTACACCTTGCTCATGCCTTGAAAGAAAGGCAACATATCAACAGCTGACATAGATAGATATGTACAAAGCCTCTTCCAAGTTCATGTAGTAAAAACTATTATTTTGAATAACTTTCCAAATGTCCATACACGGGCTCGGTTCGATTTGGTATTTGAATATATAACAAAAGTTTTATTTATCAAAAATGATGATCTCTGTGCAGGACCCGGGCTGAAACTGGTGGAGGCCTTTCTCATGTGGAATAAAGAATTCATGCCACCTCTATGTGTTCTTGTCAAGTATCTGACCACCCCTTCTATACATTCTATGGCGAAAATTACACAATGTTGTAACAGTTCGATTCCAAATCCTCCTAGCCCTACCAGCTGGGTTATTATGTTCATTTATTTCAATCATGTTGCCAAAGATTGTATGTTTCACATAGTATGAGATTGTATGTTTCACATAGTATGGGAAGGATGAATAGTTTAATCTTTGAGAAGAGTCGAATTATGCAAGTAACATTGCATCAGCCGTTTCCGTTTGCTATCACAGTGTGTTTCAATTTGGGAACTTTCTGATTTCACATTTTCCAAGCTAGTTGATTGTTCTGTTTATAATTATACCTTTCTTTTCAAGAAAGAAATCCTATCAAATCTGTTGGTTTTAGGTTTAATGTAGTTGAAAATGTGGCATTTTCAAGGTATAATTTCATAAATTGTCACATTTTTCGGTTAATATTACTACATATGATAAGATATATAAAATGAGTGAGAATGTTTACTTGTCATTTACACCTTTTCTGGCCTGCCTTCCATGTATAAAATAAGTAGTTAAGTGTCCAGCTCTCCTTCCATTTCAATGATTATTTCAGTGTCACTCGATCAGGACTTGGGTGGCCGAGTGGCAACATCAGAGTACATAGAGAAGAAGAGACACAATAGACCAACCCGCAGAGGAATTATTTTACTTCTTTTCACTTCTTCTGTTCCTGACTTCAAACAGATATCTATCCAGCGCCAGCGGCTTGTCCTTCCCATTTTTTTTTTTTATTTTCTTTGCCACTTGAGCGCGGCACAAATATTTCATTTGATTTTTAGGGTTTTAATTCGACTCAAGAACAGCTCCACAAAGGAAACGTGAGAAACCAAGAGAAAAGAAAAATCTTCCTAAAGTATTCTCCTCTCTTTATTTTATGGATCATCCACGTTTTATTTTTATTTTTATTTTTAATTCGTATTTCTTACTGATTTTCATATCCAGTTATTCCATTCTTCTTTTCTTTTTGCGTATGGGATTAAATCTTGAAAGCTGTTTTTTTTTTTTTTTTGCTCTAACAAATAAATTTTACATTCTGACTCTGTTTTATTACATTGTAAATTCGTAGAAATTTGGTGAAGGATACTAGTGGACAACCAGAATGCAGGGAGCTGCAATGATGGGTTCTTTGCAACAGCCCATGAGGGTTAATGGACCAGCTTTTCCTTTAAAAGGGTCTGGTATTAGTGGATTTCCGCATCTGATTAAGCTTAACTCAGTGAAGCCCTGTAGAGCTCAACTTGAAGGGAGCTTGGTTACTGGGAGGCCTGCCTCTTCCGTCTCTGTCCCTGTTCTAGAAAGCAGCTTTGTGGACCATGGCCTCGACGAAGCTGATCCTGAGGTTCGTGACATTATTAGCAAGGAAAAGGAGAGGCAGTTCAAAAGCCTTGAGCTTATTGCCTCAGAGAACTTTACATCCCGTGCAGTGATGGAGGCGGTTGGGTCATGTCTCACAAACAAGTACTCTGAAGGACTACCTGGTAAAAGGTATATCTAGTTAAGCAAAGTGCATAGAGATTTAATTTTGTGCAACTAATGATCTTATTGTTTATTGCAGGTACTACGGTGGCAATGAGTACGTTGATGAACTTGAAACACTTTGCCAGGAGAGAGCTTTGGCAGCATTTCACTTGGATAAAAAGAAGTGGGGCGTTAATGTTCAACCATTGTCAGGTTCTCCTGCTAATTTTGAGGTTTATACAGCAATTCTCAATCCACATGATCGAATAATGGTAGGATACTTATGTCAGTTTAGCTGCTGTCATTTATTTCACTCTTTGATAATACACAAATCAATGATTTCTTAATTTAACTCGTATAGGGGCTTGACTTACCTCATGGGGGACATTTGTCACATGGATTTATGACTCCTAAAAGACGAGTATCTGGCACATCAATCTATTTCGAGTCAATGCCTTATCGACTTGATGAATCCACAGGTTATGCATCTTGTTATTATACTTACCAAGGTTTAGTGGTTAATACACTGTCTTGGTGATTGATTCAATTTGTCCGAAATTAGGAACAGGCCTTGTTGATTATGATATGCTTGAGAAAACAGCTACTCTCTTTCGACCAAAACTCATAATTGCTGGTGCCAGTGCATATCCTCGAGATTTTGACTATCCTCGAATGAGGAAGGTAAGTGCTAATGTGCTTGCTGGTTGCTATAATGCCTACCACAATTTACCTACCATTTACTGAAAACATTTTTTTTTTTTGGTTCTAAGTACTACGCATCTTCCTTATTTTAGCAAATAACTTAATATAATTGATATCTGTTGGAAGATCGCAGATGCTGTCGGTGCATTTCTCATGATGGATATGGCTCATATAAGTGGACTTGTTGCTGCTTCTGTAGTCGCTGATCCCTTTGAATATTGTGATATTGTGACAACAACTACACACAAGGTTTGGGATGAATATTTTCAATTACTTTATTGTTGACCTGTATGCATGTTAAATCACTTGACATGCTGCTAGTTTTGCTTGTCAAAATATTTGTACTTAATATGGTACTTGAGAAAATTTACTTTCTTGTCACATGGCAAATCCGGCTTGTTTTCTTCCCAATCTCACTTGATCTTTTCCCTCATCTAGCAAAGAATACAGTCTTCATGTTGTTTGGATCCTGATTTAGTTATTATGTGCGATAGAAAGATCTGCTCTGCCCATAAACTCACCTATAGTGTTGTTTCTTCCAAATTGTACTATTTACTTCCTTTGCATTAATGTTCATGTGAATAACTTACTTCTTACTCATTTCCAGTCTTTGAGAGGTCCAAGAGGTGGCATGATCTTCTTCAAGAAGGATCCTGTTCTTGGAATTGATTTAGAATCTGCCATCAATAATGCTGTTTTTCCAGGTTTACAGGTTAGTTTGACTTGTCTCCTTTGCTCCTATTACTAATATGAATTCCCCTATTCCAACCTCCTGCTGGCTTTCAAACTGAGGTTTTTAAGTTACAGAACTAGTTATACATTATGAGACGCATATGTTATCTATGCAGGGTGGTCCTCATAACCACACAATTGGTGGGCTAGCAGTTTGCTTGAAACATGCACAGTTGCCTGAGTTTAAGACTTACCAGAATCAGGTACTGTCCTTCAAATATAAAAAAATTCAGTGGAAGTTATGTCCTGATGGTCAAGTCTAATATGGGTACTTCATCTGCAGGTAGTGTCTAATTGTAGAGCTCTTGCAAGCCGATTGGTTGAACTTGGGTATAAACTGGTTTCTGGTGGCAGTGACAATCACCTTGTACTTGTGGATCTGAGACCATTGGTAAGTTACCATCTCCATAAGACATGCAGACATGTGTGCACTTTATCTTTAACACGTGAATAGCATTGGAACTATTGTTCTGATTCTTTTTAAAAGACACCCTATGGCTCTTTCTTTCTATTAATTAATTTCTCCTTCAACAGGGTATTGATGGGGCTCGGGTGGAGAAAATACTCGACATGGCCTCTATCACCTTGAACAAAAACTCTGTGCCTGGTGAGTTCTGCCTTATTTGCATTTGTTTTACCTTTTTTTTTTTTCTTTTTCTAATATCACCAGTACTTATAAATCTCAAATTTTGCAGGGGATAAGAGTGCACTTGTGCCAGGTGGCATTCGCATTGGATCACCAGCTATGACTACTAGAGGATTTACAGAAAAGGAATTCACGACTATTGCTGACTTCATCCATCAGGGTGTGCAAATTGCTATTGATGCTAAAGGATTGGCTTCTGGATCTAAACTCCAAGAGTTCTTGAAGTTTGTGGCATCTCCCGGCTTTCCTTTGATGGATAAGGTATCAAATCTCCGTAGTAGAGTTGAAGCACTTACAACCCAATTTCCCATTCCTGGCGTATGAAAAAGGTGAACCCTAAAAAGAGAGCATCAGAAACTGATGAGAAATTGAGAACATCAGAATAAGGTGAAATCCAGCACAGCTTTCAGGGTTTGTATTTGAATGTAATAATAGATTTATGAAAATTTTGAAGTGTTGTTGAGATCTAGTGTTGAAATATGAATTCATCTGATATTTCAACAGTAACTAATAAAAACTAATTCATTGGTCAGGTGATCCACTTTCCATGATTATTTCTCAGCAATCTATGATGTCAGGAGTTTGAGTTTTATGGAATAATATTTTAATAAATTTTAAACATGGTCTTTAAAATCTTATAGTAAATGTTACAAGTAGTAGATTATCAACATATGAACTTGGTGAATGCAAATCTCTTTCAAGGGATTCTATTTAGAGATGGTTACGGATTGAGGTAGGGTGAGTTTTTATTTGTCTTGAATCATCTGATTTTATATAATAAATATTTAAATTTAACTTGATTTCACATTAAAATATTTTTTATATTTGACCTAATTCATAAACACATAAAATCATAATCAATTTGATTTGAAATTAATTAAATATTATATATATTAGGTAGGCCGCCGATGGATTTGCTTAAAATTTAACTCAATCTAAATTAAAAAAAAAAAAAAAAAACTATACCGATTCAGATTAAATTGTCAACCTTAATTATATTGCAAACAACTATTCAGAAAAAGGCCCAATAAAGCCCATTCATAAAAGAGGGCCGAAAGAATATGAAACAAAAAAGCCAAATTAAAGAGAAGGCCCAATAAAGCCCCAAAAGTTGAAAGGCTCACTCCAATTCCAAAACATACAAAGGAAACAATGCCCTGTTTTTAGGGTTCATACTCCTCTGCTTCTCCTCTTCTTTATCTTCTTCTTCACTCGGACAGCACCCATCTCCTGATTTCTCTTGGATCTTACTGTGAGGTAAGAAAGATATTTCCATCTATGGTTTTCGATTTTTTGGGGTTTAAGGATTGGTTTGAGACAATGTTGTGAATGATGAGAAAATGAATATTTTCACAGTTATCCCTGTCTGATTACTGTTGCTGATAATTTGTTCTCAGACACAACACTTTTATCAGTTTTTTTTTTCTCTTTACTTTTCTGTAATTTTTTTTTGTTTTAATTAATCTTTGTGGGCTATGATTGGTTTTTTGCTTTTGTAACCTGCAGATTCAGATAATGCCGAAGAAGAGTTCTTCAAAAAAGGCAGAAAAGAAAGAAGAAGAAGCTGTTTTAGAACAGAAGAAGCTGTCTTCAACTCCTAAAAAGGCTGGTAATGAAATTGATGAGATATTTGCTGGTAAAAAGAGGAGAACCTGAGAAACCCAATGGTGGTGAAATTTCAAAACCCAAGTCGGTGAAGGATAAGAAGAACAAGAAGAGTAAAGAAACCAAAGAGGAAGGATTCAATGAATCATCTTCGAGGCCTCGAAAGAGAACTGCAGATGGTTTTGCTATTTACACTGAAGAAGAATTGGGTATTAATAAATCGAATGCTGGAAGCACACCGCTTTGTCCTTTTGATTGTGATTGTTGTTTTTGATGACACTGTTGATGTTCTTCATATTTGACATTTCAGTTTGCAGAATTTGTAGGGTTTAGGCTCTTTGCTTGTTGTACACAAGGAATGAATTATGAAATGCAGTTTTCAATGTGTTTCTTGGTTAACATTCCATCTTGTCAATCATGGTATGAAAACAAGTGAATACCCATTGCTTTTTCTGAATTTCAGTGAGCTAATCTGGTAACAATCTTTGCAGTTTTTACAAAGCTGATCCACAGTTTTTTGTGTTCAATCGGATGTATAATAATGCAGTCATTTGAGCTACTGCATTTCACCCCTATTTCTGGTTTTGATTTCGATGTGTTAAATCACAACTGCGAAATTTGAGCTCAATCAGATCAATAAAAGGTGGCCTCAACCCTTCTCTTTAGCAGCGGATTGAAGTCCATTATCTATAGCATAGCCGCAATACGGGCAATATGGCAAAGGTGGCAAGTTAACATCCCTATGCAAAAGAGATTTCAGATTTCCCAATTACAGGTATTTACAACTTGTGCACACAAATAATCTAATATAGAAAAATATTAATTGAAGTGGGGAACTAATTTTCTTAGGAAAATCCACATTAAAATGGATACAATTGGTAATAGCAAAACAAATACATTTGTGAATCGTGCTAATATCAGTGAATCTCTGATAACCAAAGGCTATCCAAGTAAAGCTTCTGATCCAGAAGGCAGAGTTGGGATTGTTGCAAATGACATGCACCCTGCTATCAGCAATACAAACAATTGTCAAAGGCTACTCGAACTTAAATGAATGTACAGAAACAGGGAAGTGAGAAGTGGGTTTGACAGAGAAAATGTTGCCGAAAATTGCCTAATTCCTAACATGAAGTTACTAGAACATATTTCAAGCTATCTTCTTTCAGCTAGTTTCTGTAGGCTCCAAGCGGCAGACAAGGCACCACGGAGAAGGCACTCGCTGCAGACTCATTTGTGGAGCCGATAACAAGGCTGAGACTTGAGAGCATAAATGTGTAATTGTACACGTAACAGGTATTTCCAAATATCCAGTAAGGCAAAATGGTCACAAATTTAGCTGCTTTAAATTTGAAGGAAACCATGGAGAAGCAAAGGCAAGGTTCACTCCAATCGTGAAAGTAGCTCGCTTTGGGCACCATGCAAAAGGTGGATTGCTATTGTAAACAACAAACACCCGTGTCTGACTAAATGCCCGTCAAACTGTTGAGCTGATTTTCTTTTTGAAGCACAATCAAATTAACTGAACAAGAAACATCATATAAAACCACAAAAATTAGAGGAGAGAAAACAAGACAATAGTGAAATATAAACGGGTTATTGTGTCACGAAACAACGGTGGGTTTCATGGGTCTTCTCCCGTTTAACTTAATATTGGCTCCAAGCGGCAGTCAGGTCGCCATGGATTGGCACCTGCTGTTGACTCTGTTGTGGAGCCAATATCCTATCAGTCTTATTATCGAAATAGATCAGAGAATTCCCATTTGCAAACAAAAAACAGCAACTTCTAAAAAAAAGGCTTAATGCAAAACAGTAAAGACTAAAATCTCCGGTACCTGAAAAAATTATGCACCCGGTTGACTGAACAACTCCCAAGGTATCAAGAAAACTTTTTTTTCCTTGATACTAGATTTTAACTGCCAAATGAATTTCACTCGTTATTAGCTACTAAAGTCACCAAATAAGATGATAAGAAAAATTACAGAGTAATTACCTTGCTTCCACAGTATTTATATAATATGCAATCATGGGGTTTGCTGCTGCATTGAATATTGGAGGGCTGATAGTGAAAAATGAAAGATTCCAGGTGGAAAGAGCAAGAGCTGTGGACATTGTGACTGTACTATAAGCTTTGGAATCTACGCTATGTAAGGTAAAAGGAAAATGGAAGCAAAGTGAAGCGAAAAAGGCAGGCCAAAGGGGTAAGAGGAAGGAGGAGGCTGTAGACGACAAAGTACGATGTAGCTTAAGGGTAAAAGAGGTTTAAGACTTTATTTTATAGAGCGGTTTCTACAAAACCCTAAAGAACTGGTTGTGGAAATTACTTAAATAGGCAGTGATTTGTTTCGTTTTTTTTTTTTTTTTTGTAATATTAATCTTTTTGCTTGAAATAATTTCATCACTTATCATGCATATGAGTAAGTAAAATATCTTTATTAGTAGTCCAATTTAGCATATACCTTAATATTTATAAATTCAACAATTGCTTGACAATTGACAAGGTTGAAAATTTATTATCTATAAACTTGGGATAAGGTTGAAATTTTGATTAGTTTGTTTATTGAATTTTAAATTTTTAATTTCAATAATTAAAATTTAATTTATCACAGTTGTAATTAATTTGATTCTTAAGCATATAAGTCATACATAATTTCTGATGGTATTTTTGTGCTAATATTAATACATATGAAATTTTTTAATTGACTGATTGTAAATAATATCAACATTATGTATAAAGGATTATTCTAGACTTATACTAAAATATTAATTATGATTTTCAAGTATCAGAGAATAGAATGTGATATGATGAGATAGAATATAAAATTAAAATATATGAAATAAATTATTTATTCTTAAAACACACAAGAATTGGATTATTTACTATTAATAATCAAAGTAGACATATTTAAAGGTTAGATTATCCATCTAAATTTAAAGATTTGTTTAAGTTTTAAGAGAGTTTTGATAAACAATTAAAATTTGTTAAATAAGTTTTTACGTAATTTTTAAATCAATTTAAATTTCAAGCTAAACTTTAGGTAAAAAAATTAAAGTCTCAATTCGACATAACTCAATCTGAATAAACTATACATAATTAAAATATTATAATATATGGTTATATATATATATGAATTTTATTTTTTAAAATATTTTTTAATTTTTTATTATAAAAATTATGTTTAATGAGTGGGTTAAATATTTATTTTTTTAATTTTGATTGAATTTAAAAAAATTTAAAACTTAAAATATTAAGTCGAGTCGAACTTAAATAAATATATAAATTATTAATATCAAGTATGAATTTAATTCAAACTTGATCCATAAACACCTTTAAGTCGTAACGAAATTTTTTATTTTGATATTTTGAATTTTTTAATAAAAATATTTATTTAAGAAAAAAAAACTATAATCTCATTTTTAGGGAAGGTATTAATTTGATTAAATATCTAGATTTAAGCCAACTACTATTAAAACCAAATGATATATTGGGGTTTAAGTCAACTACTACTAAAGCCAATTATTAAATTTTCATAATTGAGTTGGGATAAATTTTCAAAAATATCATCTCAAATTTTCACTTTTTATTATGTTAGTTGGAACTTGGACTTTGTGTCGTCGGAGTTGGCAGCACACCCAATTACTCACTTTGGTGGTATCAATGACTTTAAATTTAAGTCGTGTCAACGACGTCGTAATTGCTTTTGCATATTTCTAGTCTGACTAATTCAAGTTTGGTTGCCGAGAAAGAATTGGCAAGAAAAAGAAAAAATAAATAAATAAAAGGAAGAAAAGTATAAAAGGAGACGCACCGCTTTAATTCCTACCCTCTTGGAATCTTCTACAGAGGAAAGAAGGCAACGTCTCCCTTTGAACGTGTAAATGAAAACTGCATAGCTTTAATAATAAGTGTACGCTTTGGAACCGCAGTTTTTATTGGACTTTACAATTTTCATAAACAAAATTTCCCCATTTTCTTCTCAACTAACCCATACAAAAATCTCTCTAAAATTCACCCAAAACCCAGATTCCATTTTTTGTTATTTTCTGTTTCTATTACACTTTCAATTGAAGGAGAATTCTTCAGATCAAAACCATGGAGGCAGCTTCCTATACTAAACTTTCTGGTCCCTGTCTGCGGAATTATGATTCTAGATTTTCAAGGTGAGCGTTTTGTTTTCGTGGGGTTTTAATCAAAGGTTTATACTTTATTGTTTTTGTAAATGAGTTTTAGATCTGAATAATTTGTCTAGTTTGGTCAAAGTTTTTGTTTTGGGAACAAAGATGGAATTTTTGGACCAAATGTTTCCCAAATTCACGTCTTTTTTAATTTCTTTATTTTGTTTTTCAGATCGATTCCTCGGGGCAGATATATTGCGTCTGCCTCACGCTATTCTTCTGAGGGATTCAATGATGCTGATAAACCTTCATCTAAATCCCTTATCATCTCAAATTCTGACTCGAATACCCAAAATCATAGCGTTCTCAAAGGACCCAATCTCAGTGGTGGACCAATTCAGAAGAGAAATCTGAACTTACAAGCGAATAGCGCTGTGGGGGTTTGCACTTTCCCTGAAAATGTTGTAGAATCTCATTACGCACATGCCGCGGAGGAGAAGCTTGGGGTCCTACTTTTGAATCTTGGAGGGCCTGAGACTCTTGACGATGTTCAACCGTTTCTTTTTAACTTATTTGCTGATCCTGTATGTTGGTTTTGTCGCTCTTCTTTTTATGTAATTTGTATAAACATTTATGGGTTTTAAGTTTCAGTGGTGTGCTGATGGTGATGATGTTTTTTTACGCAGGATATAATACGGCTGCCTATGCTGTTTAAGTTTCTTCAACGACCATTGGCAAAGTTAATATCTGTTCTTCGGGCTCCCAAAAGTAAAGAAGGGTATGCTGCCATTGGTGGTGGCTCACCTTTGCGTAAAATAACTGATGAACAGGTAAAATACCTTAATTATAGAAGTTAGAATGTTATTTTCTTCTAGCCTGGTGCTGTGTGAAAGTGAACAATTTTTGTTTTTTTCTATGGATATTTTGTTCCGAAGTGAACCATGTTATTGTTCATGTTTTATGGTTAACCTTTGGTGGTTTGCGTTTCATAAGTGTATTTATAGCTTGAAGAATTTGTTGCAGGCGGATGCTCTTAGAATGGCTTTGGAGGCAAAGAATGTACGTGCCAATGTATATGTTGGAATGCGATATTGGTACCCATTCACCGAGGAGGCAATTGAGCAGGTGGGTCTCTTGATAGTCAAACAAATTTGCGTGGGTTTTAAATTTCTTCAGAGACCATTAATGAAGTTATGAACTTGTGTGATACTATATCCAGGAATGTGCTCTTGCTATTTTCTTTTAGGTGATATTAATGGTTTATTGTTAAGTTGATTAGATCCTTACATAAGGGATAAATATAGGGAGTGAGAGAAAAGAAGGAATTGGCATGTGTTTGTGCAAGTTCTCGTCTTATGTGACTATGCCTTCAAATAACTTGAAATTATACCTCATATTTTAGTAAGGAACTATCTGTTTAACACCGAATGATCTATCTTCAAAGTGCATTGTGGTCTAGATTGCTAAGGATTTATTTTATGCAACAGATTAAGCGGGACAGAATAACAAAGCTTGTTGTGCTCCCACTATATCCTCAGTTTTCCATCTCCACAACTGGGTCTAGCATTCGAGTTATTCAGCGTATATTCAGGTAGGTGTTTGATAATTTGTGTTACACCTTTTCTTGTTGAAATCATCCATTACTGTTCTCCTTGTAAATGCCTCTAAATGCTGGTTATATTTCAGGGAAGATGCTTATTTATCGAGACTACCTGTTTCTGTCATTCTTTCATGGTATCAACGACAAGGTTATATTAGGTCTATGGCTGATTTGATTGAGAAAGAGTTGGGTGGATTTGCAAAGCCTGAAGAGGTTTGTGGTTACTTCATAGACTACTTCTTTGTACTTTTTTATTCACAAATTCATTAATTATAATTTGATAATGCCAAATTGTGGTCCTTCTTTGATATTGACTTTATTGCAACTATTTCTAATATTCTTTTGAAATTCAGGTCATGATATTCTTCAGTGCCCATGGGGTGCCTGTCAGTTATGTTGAGGATGCTGGAGATCCGTACAAAGATCAAATGGAGGAGTGCATCTACTTAATTATGCAAGAGCTGAAATCTAGAGGAATTGGAAATGATCATACCCTTGCTTACCAGGTTGGTTTTAGAACCAAATTTCTGCTTTCACATTTGAAAAATACAAACTGTTATCCTCAACTGTGTCTTCATGCTATCCTTCCAGAGTCGAGTTGGGCCTGTGCAATGGTTGAAGCCCTACACTGATGAAGTTCTTGCTGAGATTGGCCAGAAAGGTGTGAAGAGTCTTCTAGCTGTTCCCATAAGGTGAATGACTCATAGTTTAAAGTATCTGTTCTTGATGTGTGCTTTTAAATGCTCAATTATGTGGTGAAAATTAACTGTACTTCCATCTCAAATTCCAGCTTTGTGAGTGAGCACATAGAGACTCTTGAAGAGATTGACATGGAATATAAACATTTAGCACTCGAATCCGGCATCGAGAATTGGGGTCGGGTGCCTGCTCTAGGTTGCACCACTTCATTCATAACAGATCTAGCTGATGCTGTGGTTGAAGCTCTACCATCAGCAAAAGCCCTGTCAACCTCAATGGACACTGCTGAAGAAGCCGATTATGAGCCCTTGAGATACGTTGTCAAAATGTTCTTCGGTTCAATCTTGGCATTCGTTTTGCTATTGACACCAAAGGTGGTACTTGCATTTAGGAATTATCTCTTTTAGTGAAGATTAAAGAAAGCTTATTATATTCACAGAGAATACAGGATGAATTATATTAAGTAAAAATTACATACCTGTTTGGATGCCTCCCCATTTTGGCATACATAAAGAAAAAGATGAGATTTTTGAGATGTTACTTTTTGGAACCAGGAAGTTTTTTCCCAGTGAGATAATACTTTAGAAAAAATGCATTCTTCCTAGCTGTCAATTACTCGTGTGTTTTGTTCACAAGAATGCCATCAAATCCGAAATTTGTTTAGGCTTGGGCTCGGTGGGATTTGCCTTCGAAAGATGTTCAATTGCAATTTTGTAACAAAGGAATTCCTCTTCCTTTTCTTTTCTATCTTTTTTCGTGAGTTGTTACTTGTTACTTTCATGTTAAAACCCTCTTCGATCATAATTAACACTATCGAAAGAAGTTAGTAACTACACAGATTTTCCCAACAAACATATGATCATAATCGTGAATGACACAAACGAAAGAAAATTGAAGAAATAACATACAAAAACCAGCAAGATGTAGAACTTGGTTTACATAAAGAGCCAAAGAAAACTGAAGAATCAACCTACCGAAGCCAGCAAGATGTACGCCAAGTGCTTGGTTCACGCCAGCCGACTAGGCACGAGGATGGGGATTGATTCTAAGATTTCTCTGTTTCAATTCAACTTTTGGTCTTTTATATTTTCTAATTTAAAAGAGGTGTTGATGAGCAGCTTACGACCACATGCCACTATCCTCGACAGAAAGATATCTCCCACTGTTTTATTTTAAAAAAAAAAGGCCTGAACGAATCGAACTTCAAGCCTATAAAGGCGGATTAAAGAAGATAACACCAGTCTAGAACATCTTCTATATTCAAAATTAACACTCAAAAGGGACAATAACAGCCAAATGGGTTAATTACCGAGTGAATCTCTCATGCTTGGTTAATCTTGGCACCCGCTTTCTTCAACCTCAACTACAGGCCACTGGCAACCTTTAAGGAGGTCAACAAAAGAAATAAATGCAACTTCTGGCTTCTGTAATATGACCAGATGAAAACATCTGTAGATATAACAAGTATAATCCATCCAAAATCGTTTGCAGCGTCAAAATATTCAAGTACAACACTACTATCATCGTCTTAAAAACACAGTAAAAACTAACATCACCTAACTGGAATACAATAAACCATTTGCATCTAGTACCAAAATATTAATTGTCTTCAACAAACTCATCACCTCAAATCAACTTTCGGGCGATGCCTTAGCAACTCCACTTTGTTGAACAGTTTGAGAAGCTGCTGCTGCATTGTGAGTCCCACGAGTGCTCCCACTTGCATTACTGTCAGCAGGATATAATGGAGGCTGTAAGTAACCACCACCATAAGAGGTGTTACAAAGTGCTCCAAAGGCCGGGGCACTGTATCCTGGCTGAGAAGATGTGGCACCGTAGCTTGATGATTGAGCACGCTGTGAACCTGATTCTGGCTGACCATAACCAGACATTGGTGACTGTGAATGATATCCTGGCTGGCCATAGCTTCCAAGGGTTATAGGCGATTGCTGTGTCTGCCCATAGACAGGGGGATTGGCCAAAGGTTTCTGCGCATGTGGTGGTCCATATCCAGGTCCATAGCCAGTTTGGGAAGTTGAGGCATTCCGTAACCGGTATGAGTACTTCCTTGAGGTGGATGGGCTGCTGACTTGTATTGTACCCTTGCTGGCACATCGCAGATGGTTGGTTAGATGTAGGTGCTCCTTGACCACCGTAGGAGGCTGTGTGACACTCCTGAGTTGGGTTTGTTGCATTACCATAACTTGGCACAGAACCATAACCTTGTTGCTGATCATATTTTGCCTTGTAACAGATAAGGGTTTCTTTACCCTCTATTCCAACTACTATGATTGGATGTTTCATTGGTTCCATTTATTTAATGGTATCGCATTGCTGCAACAACTAGAGATTGTTGCTCCTGTGTCTAATAGTATATGAAGGAAATATGGTTTATAGTTTTGAAATCGAAAATTTCCTACAATAAAAGTAAAAAAGTTGGTTGCTTTTTTATTGCTGAAACTGATAAAATCAGTTTTCAAAACTAAAAAAAAGTTGGTTGCTTTTTTATTGCTGAAACTGATAAAATCAGTTTTCAAAACTAAAGATTTTGTTTCTTCTATTCTAGTTTTTCTAGAAAACGTTACAGAATTTAAAATAGAATTGACGATTTGATAATTTGATGGTTGAAATTGATTATCTCCTGGAAAAATAAGAATTTGATTACTGTTTGTACAATTTGTTTGAAAACTAGAAAAAGAATTTCTGTAAGGAGTAGCAAAGGATTGTTGACTTTTTAGACTTTCTAAGTCATCTTCTTGATTAGAAGATAATGATGGAGGTAATACTAATCCAGGATTTGGGTTGTAACTGCTGGTGTTTTTAAAATATAAATTTTTTCCTGATGAAAAGAATTCTATAGAACTGGATTGGTTCTGAATTTCTTCTTCATCTTTTTGGTTGGGTAATAGCCATCCAGTAAGGATGGATAAGTCTCGTATATCCATACATTTTGGTTTGATTTCTGATTCTAATTTTTGTGGTTCAAAAATTTTGATCAACTTGGGATTTATCTTTTTGACAAATACAGATGTAGTATTTGTAAATTCATCTGTCCAATTTATGGAAAGCTCATGAGATCTATTATCTATATTAGAATTTTGTGTTGTAGACAGAGACTTTGTTCAGGATAAAAAATTGATAAAAATAATTTAGTTTTACTGTAAAATCAATTAAACCAAATGTTAAATTGGATTGGATTCCTTCAACTATTGCATTGATTGAATTTGAAAATCTTTGATCCATTAATGTTACAAGAATGGATATATCCTTACCAAAAATATGAAGAGGTTTTATTGTAATCATAATAAGTTCGAGATGATCATATTTGATTTTTGGATATTTTTGCAAAAAATGATTTATTTTATGTTGGAAAATTTTTATTGATCCTTATTTAGAATCATTAACAATTGTATCGCTAGATACCTTTTTTTATGTGGTGTTTAATCCAACATTTAAAACCTTAAAAAAACTAGTTTTATAAATTTCATCTTTCTTGATAAGTTGAAGTTGCATGAGTTTTTCTTATTACATAAGATGAATTTTTCTCATAATATTTTTAAAAAAATCATTTTTTCTAAAATAAGTTTTATTAAAGAAGATTCAGATCTTATAAAAATTGTATCTTGATTAGATGAAGCTTAATTAATCATAAAAATATATTCATTATCAAAAATCTCAGAATCAATTTCAAAAAAATTTCATAAAGGATTTCTTCATCTGATATTTTTTCTACATAGACTACACAAAGCTTTTGTTGATCAAGGGTTTTGATCATATTTTTAGCATTACGTCCTTTGTTAGGACAATTAGGTGCTATGTGGCTTTCTTGATCACAGATGAAGCATTTACATTTTGCTTTTTCTTTTTTTTTTTGTGATTTATCTGGGCTTTTTTTTTTTACAACATATTTCCTTTTTGGTTAAATATGTTATTTATATGGTTTCCATTTTCTCATGGAATAACGTTTCTTTTTAAAACGTTTTTTAAATTTTGATTGTTGATTACAACCAAATTTGAATTCGTTATTCAAAATCTCAGTACATTGTTTATGACTAAGTTTACTTTTAACATGTTTTGCTGCCTGTTATTTCATGTTATTCAGACAGTATTCTATAACTTGATTTTGTATGTATTGTATTCTACTTCCTAAAATATCATATAATTGTATACTAGGATTTATAAGAGAAGATTTATCAAGCTTTGATTTTAGAAAAATAGAATAATTTTGAGCACATAATTCCTCTCATGATGAGGGAAGTTTATGAAAATATTGTTCTAAACCAAAACTTTGAATGTTCCTTATCCAATCGTTTGTATTTAGAAAGATAATTTTTAAAAAATTCATCTAAGTTTAAAATGTTACAAAGTTTAAATTTTGAAAGAATGTATTGAACTTCGTCTTTTGCATCAATTTCTTCTATCCCACGCATTTCATTTTTTATAATTTGTATAAAAAATTTTAAAAGACCAAAAATAATAGCAGAATTAAGAAGTTATGCTTTTTGAGATTTTTCTAATTCTATAGTTTCTCATTTTTTGAAAATTTAAAAGTATCACAAAAATAATTTTAAAATCTTTTTTTTATTCCAAAGGTTCTTGTAGTTGGTTATTATAATAGATATTGATTGTGCACATTCATCAATGATTTTTTCATATTCTGAAAGTGAGATTTTTGACAAATCTAAATAAGTTCCTCCTTGAGCTACAGTTTTTTTGTTTAACAAATATATATTTTGTTTAAGAAATATATATTTGTGGAAAAAGGATGTTGTTGAGTTTGGCTTGTTTGGCTTTGCTCAGCAGTTGAAGTTTGTTTTATTTCCTCTTTTTTGGGAAATAATTGGGATCAATCGGATGTGCTTCAACTGGTTGATATTTTTCTGGATTTTTTGGCAAAATCTGAGAATCTTAAAGATCATCAGTTTCTTGATTAGAAACTTCTCCTACTTTTCTTTTGCCTCTATCCACTGATTGTGGTAAAGGTTTTGGTTCTTCATCGAATGTTTCTTCATCAAATGAATCTAAAGAAATTTCAGTTACTGGGTTAGTAGCTAAAATTTCAAAGTTATCATCTACAGCTTTTCATCATTACTTTCATTGGTTGCGTCGTAATTAAGCATGTAATGATAATTATATTGCTGACAAAGAAATTTATGTTCTTCATAAATTTTTTTATTTCTTGTAAATATTCCACCTTTTGTTTCGGGTCTGTTGTTACATTCATCTTCTTTTTGAAATTCTCAATAATATATATGTAAGATTTGAAATCCATTTTGCTCCGTTCTGCGGTCCTTGAAGATGAAGGTTTGCTTTGCAATGTCGTTATGGTGTTTCCATAATACAAAAATCCTAACTCAGGATATGAGTTTTCTATATGAACCATTTGGGCTTCCAGATCTATTTTCTCTATTTTTCTTCAATATGTTCAACTTTTAGTAATAACTTTTTAACGAACGAGGTAGAAAGATCAATCAAACCATTTAAAGTTTTACTTATAACTATATTATGAGATTCACAAATAACTATATTATGAGATTCACAAAATGAATCTACGTATGAGCTATGGCTATAAAGTTTTTCTGAAACAATACAAGTATTTTCCCGTCCTTCCATATTTTAGGTGCTTAAAACCTGGATTTTGGATTTTTATAAGTTTCTTTAAAGCCAGTTAACCAAAGGCAAACAAAACCCACAAACACCAGCAATAAAACTACAAAATCCAAAATATGAGCTTCAAAATATGAAAGAAATGTAGGAAATAAAATAGAGTTAAGAGAAACTTTCACGTAGGTTGCACAAGATCTCGTAATATATGATACAAGTTTGCTTGAAACAGAAAATACACACTGGTTATAGATTTACACACTGAATATATAGTTACACAGACTCTGATACCATTTACAAGGGGTGCATAGTATCCACCATAGCCACCCTGAGGATAACCTGATAGTGGAGGTGCATGGTATCCACCATAGCTACCCTGAGGATAACCTCGTCCTGGTTGCATACATCTAGAAGCTGGAGGTTGACTGTAATTGTAACCACTCAGCAGGAGTTGCTGAACCACCAGGCGTTTGCTGTTGCTGTGAAGAAAGCTGTTGGTTATAGTAATCATAACTACTTGCAGCAGAGCTTTGCTGGTTTGGTGGCACAGCTGATTGGTCCCAACCAGAGACACATCCACCAGATGATGTTTGGGAAGGATAGCCCCCATAAGGTGGTTAAGACATGTTATACTGCGATGATGGGCTAGGATATGCCCCAGGCTGCATAAAACCATAACCAGATTGCTGCATGGGAGGAGCCCTTTGGCCCCAGCTCGTAGGTGCTTGGGCTTGATAACCTTGCTGTGGATAGCTTCCAGCCATTGCTGGATTTCTCATACGGTTCTGCACAAAATTGTTTCCTCATATAACCTAAGTGGACTTTTCGATGTTGCCAGCACATAAACACATAAAGCAAAACAGAGTATAGGCATATACAAAAAACTAAAGAACAAGTATCAAAATCAGCTTAAAGCAGAAAAAAAAGCAAAATATGTCCACAGTGGATTTAATGGAGTTTGTTCTATAGTATGAAGGGTACAAATACCTACATACAGTATGCTTGGAGGGATTATTGAGTTTACTCCAGCAGAAGCCCATCCTCTCCCTATCCGAAGTGAATGGGTGCAAAAAGAAAAAAAGAACCCCACAAATACTAATAGAAACTTTTACACCAAAGCAAAAAGAACCATGAACCCGATTGCCATATACAGGCAAGAAACTCATAGTATCTATCCAATAATTCAATTGATGCATTTTAACAAACAGAAGCATCAAATAAGGTATGACAACATCCTAGAAAGATCAATCAACATGCATTAAGCAAAACAAATATCACTTAGAACAGACACTAAAATTATTGGCCAAAAAAAAAAGAACAGACACTAAAATTCTCTAAACAAAAGAATGGAAACAAGCATTATAGATCAAACACTTACAAGATTATCGTCTTGCATTTAGATAAGATAATTGACTTGTATCAACAAAAATAGAGGATTTTGCTAAATATATGAACCCTAGCCACATAGGGTACAATTCTGACAAGAAATACTAGACAGAAGTTTTCAGGAATAAATGCAATCAAAATTACAACTTTTAATAAGACAACTTCAACAAAAGAATAAATGAGATAGACAATATGCCCAAAAGAACATAATTTCATCAAATATGCCACCTCAAAGTTGAGGTTTTCTAAAAAACAAAATCCAATTCAAGTAATGAACAAAGTGAAATCCAAAGGGAATACATTTTTTTAGTTAATGTTAAAAAAAAAAAAAAAAGACTATCCAGCTACATGATACTAAAAAAGATGACTTTTAGAAATACTTGGAAGTTCCAATACTAACACGGTTGAAAACAATCTTTACGCAACTAGAGGAAGTTTAATTTACAAGGCCAGGAAACAAGACATTTCAGTTTGAAGTATCCAGAGTTATGTGAATTTGTCAATCCCCAGCCAACACTATTAAATGATGATGAAAGAAGAAATCAGGGACAATTCAAAGAAGTAAAATAGGATTGAAAAGGCTTAAAGATTCAAACAATAAGCCAAATTATGAACCAAAAGCTATATCATCTTTGTTTACTATTGAACAAAAGAGAAGATTAACAGAAATAGGAACATTGGGCAATATATGTTAAAATGAACTTATCCTGAAGGGTCAAATGATAAGAGAAACTAGTATTCAGCAACCTTTATATCCAACAATAACTTCAAGCCTCTCTGAGTATACGATTTCTAAATATTAGAAATAGGATTTGAAACCATACCAGGGAAAAATGCAGATGAAACACCAACAGAAAGAAATCAATGTTGGTGTGACCAATTGTCCAATTCAGATTAATCCTACAATAGTTCCCAATGACAATATCAGTCTCATCATTTACAATTAATAAGCACATTTGGTGGATAGACATGCCATAATCCAAACAAGTCACTTAGCCATAAAACCCAAAGAATGATGAGAAGACTGGAGTTTTATCACCACAATGAAGCGAGTCCTTGTTTACATCGTGATATCCTAACATAAAATTAGCGGGCAAGACCTGCCTTGCAACCTAAGCATCAAAATATCACCACAGAACTTAAGCAAAATTAAAGGACATTAAACCATCAGTAGCAAAATTAAAGGACGATAACCAACAGTCTTCACAAAAATTTAGCAATTCAAACAATAATATATGAGGCTAAAGGGTACAAAATGCCCTTGAATTATAATTCAATAACCATTTAAACACTTAACATTTTATTGCAATTAATCAATCCCTAAATCATCTATTTCGACTCAATTGAACCCTTAATTGGACAAAATTTAGTCACGTGACAAAATTGAACCAATCAATCCCCGAATTATAACCAATTGAACCCTTAGAGGGATCTTAAAGCGAGGGGAGAGAGATAATAGAAGAAAAGAAATTTTTAATTTATTTAATTTTCACATATATTAACTGCACCACAAGGCAAATTTTCATCTATTTTATTGATCACATGGAATTTTATCTTAGTTGGCAAAAAAATTAACAATGTTTAACTTTTCCACCCAAATAAAGACTTACTTGGATACAAATAAATATTGGAGGGATTGACTGATTGCTATAAATAAAATAAGGGCTTAGATGATTTTTTTAATCATAGCTCAAGGGCTTTTTATACCCTTTAGCCTCTAAGAAACCATCAATAGATAAGACCTTGACAGTTTGAACTTAACATGTAAAATTATAACTCCATTCATAAGATTTTGAGAAGAAAGCCAAGCCATGCAAATTACCACGTTATCCAGCTCTTAATATCAAACTAGAACCTGAAAATTTTGATACAAAACAGCCTTGAATCTCTTACAAAGTAGAGGACCCGCTCATTCCACTGGTTATTTTGACACATGACAATTTCTCAACCAGCTGTCATAGCAACAAGGATCGCCAGCCAAAGATGTCTGCAACTCTCAAGATTTTACAAGTGGAACAAACAGAAGAAAAAATCTGATAATATAGAATCAATCATATCTCAAAGAGACAGAATAACTGCATCAAGAAATGGGGATGCAGAAGCAAGTCTAGAAGAATTATTCAACAGAATACTAAGAACAAATATTATAACCTGCGTGGGAGAACCATCTACTTCCTCAACAGGTAAATAAAAGTATAAGAAAATGTAAGAATTTAATAAAATAAAGGGGTGAACTTTAGAACATTGACCACAGGCAATGATTGGCAGGTCATAATAACACAATATCTATTTACGAAAATATAAACACAAAATAGAGTGGCAATTTAGTCCCTAATTTACCCAAAGGAACGAAAATGGTTTTGCTCCGCAATTAAGATTATAAGGAATACCTCTTCAACATCTGAACAAGTAAATTTCTTAAGCAATGTTAATTATAAAGTCTCAATAAAAATGAAATTTCAAAGTGTCCTATCGTTACTAATGTTGTAAAGAGGCATGATCTCCAGAGGATCACAATAAATCAATACTCAAAGTAAAATTCAATTGTAAGAACAGTTATGGATAGAAGTACAGGATCCTAAAGTAGTAGGGATACATAATAAAAGCCAAGCAATTCATGCAAAAGAAGAGGGGAAGAAAGAATTTAAATTGAGGAAAAGCTTTTGTCCCAACATCCACATCCAAACATACCTCACTTATGACCTCATCAACCAATTCTCTTGCATTTTTACTCTGTTTGCTCGTCCCATCTATGTGTAATGTCCTTTCTGCTGATGTGTCACCTGGGGGCAAGTGCAAAGGTATCAACTGCATGAGAATAAAAGAGGGAATGGTGTCACAAATTGTATTTGCAAGTGCGATTACAATAAAATTCAGAAGAGAATAGTGAAGAAACTAATTAAAAGTAAATAAAAGCTAGTCCCAGATTACTTGATTATTATTCAAACAAATAAATGTCAGCAAATATAAAGATAATGCAACAATAGACAACTTCCAAGTAAAGATGACACTTGAGATTCAAACCTGAATTCGAGCTCCAGTTCTAGCTTGCATGTTTTTAATTGTTTCACCACCTTTACCAATCACCATACCAACCTGAGATCATGCACACATTACATATTATCTTGAAACAAAATAAATGAACAAAGTTAACGCTTTTACACTGGCATACTTTGTTATTTGGAATCTTCATTTCAAAATGTTCACTTCAAGTGTGTCCGGTCAATCTTCAAGAAACTATTCCAGAACCTCCTACTTCAGCCTGAACAAAGCATTAAAGGGTATAATTATATTCCTTATATTCTGCCTAAGGGCAATAAATCCATTTCACATAAATAAAAATGCAGGATGAATAACCTCAGCAAGAACATCATTTATCAACTGCTCTGCCTTAGCTATTTGTTCAGCAGAACCCATGAGCTCTACAGGCCTAGTCACGGAATTAGGGTCTGCATCCATATCTCGTTGGACCTGAATCTTTGCCCCAGATTGTACTTGAAGATATTTAATGGTTTCTCCAGCTTTCCCAATTATAACACCAACCCTTATTTGCGGAATTTCAATCTTTTTGCTCGTACCATGGTAGCTACCATAGGAAACCGGTATAGCTGAAGGAGCAAAATTTGACAGGAGCTTTATCTCTGTATACATTAAAGCTTTTCATTATGCTTTGCATAAACTTAAAAAAAAAAAAAAAAGTCTGATCTAAAAGTCTAAACTATTAGCATCTTGCAAACAGCAGCAGCCCAAAGCTGACATATATTATTAAAAGATCGAAACCCTAAATACAAAACCCTAGATGAAACAGTCTCCCCAACAATGAAAATTTCTACCATTGAAGAACACGTGCCACGATGAAGAAAAAGAAAGGAAAAGAAGTTATACCAGAAAGAGCGGAGCTAAATCCCTTATCGTTATCAAAACCACCGCCAGAGCCGTTGTCGACACGAGGGCGCCTGGCCTCAGAGCCAGCCGAGGCGGCGGATTGAGTAAGGCGAGCAGAAATCTCCTAAGCTCGCTGCTTGGCCATCTCGATGCCGTCAAGCGGTAGCGGGAAGCTGTTGTATGAAGGAGGAGCCGAATCTGGGGCGGAGAACCCTGTCGGCCTCCTGCCACCAGAAAATGGCGATGTCTGCTCATCGTATTTGCGTTTGTTGCTGCCGGCGTCGGGACCTGAAGAGTACTGTGCTTCGTCCACCATTTGTGAAAGAAAAGAAAGAGAGAGAAACGCCAGAGGGATAGAGCCAGAGAGAGAGAGAGAGGGTGGAATAGAAAAGTAATAGAAATACAGTAGGCGTCATCGTATTTACATATGCCGTGAGTTAATTGGATGTTTTTTTTTAAAAAAATTTCGGCTTCAGAATTAGATTTTTGGGTGTCCAAACGGTAAAATGTCTATCACACTGTTACTCGTTGGTAAAATCTGTATTCTTACCAAGGTAAAGATTTTTTTTAGTAACCAATTTTAAAGACTTTTAATTAAGAAAATTCCAGTGGCCTGTGGGCAAATGAAAATGATGATTAATAAGACAAGCTATGTTGTAATAACTTCACTTTTGATTGGTCCAAAATATTAAACAATCGGATAGGAGAAACGAACTTAGAAAAGAATTCTCCTAGGAATCAGGTAAATTCACATACTCGACAAAGCACGAGTGAAGTCCAACATTCCATGGCAATGAAAAACCCAAATCGTCTCTTAAAAGTGAAGTTATTAAAACATAGCTCTTGCCATGGGAAAATACCCCACAAATCTGTCTTCAAAGTTCAAACCATCAACTGAGAGATACCACAAGAGAACATGGAATTTATTCATACCCACTTCAAAGGAAACTTAAACATCCTCTGAACAATAGCGCAGGTAGTTAAAAGCAAAGCTAAAGTCGGAACGAATTGAAGTTCGAAATAATACAGGGAGTTCAGTCACCATACAAGTAACAGAACCCTGAATCCCTGATTCTTTAAACTGCTGTAAAAATAGCCCAGAAGCAACTTGTGATATCCTTACTTGGACCACCAATGGAGGAAATCCTTGCGCCTGTTGATCTTTTTCTGCAATTGAAGAACTCCATACAGTAATGCCTCAGCAGTGGGTGGGCATCCAGGAACATAGATGTCAACAGGGACAATTCTATCACAACCTCTAACAACAGAGTACGAGTAGTGGTAGTATCCCCCACCATTTGCACAACTTCCCATAGAAATGACCCACCTAGGCTCTGGCATTTGGTCATAAACCCTGCAAAAATTACAATATGATGGTCAAATTACCAAAGCCCAATCAAATTTGCTTCTTTGCCAAGTCATTCACATAAATTCTAGAGAATCCCAAAATGAAGAATCTTATATTATACATTTATCAAGAAACAAATGAAGGGAACAAAATTTGGGGAATGCTACTCAGAATTGTAAAACTCAGAGCAGAGTGTGAACCACCAGCAGAGGTAAATCTAAGGTTGCATTTGTTTGGCACAACTTGCGAAATAAATCAATATGTCAAACCACCATTAAAACAACAAAACGTTGCATGCACATCTCACTCCAAATTCACCATCACACATTAAGCCTATGGCCCTTATCACACTCGATCACAAGCCAAATAAGCCAAGGTCCGCCTAGGTTCGGGTAGTTTACTACTGCAAAGACACACCGTTAACCAGTTAGAGAAAAGTTGAACAGAACAAACAACTATGGTTAGTAATATGTTAATAATTACAAATCTAATTACTAACATACAAAGCCAGTTAGATCACACAAACTTATCCAGGACCGTTCAAGCTAGACCTATGTTGAACTTCAGGCTTTACACCTTTAAAATCCATGTTCGGCCCACCAAGCTAAGGCCTTGAAAGATTACAGACAGAAAACGTTGCAATCATAGTTCTTTATTTTCTTAACTCTTCAACAATTCCCCCAAAATCAGAAGGAAACTGACAAGTTGAATGGACAAATAGACAAATAGATGAAACCTTCTCCATGGATGTATCATACAAAGGACTATATATTCAAAGGAGCATGAAAACAGCATTTTGTTAAGACTGGAGAAGAAACAACCTCAGGTAGCTTTTATCCACCATATTTCCAAAAAAAAAAAAAAATCGAAAAGTTCAGAGAAACCATCACCTTCATTATTTGAAATTTGTTCCCAACTTAAAGTCAAAGCAAAGTTAGCTACAACATCAAGGGAATTCAGTCACAAATCAAATCATAATTTTAACATGATAAGAAAAAAAAGGATCGTCCAAATATATCTTTGACACAAACTAAATAGAGTATTAACGAATTCAATTTTGCAATTATTCCTGTATTTAATTAGCCTAAACCAACGAGCCAAAAAATTGTTGGGACTGTAAACATTCACATTCTCATGAGCTCCCAAATCAAAAATATAAATAAGGAAAGAAAAGGATTATTAAATTATTAAATAAAACCCTAAAAGTGAGATTAAACATACTTGCGGAGAGCAGGTGCCATTTTGTTGGTGAGAGTGCCAGCGACAATCATGCAATCGGATTGGCGAGGGCTAGGCCTGAAAATGACACCGAAGCGATCGAAATCGTAGCGAGCGGCACCGGTGTGCATCATTTCGACAGCGCAGCAAGCGAGGCCGAAGGTCATGGGCCAGATGGACCCACGACGGGCCCAGTTCAAGAGGTCATCGACCTTGGAGATCACGTATTCGGCAGTCTTCGAGAGGCCTGCGGGAGGACCGGTGGTTGAGGGGGGAGAAGGGCGAGCGTATGTGGTTGGGGTGGTGGAGGAGAGAGAAGGGAGGGTCGTGTGGAAAGCGAGAGGCCGCTGTGCAGAGAGGAGGTGAGGTAGGCGATTGGCGGTGTTTCGGGTGATTAGAGCCATTGCTCGGTGGTTTCTAGAAAGAGAGAATTTTTACCTTTCTCTTTGGAGAGAGTGAGAGATTTTGGAAGTTTTGCTTCGGTGACGAATCCCACGTCAGGTCATTTTTGGTTATGATTAGGCAAAGCAGTAGTTTGTTAGCAAGGACGCGTGCACTAAAAGGTAGATTTTTATGTTATATAAAACATTAATAATTTATATATTTACAGTATATTTATATGTATAAATTATTTGTTTTATTTATATGAATATAAAAATACATATATATTTTTGTTTTCTTAAATTTATGTATAATTTTTATTAAAATTTTAAATATAAAAATTATCAAGTGAGGAAAAAGATTTTTTTTAATTCATTGTAATTTTTCGTCTCACTTAATAATGGCAGTATTTTTTTTTCTTAAATTTTGAATTTAGTTCTTGGGTAATGCGTTACACGAAGATGCTGAATTTAGACTTCTATTATTATTTACAAAATTATAATAGTAATATAATTGGTATTATCATTTATTAACTATGACGGAAGTTACTATCAGAACCCCTTCTAGTTAAAGTAAAGATTATTTAAATGGGTGCTAGAAATTTGACATAAATGACGGCCCTCCACTTCATCCCAAACCAACACAACCAACACAAACCAACGATTCTGTGGAGAAAGAGAAAGAAAAGTTAGAAATTAAGTAACAATTATCATAAGGGAATTTCAAGTTAAAGTTGAAATGGTACAAGATTTGAACATAGGGGCTCAAGCTATGTCAATGAGAATTGATCCACCAGCATAGGTCCTTTTTTTACTTAGAGAATCAGTTAAGATCCCATTAGTCCCAAAACTAGCAACATTGCAGCCTAATAAGACGATTTGTTTTCAGTGGTTGGGAGTGCCAATCACCATATTTTCTTCGACCTAAACAAAACAGAATAGGCATAGCACTGTGTCTATCCCTACAAAGAATATGAGATCAGTGGGTATGAAATGATCCGCCTGGAACCGTCAATGTCCTTTGTCGATGAATCAACAATAGTAACATTGAACTCTGGTGTTGGAACGCATGATAGAAATTTTCAATGAATCACCAAGGGTCTGAAAAATGGCTGCAGCTTCCGCATTTTTAATTAGGGAAGAAGGCAAAGCAAGCAGCAAAAGCTCTGCCCAGGAAAAATAATCACGAGCTTTGTTGGATCATCTTCATGCATAATACATGTAAAGACTGTTTGACGCAGCACAAGCAAGAGAATTTTCGGTTGGATGCCATGCTAGGTGAAGTAGCTTTGTTGTGAAATCAAATGTATTTCCGTTTGTATCAACTCCCGAGTTATCTGCTCCTTTCACTGACAATGGAAAGGAAAGAAGCATAGATATGAAAGACGAGTATAAATGCTTTCCATGAATCAATAATTACTCAAAAACTACCTACTTAGAACAAGGCTATGATCCTAATTCACTAATAATCAAGCAATATCACAAACCAGTGACTAAAAGAATTTACCATGCAAAAATAAGGGGGAAGAAACTAAACTGATGGAAAACAAATCAAGACATCTCAAATTTTGGACTCTGAAAGAAGGACGTGAAACACATACCTCCTCTGACAACACCAGAGAGACTTCCAAGAGATCTTGAAGGCCTTGATGGCATCTGACCTTGTCTCCTGGAAATTCATTACATAAATTAAAGAGGGAATTTCTGACAATTGATAAGACATTGTTTTGATTCACGACTTTATGAACCAAGAAAACTCAAACAGGGCCCTTTGACAACTACTCACATTGTTATATTATAATAGCCAAGAAGCCAACAACAAAAGAACATACCTCATGGGATTTTTGCTGGATTCCAGTGTTGTTGCTTCTGTACTACCTTCAGAACACCCAAAAACCCGAAACAGATTGCTGGAATTACAGAAAACACTACATTATATGATATCCAGGTCCTGTCATATTGTGGATATTTTATTTAAAATATATAACATGTACCTGTAGGAACCAGTGGCCACTCGAAGTCCATCTCCACTTAAACAACACTCAAATTTGTCAAAGATGGAATCATTTTCATATAGGTCGCAAAGCTGTTCTAGGTCCAAAAAGAAGACAAAAAAACATCCATCATATGGAGTAAACATAGGTCTCTTTAGAAATATTACCTAAACCTAACAGAAGAATCTTAGAAGAATATGGTACCTTAGGTCTAAGATATTCATGAACTTGGAAAGTTGCAACAGGACCAGAATCCATATTTATGTCCCACAACTTACAGCCAAGAAATCAAAAACTTGTTACAGAACAATAGAAAGGAAGAAGGACTAAATAAATATAGAAATCCAGCCAATATACTATAATCAAATCCAGTAGGTATGACACAACAGCTAAGTGTTGCTCAAAGGAGAACAAGCAATTTTGCATAAAAAAATAACAACCTTAAGTGTCATGTAGTCACGACTTAGCATATGTCGCCCATCCTTGGCAAACTTAATGTCTGAGATTGATGCTATGATCTCTGTGAAAAAGGACCTGGAGCTGGGAGCTTCTTGTTCCTCAAACCTGTACCATCAAAAAATTTATAAAACCATAAAGAAAACAACATAAAGAAAATAAAATGGAAGTATCTAAAGGTAATGATGACTTTTCAAACCACCATAATACATAAACCAAGAAAAAACACAGATACCACAAGTCACTTACAATTTGCTGTGAGTATCACATAAGGCAGACTGTCGCATATCTATAAGACGAATTGAACCTTTTGAACTACTATATGCTAACGTATTACAGTGTGTAGGATGAAATTCTGCTGAAGTTATCACCTCTGCAAGTATGAATTGAAGCAAATGAATCATGCAAAGATGAAAAATACACATAGCATTATTTTTTCCATAGGGAAACATCATAAATGGATATAACTAATGTTTGCGAAACCCAAAGAGTGAGACAGGGATAGTCGATGAAGAACAGGAGAGAGACAGAAGAAAGAAGAAAGATGATGAAGCAACTCAACTGCCCCTTCTTTGTTGCCCTACCATCCTTCAAACCCCTACCCCCCCCCCCCAAAAAAAAAAAAATGGGTGGTGAAAAGAGGAAGAAAAATTTGCAGATAGATAACCAAAACAGAAAGGAAGCAAAGAGGGATGGGGATAGCAGAAAGTATTGATTCTTTTACCAATCAACCCTTGAACAATAGAAGATAAAAATAAATAAAATATCCAAATATCCATATATTGCCATTCACAAATGGATTCCCACCAGTCAAATCCTCCATGTTTGCAGGTTTCACATCGACAATGTTAAAACTTTGGTTGCTAATTTCCAAGTTCCAGAGATTAATTCGCAGGTCGTCAGCGGAAATAAAAGTTTCGCCATCACTACAAATCAAGAAGAAAGTAACAATAATTATTTGGTAAAATCATGAACAAGCTTAGCAGACCAAGCATTTCAGGTTCAAAAGCCTAGCAGCAACTACTATTACTCTTTCAATTTATGATCTTCCTAAAAACGCTCCCTCACCCCCCCCCCCCAAAAAAAAAAAAACAACACACAGCAAACGAAAAAGATTCAGCCCCAGATGTACCATATATAAGAATCAAGAGGAAGAAAACAGATAGGGTTAAATTCAATCAAATAAGGAAGCACACCTGTTATTGGATATGGAATTAATATGATAGTCATGAGCATGAGCATATATTCTTCGACATCTGGCCATAAGGTTCGACTCATGACTGGTTACCTAATTATAATAGAAGCACTAAGTGTTAGATGGGCAAATCATATATAGAACAATATTGACATGTCAAACATTGCCCCAACAATTTGAGACATGACAAAATACCATAATAGATTCTGAAGTATCCAAATATAAGAAACATTAATTGTTATTCTTAGAAAATAAGCATTCTGGATTGACTACAACTACCACAGGCAAATGCAAAGATGGGAAACCCCCAGTTGGGAATGAAAAGTCATTGTTTGTGCATCCTCCATTTGCAATGTATTGTTTGGAAGTTGTTGATATACTTGAACCAACAATAGGACCATTTCCCATGGCTTTAGTGGAGTTCACATTCGTGTCACATACGTTTTTTACCTTCTTCTCTTGTACCTGTCCAAGTTTTAAATGATGTTAGAAAGATAAATAGGATAGCAAGGTTAGATTTGTTGTGTTGCTGATTTTGGGATATTGAAGTTCCTTTGACAAGAAAAAAATACAGGGAGATTATCGCAATACTAATCTGTATATAACTTCATGAATGTATCCAGAATGACAAAGATGTCTTTGCCTACCTTCCAAAACTTGATTGTTTTGTCATTTGTAGACAAAAGAAACAGAGAACCATTAGCTGATTGGCACCATCTAATTTTGTTAATTTTCTCCTCAATTTCCAAGCTCTTTAGATAGTCAAACTGTATTAAACCAATAAAGTTGACCATTTCAATGAAAATTCAAGGTTTAAGTATGTAAACCCAAATAATCATAATGCTTATGTAAGCCGTAGACAAACATAAACACCTCAGGTTCATGGCTCTGAAACTCGGTTTTATAGCGAAACTCAGGGTGCCTATTGATTGGATGATCCATCTTCTCTAGATCTCTCCGATGTCCAACATGCTACAAAAAATATATTTTTGTCAAAGAACTGTATTTCAAAGTGTCACAACAGAACGTTGGAGCAACACAGTGAGTGAAACAACGTAGCTTCAGAACTATATACAAGAAAACAGTCAGCAGACATACATGAGTGTCAGTCCTTTCAAATAAAACCACCCGACCCCCACGATCTCCGGTAGCGAGGTGATCGCCAGTTCTATCAAATTCAATAGCGGATATGATATCAACTGAAAAAAAAAGGGGGGACATGTAAATCAAGTGAGCAGACGAAGCAGGATATGAAAGACAAACAAACACCAGCACATCATGCCCACAACTGTGTTCTTCACACAAGCAGAATCATCAAGCAAAGAGACTCACGGAGAATAATATCCCCTTAAAATTTTCAACTTAATACCTCTTAAAGTTGAGGACGATGGAAGAAAGGCAACATGAAGAGCAAAGTTAATAAACGGCCGAGCCAAAAATGGTTCACATAAAGAAATTAAGATTCCCACCAGCCCAAAACAACCGTAACTCATAGACCTAGACACTCACATGGCCAGACTCTAAGTCAGACCATTTGATTAGTTCACTTGGACCTTTTTCCAGTTTCTACAGCACCTCCCATGTGAAAGAAACCACCGCAATAAACACATGCACTAATATACTTTGATATTGGTCATGTTAGTCCAGAAATCACAACCTAAGTCAAGACCATCAATCACGCAGGCATACTAAGTCTCTTACCAGCAAAGAAATCTTTAGTACCTGTTTTTTCATAGTGCACCAGCCTCCAAGGCCCTAATAATTAGATCAACTTGCAGAAAACAACGGCTAAGCATTTATTAAATAACAGTTTATTGAATTAATAATTTCAATCATTCAGTCAATAACAACTAGTCTCAGCTGAAACCCAACCGATAATTATAGAACACAAACAGATTGATAAACCGCACTTTACAGCCATTACTTCACATCACACTTTGAGAAGCTACACTGTGATCAAGCTAGACATAAATCCTAACATTATACCGTAATCCAACCGAATATATATATCAAATTGAACTCACGTATTACCAATTTAAGCAATGAAAAAAGGAATAACAATAAAGAAATACGATTATATGATAAAATTTGGAGATATAAGGATTAAAAACATTAAAATTCGATAATTCATAAACAGTGAGACTCAATCAAACGCTAAGAAAAATCGCATCGAATAAATCCAAATGTTGCACCTTCCTGTACTTCCTCTCCGGCCGTCCGTTCTCCGAACACCTGCGAGAATTTCCACTCCAGCGGCTGTGTTCCTCCCACCCAAGCCACGGCAGCTTCGGCACCACCGTTTTTCATTTTTTTCCCCAAAAAACAAAGAAATCAAAGCGATTCCAACTCAAGAAATAAAATAAAAGCAAACTCAATGCATCAACGAGCCGATCTGGCACTCAGATTCACAACAAAATCGAAACATTTCACCGATTCGAAGCAATCTCCATTTCACAAATGCAACCTCTCGATCGATCATGTAGATAAGAAACAGCTCCACAATGAAAAATCATCGGCGTCCTTTTCTTTGTTTTTTTTTTTTTTTCTTTTTACATGCAATGAACATCGATTGGATATATTTTTAACGAAAAATAAATTAATTTCTCTTTAGACAAAATGAACATCGACGAGATTTCACTCTCTCTCTCTCTCTCTCTCTCTCTCTCTCTCTCTCTCTCTCGATTGAAACTTCCAGAATTTCTCCTTTTTTTTTTCCTTTTAATTTGAGAAGAGAAGGGTGAAAAAAATAATGGAGATTGGAAGATAATGACGGAGCAGGAAATGCGACGTAGCTTTATGGCTGATTATTGGATCTCTTTCTTTCTATATCTGTCTATTCTGTCTTTTCCTTTTTTCTTTTTTTGGTTTAATTGGTGATTAATTAAGAGGTTATTTTTGTAAATTGGTTTAAAAAATGGGTTACTGTAAGCTTGGAATAAGTAAGAAATAACAATTTCAATAATTTTTAATTTTCTTTCATTTTATTTTAATAAAATGCACCCAAATCTTAGTATCAGTTTCTTCATACAAATTTGGATTGATCATCGTACCAAAAGATCAACTGAACTAGGATTTTTTAACAATTTTAATTATATTTCCCTTTCTCTCGCAAAAAATTTATGGTAACAAACATTGATCATAAAGTCTTCAATTTATTATCCTTTAAATTTTTCATATTATAAGAGAATGACATAGTGTAAAAGCTATGAAGATACCTTTTTTCATGTTCAAATTTTTATTACGAATTTAATAATATAAAATATAATCAATATAAAAATAATACGAATTAAAATTTTAATAAAAATTATATATATTTAATAAAATTAAAAATAAAAATTTTATATTTTAATATTAATATAAATTGTAATACGTAATTTTTATATAAAATATTATATGAATATATAAATTATTAATATTTTATATAATACAAATATATTAATTATTAAATTAAATTTATTGTAAATTTGTTAATTTTTATCTAATTCTCTGATCACTTTTTTTAATTAAGGTTATAAATTAACAAAAAAAAAGATTGCACAAAATTCATACATTAGACTTATTAAATATTATTTTTTTTAAGTATACTAATCAATTAAATTAAATATTAAAATTATTTTTTAAAACATTTTAAAATTACATGCCAACATGTACAAAGCACTTATCTAAAATTTAATTAGTGTTTGATGAGGATGAATGATGATTGCAACTTAGCTCATTCGACAAACTTTTGATCGATCCATACAAAGTTAAACATGAGCTGCTTTCCAATACAAAACATTTTCTTTTTGTTTGCTTCCAATAGAAAATCAACTGCAACATTCTCTTCCCTTCACACAATGCACTCCAATACAATATGATTCGTCTTATAAGAAATTTAGGGTGAGAGTGTAAGAAAAAAAATAATAAAGGAAACCGATGTTGGCGGCACAAGGTTGCTTGGTGACATAATTACAAAAACAAAAGATTAAAAATTAGAGGGTTGTTTATCGGTCATGGAAATAATTTTAAAAAAATAAAAAAAGGGATAAAAAATAGGAAGTTATTCTTTTTTTATTTTAAAATTTAAATTTATGCCTATTTGGATGAAATGAAATAGTATAAATTAGTTTAACCAATGACGTAATAAATAAAAAAATTTCAATGGAGTTGATAAACTAATACTATAATATTTTTTTGTCATATCGAGTTTTCATATATTTAAAAGTCATTGTGTAATTATTTTATTATTAATATTGTCAACTATTATTTTTCAACGTGCGTAAGCAAAATAAAATAACCTCTAATCAATATGTCTTATATTCGATTTTTATTATTTTCATTGTTGAAGTAGTCTCCTTTTTATATATATAGTTGCAGTAGTAATTGATAAAATAAGACTGGTTTTAGTAGAAAAAATGCAAAGAGATTAAGATCAAATTTTACATGTATTATGATCTATATTAAAATTTATCACTATGCTTCAAATTCCATTAAATTGTCACTATATGTCTAATTTTGTTATTTTTTTGGACATAAAATGACGGAATTGATGAAAATTTGCAATTTATATTATAAAATATTTAGTAAAATGTTTTAATTTTATTATTTTTATCCAAAAATAAATAAAATGAAAAATATAGGAGGGAAATTTATCATTTACATAAATTGAATATTTTGTAAAATATTATAATTTTATTAAATTTTGTCTTAAAATAAAAAATAATAATAAAATTAAAATGCAATAACAAAATTCAATATTAAATCATAGTACAATGATAAATTTCATTTTAATCCCAAAAATCAATGGATTACATATATCCTTTTTGTCTTTCACTACTTTGAAGTGAAGAATTATTTAAGATCATTCTATAACTGCATTATTTCACTATGATATATGGGAGAGGATTATTTAAAGTCGTGACTTCATGTTAATATATGTTATTTTTAGTAAATTATATTATATAATTATATTATTAAAAAATATATTTATTATACATCATATGTAATAATTAAAATGATGAATATTTATTTTAATCGAATCATACATTTAATGTATAATAAATAATTAATTTTTTTAATAATATAATTACAGGATATAATTTGAATAAAAAAAGATGCCAACGTGGAATATCGTTATCCATTTGTCCTTTCTCCCGGCATAAAGTATATTTTGCAGTTGGTTGCAATGCTGGCTTCCCCTGCTGAATTTCGGGCCTTTGGGCGGGGCTGAGCTTGAATATCCAGTGTTGAAACTCATCATATATCTTCCAAAGCCCAAGCATTTCAAAATTTTCTTTCCAAAACTAGGCTGGGCTGCCGACGGCCGACCCTTCCTCGTTTTGCTTTACTTTGTCGATTTTTCAACTCCTTATTCTCATTTCTTCCCGAAATTTCATGAACTTTTTTGAGTAATTTTTGTGATTAGACATTGGATTTAGTAAATTAATAGTACAAATCATCAAGCTAAAATGGAAATGAAGATTAATGCAAAGCCAGACACCCCAATTACCCGGCACATCTCATGGGTCGACTTCTCAGTTGGACCACCATTGTGTCGGTGCTGACCGTTGCAGGGCCAAGAGCTCGGTGGCAAACTGTGGAAAATAGTATACATTTGTGTGATGTATAGTAGGCAACCTCACGTGTCCTTCGTTGACTACAACTTCAAGCGTATTCAGTAATTTCAGCTATCTGATTCACAGATTTTTCTCAACGATCATTAGTTTTTGTCGCGCCAACGGAAAGAATATAAAGGATTTTTCAAAAATTTTAAATCTATATAAGATAATTCGTTCTTTTAGAGATTTGAAATTAAAATTAACAATAGTATAATTTAAATTTAGATTAATTATTTTATTAAGATAAACAAAATCAATATCAATGTATTATATTTTATCGATTAAAGATCATTCATAATAATAAATCTTAAATTTAATATCTTTGGTATTTGAAGAAACTAATATTCGAAGAAGGTACATATGCATTACATGAATTCAAATCATACAATTATATATTTAGATATCAAAATTGTGAAATAAAAAAAATCCAAAGATAGTAAATTTATGAATCGTACAAAATTTTCGTTAGTGATGAAAGGGAAATTTTCTTCTCTTAGTTTGAAGGATAGAGATTAATTCGGAAACACTATCATACAAGACAAGTAGAAAGCAATACGAAAGTTTTGTTCTATACTAAATGCAAAAAAACTACAAATCACACCTCCAAGTAATGCAAAAACGGAGAAAAACAAAAGCAAGAAATTGAAGGGGTTGGAAAGCTTACAATAATAAAATGATAAAAATAGGACAAGTGTGGAGCCAGACGTATTCTATCATATACACTTTTATGCCAAGTGCTCCTAAAACACCGACATCGGCAGGCCATTATAAATTACAAACAAATGATTGAAAAATGTATTCCCATTTCAATCACATCAAAGGAAGAGTCCTTTGAATCTGGGAAATTTATGAATTTGCAATGTTTTTAAATAAATGAGGTTGTTGGGTTAAACGATGAAATGACATTAGAACCTACATTATATATGTACTTTGCCATTTTCCTAGTCAAAGAGACTGCCTTTTCAGCAGCGAAATAATGAAATATACCCATTACCTAATTCGATTTTTTTATGCAGCCTGCCAGAATGCCAGTCATTGTTGCTTGTGGGACAAAAATTATAAGTTGTTAAAGAAAGCTTTTTTCTTTTTTAGGACAAATAGATTATTAAAATTGGTAAACAGGGGTATTCATAAATTTATTTTAATAGAACTGATAGATTAAATTAATTTAATTTAATTAATTGATTGATTATCAAATTAATTTTAATTAATTATAAAAATAATTTAAAAAATTTTAATTTTTGATTAATTCAATCCAAATTTTGAATTAATCAAAATTTTAATGGAAATATTATAAATTATATATATAAAATAAAAAAATTAAATTATTAATTTCATTTCAAATTATTAAAAATTTTAACTTAATATTTTTGTGTTTGAATATTTTTATTAAAAGATTTTATTTAATTTATTTAATATATGAAAAAATAAAAATTTAAAATATAATTTAACTTAATATTTCAATTAATCAAAAAATTAATTAAACCAATAAAATCAATTTTGATAAGTTAATTTTTAAAATTAAAAATTTTAATTCAATTAATAAAAATAAAATAACATAATTTAATTTAAAATTAATCGAATCAATTGGATAAACACCCTATTAATAAATGCTATTGTAAGGTGGCTTTGTTTGGAGGTTGTGTTCATAGTTCAATGGTCAATCCTTTCATATTAACATTCTGTCTGGTAAAAAAGAAAAATATTTATTTTAATTTATTTATTGAATTAAATAATAACACATGTTATTACGAATTTCAAATATTAAAATTCTAAAATATGTAATTTTTTATTCTTAAACTACTACTTTAAACAAAAAAAAAAAAAAGTATAGCTCTAGAAGTTTGAAACTGCCTCATTTTAAAGCAGCAATTAAAAACTAGAAAATATAATTATTATATACCAAATTAACCAAATAATACATGGCTTGAAAAACTAGAAAAAATGTCATATTCTTGATGACAATGTTCTTAACCCACTCATGCCTTTAAAAACAAAATTAAAAAAAAAAATCTTTAGTAAATTTGAATGTGATGGTGATTTTGTATCTGCATGACAAAGGAAATTAGCTGCAATTAAGCTAATTGGTTTTTGTTTTCTTTGTAATGTGGTGAGAAATGAAAATAGTAATAAATTGTATTTATTCTAATTTTGTCCCTTCTAGTTTTGAAAATATATAAAAATAAAAGAAAAACGTTT